TGGACAATACCTCGGTACTCTAATACGGCCGGACCAGAGGAGACCCCAAACGGGGTCGCTCGCATTCTTGAAATTGTCCGAACGGGTCCCAGAGATCCCGATGGACATCATCGCCGAAGAGCGACAAACGCATTGTCCACGACGGCATTCAACAGAAATACAGAGGAAAAGTCGGTTTTGCCATTAACGTAAATAATCCCCCACGTTAAGCTCGTACAAAGATGTTAAAAACCAGGAAAGTTCAATTTATAATGAGAATGTCTAATTACATCCTCGTGGGAAATAATCGAAAACTCAGAAGGACAACGATCAACGACTAGCTGCGGAGCTCCCGACCAGGGTATACCGTCCAGCGCACCTCGGGACTCGATAATGGCCTTTGAAAAAAAAAAAATAAAGGAAAGAAAAAGAAAAAGAAAAAGAGTCCTCGAGTGGCCCGCTCTTATTATGTTAAGCCTGCCGCGATCTTGACTCGCGACCGTATTCTCGAGTGGCGGCCGCACAGAAACCCAACCGCGTCCTCTCCTCCCTTTTTATTCCTCTCCTCTTTTTAAGGGCCTTTTCGCCCTTACTTCACCGAGCATCGATACTGAAAGAAACATTTATACTCCAGGCCCTCGACTGTTTTACGCGCGTCCCCTCTTGCGAGCCCGCCGCGAATACGAGCTGCACGCACGAGAGGGGCGACTCGCCCCCCGCGAAGCGGAGAGGTCCGCGCGCCCCCGAGGACGCATTATGCCGGAGCGGAATCCTCAAAAGGACGGAGTGCGCGCGGCCCATTAAAAGGCCGCGTTTAAAGGGTCGAGGGTCAAGGGATGCTGCGACGCGTTAAAGGATTCATCCCCCCGTGTCCGATCACGCGGGACTGCGGGGGTGCTTTGCGAATCGCGCTCCGAGGAGGACGCGGCGGCCGCCATTTTGGTACCCGACTCGCGCCGACAAAATCTAACTCCATATATAATAATGAGAAAAACCTCCCGAAACTGGAGCTCGTAAATGCAAGTAGTTCTCTCCGTGAATTTCTATTTCTACGTGTGAAATATCACCAGATTCGATATTTCATTTATTTACGGAGTGTCGGGATGAGGTAGCCGCCATCAGGACCCTGGTCTGGAGTCATCGCATAATTTTCGCATGAAAAAGAATGATCCCCCCGCAGGCCGGATCTCGAAAGGGTGAGTTTTCGCTCCTAAAGACGCGTTCGCATTCAGCGCTCCTGGAGTCCTCAAAAGGACGACGAGTGCACGGCCCATTAAAAACATTTTCCATTTCAGAACTCGAGGGTCAAGGAATATTCCCGGCGAGGTGTTAAAGAGCTCGCCGACGGTGTCCAAAGATGTTGCCGCAGAATTCTAGAGTGTCCTTCGCGATTCACCCGAGGAGATCCGCCCTTGGCGCTTTTCTCCCCCGAGTTTCAAATTTACCCACAAGAAGGGATAACCTGATTTTCGAAAGGAACATTTACTCACGAGCCATGTCCTCAAATTTCAAACAGTCCAGTGGAATATCCCCTAACAAAAGCATCTTACCTCGAAAGGTGGGGCATGCAATCAAATAATTTAAATCGGATTACCCTTCCATTTAAGGGAACGCGTAAGTGACATGCAAAGGGTCAATCGTTCATGACTTTTCTCCAAATTGGCTATACCGATTCGTTTCAAACTTTACACCGTGATTACGGAGACATTAAGGAAGGTCCTGACGACCATGAAATTTCACTTTTCATACAAAAAATGTAATAACACGTGTAAAGAAATTTTTAAAGAATTGAAATTTCGCGAGTGTCAAGACTCTCTGTACACCCTCCACATTGATATCGTAAAGTTTGAGTCGATTCGGTATACCCAGTTTGGAGAAGTCTCAGAAATGAGCACTTTGACATCGCCATAAGCTCCGCCACCGCCCGAAGACGCGGAACGGCGGTAAAAATTCCGCCTGGCCAGGCCGAGGTTAGATGATACATGCGATTCCCGGTGTAATTTTAAAAAGGAGTGATTTACTCCGCGGAGCCAAAAGACTCCGCGTTCTTGCGGCCGCGGGTGCATTGAAGGGAGAAACGGAGCTAACAAAAGCCGAAAGAAGTGCGCGGCCCATTAAAAGCTCGCATTCGCAGACCGGAGGGTCAAGGAATGCCAGGCCCGTGTTAAAGGAGTCACCGCGAATGTCCATTGACGTATAGAGTGTCCTTAGCGATTCATGCAAGCCCTAAGCATTGAGCGAGCTTACCCCTCGGCTTCCCGCAAGCTCTTGCGAGAGCCGCCGCCATTATCACCGAGAGACGGCATTCGCAAAGGATACATGTTAATCCTTTGAAACGTTTAAAATGCACGACTCGCGACGAATTGCGGATAAATTGCGCTCGATGCGGTTTCCGCGAAGCCGATCGTTATTGTCTGGCTTGGATAATTGCAAGCTCTGCAATTACCATCGCGTCTCCGTAGAATAACGCGGTGCTCATGAAATGTCATCTATCAGGCAAAATTATTTATTTATTATCCTTTCTCTCTCTTATCCCGGTAATGTTACCTACGTAACAATTTCATATGAAACGAGAAAAGGAGAGAAAAAAATAAATGAATATCCTCCCACTTTAATTTTTGATTCCACAGTTAAATTAGATTTCGGAGTTCCCATGTCCCACATCCATGCACTATCAAAAGTGTCATCGAGCCGAAGAAATATTTCGTTAATTCAATTAATCCAATTCAATGCATCCATAAGGGCTGCCTAAACACCAGAGGAACGGAAATTCATTTTGTAAGTCCCTTTTCTACCGGGAAGGAGAATAATGTATCGGCCCGCAAAAGTGAGGTTATTGTATGGAATTGCAGGAGAACTGGCACTTTTGACTCGGGGGGGCACAAACGCCTGTGAATGCCTCACCTATGTCAAGGGTCAGGATTTCTGAGGGGCGATGCAGCGACACAAAAGGCCAAACTTTCATTTCGGACGTTATGGCATACGGATTCAGTTTTGACGTTTCGATTCCACGTCGAGAGTCGCCAACGACGGCTAAAGCCAAGTGCGTTGTACATCCATACTTTGTTTAACCAGGAGCGCATTTTTCTTTTTTCTCTCCCCCCCAAAGTGCGTATTGTTTCGCCTTTCAACTTCGCTCTAAAGTATCGGTGCTGAATGGCCACGAGTGGCGATACGTTAAAACTCTCAGCTTTTAAAAGCTCGACGAAGAAAAGCGTCGATGAAGGTTCGATCGAATTCAAGCGGATTTCTAAGCGCTTCTTGTTAGGCTGGAGGTTGAAAAAAAATGGTCATTTCTAGCTTAGAAACAAGACCTAGTTCGAAAGTTGTACATATGTACTTACCCCACCCGTCCTCTTCATCGTGACACTTTTTCGCGTCGCGAATTAGGCTTACCCCTGCCAAAAGAATCTTCCCTTAAAAATCGGAAAAAATCTCGGAAAAATCCTAAAAAATAAGAGATCCATTCCGAGGCATCAAGGGTCGCGAACGGAACATTGTTTACGGTATTTTTATGAAAAATCCCGGATTTGCCACCTGCGACATAAGGACCTTCGAGGAGTCCTTGGGCCCTCCACCCCATGGGAGTCGGTAAAACGCTCGTTAGGGTGGGAAACGTCATTGTGAACCCCCGGAATGGCAAAATGGTCGTTCCCGTGACGTGAAACTCGTAGCCTTAAATTTCCATTGACATTCCGTCGACATTCGAGTCTCCCTTCGGGGCAAAAAGTATATCTTGGCGAAGGGTTTGCCCCCCCCCCCATACTTTTATTCCCGCCTCGAAAAGTCTCACCATGGTGGACCTCTCGTGGAAGGTGACCACCCCGTGCTTTCATGGGGCACCCTGACTCTTTGCTTCCCTCTTTTGCCACAGTCTCCCCCACGTCTCGCTCTAACTACCCTCTGTTTAGAGGCCAATTGTATCGGCACAGGGCCCCTTTACCCCTTTCATTATGGGAAACCCCGCCAGCCCTGTTGGCAGCCCCCTTTGAACGGTGCGAGCCTTACAACACTTTTCAACCTCCTCATCTCCTTTCAATTTGCGCTTATTCTCCATCCATCGCTCTTTCGATACCTGCCACTCTTTTCTCCGATCGAACCCTGGAATCTAGATTTCTCACCCGGGGCTGAGAGTAATTATACATTGCCTTAGATAATAAATAAACCGCGCGTATGAAGACCCCCAATAGGCGAAACGCGGGAATTATTTCCGATTTTTCCCGACGTATAGAATTTTCCTTACAAACCAGGCGTCGTTATCCAGTCTTAGAGTGCGAACAGATGATAACAATTTATTAACAAACTTAATGTGCAGCGTGGCCGAGAGCCTAAGAACGAGGACGCGTTCCCAGTCTTGCTAACGCAACGAGATTCTACAAACAATTCTACAACGACGAAATTAAAATTGCATTTCGTTATCCTGAGCAATGTTCCTGCAACGAGGGGCTCTTCACTCAAAATCCAATGAAATCGATTCGATTAAAATTGTGACAATGATTTTCAATATTAAAATCCATCATTTCCTGAGTGAACAACCCTCCACCTTTTTCGGCACAGAAAAGACGGACTTTCGAGAAGTCAATTTCCTTGCAAGTGCGAGGCACCGTCTTCGACAGGTACGACTATCTAGATGGTGACGATTACAAAGTTGATATATAAATTAATAATACGATAGCCTTAATCTGAAAGACGCGTACGCATAAATGAAATTCATTGAACGATGCAACAATTAATTTACTACGATCACTTTTTCGGGGCGTTAAATTAAAAAATCTTCCTTCGTTCATCTAATTGTTCGCGGCTTGTCCGGTTTTCATTTGCAGGGTAGTTTTACGTCGATTGCCATCGACCGACGCCTACCTACATAAAAAAAAAGAAAAAAGATCGAGATCTAAAACTAGAGCTCGTCGCCTTCGGACGACGGCGTTCCCATGTGCCGGAAACGAAAAGAGAAACACGGTAACGCAAATCACAGAATATCGCAATCGCAATGCGGAACGTTAAAAACCGTTCACGATGGACCCATCCGCCATCCTTGTGCCCAGGGAGAAATCGAGCGACAACCCTTCCCCTCTGCTAGTTACAAGTAGTTACCATGAAGTTAATAGAACAAAGTCGACGTGCACGATTACCGTTACACCATAAGATAAATAATTACTAACAAAGTGTAACGCTAATGTTGCACGGACCGAATAAAAACCACGAAGGCATGAGCCGCGCCACGGGGCCTAGTATCTAAAAAATGACGGAAACGGGTCTCCGCAGTTGGTCGAGGTCCATCGCGGAGTTGTTGGAGGAGGTCATGCCCTGTCGATGTGCGGAAGAAACCGGCGTGGACCTGGGACTGCTTCCGGGGCTGTTCCCCGCAGCCCCGGCGAACACAAAGGACCCGGGAACGCCGCTGGAGGATGTCGGATGGTGTCCAGGAAACAACGGCGAGAACTGCGAGGCCGCGCCGAGGTACGGTTTGCTGGTCGCGGTGGTGGGATAAAAGCTGGAGTAGAATCCACTGACGACCGCGGCAGCAGAGGCCGCGTTGTTGTTGGCCGCATCGGCGGAGGTCGCCGCATTGGTCCCGGCGTGTCCCCCGGCGACGAGTTTCCCCAGATGAACGGCATCGAAGGCGGTCCCGAAGTACGGGGGCAGGGGTGGATAGTCCAGGGGATGGCGATGGGGGTGATGGTGATGGGAAACCGGAGCAGCGGGGGTCGCAAAGTACGCCGGAAGCGGGAAGCTGGGGAACCCTCCGGAGACGGACCCCGGCTTGCCCTGGACGCCGTTGACGGGGGTCTTCGGCTTCCTCCTGGGCCTGTACTTGTAGTCAGGGTGCTCCTTCATGTGCATCGCCCTCAGCCTCTTCGCCTCGTCAATAAAGGGTCTCTTCTCCAGATCCGTCAGCAGCTTCCACTCCGCTCCCAGGCGCTTCGATATCTCCGAGTTGTGCATCTTCGGGTTGTCCAGGGCGATCTTCTTCCTCTGTATCCTGGACCACACCATGAACGCGTTCATGGGCCGCTTGATGTGCTGCTCCTGGGAGGCCTGCACCTGCTGCTGCACCCCGGGGAGCTCCTGCGACACGTGCGACATCGAGTGCAGGTCCATCCCCGAGAGGAACCCATACGCTGGATGGTGATGAGACGTCATGGCCCTTTTTCTCTCAAACGCTTCTCCCTGTCCTCAAACTATTTCCCGATGGGGCACCAAAAACCGCGAGTTCCGGACACGTGCTCGGCATCAACCACGTGACCGCTTCTAGTCTTTCCTATCCCTTCCTAAGCCACGATCTTCCCTTAAATCCCCTTCTTCGATTACGCTCTCGCACTTCCTATTCCCTCCTTTTCTTTTTACGTTGGACCCCTCGAAGCCGGAGTTTCTCCCTGAACCTGGTCTTGTTTTATTTTCAAGTTACTTCTCGAGAGTTTCGGGATTTCGGTTCGACACTTCCGTGGGAACTGTTCGCTGCAGGGCCAACAGCTGACGCCTCGCAGGCGGCGGGGATGGCGGTAGAAGCGTTCGTCGAACTCGCTCAAAGGGAGTACCGTGGCAGACTGAACATGGACTGGCTCGGTGGAGGCACCGATTTGCCGCCGGCTTTCCAGGCCAATCCTCCAGGCCTGCTCGCCACACCCAGGACCGCCCAGCGCTCCGCGTTGGTCGTGCCAATGGGGTCTTGCCTCCCACCAAAGGGAACCCCGCGGCTCGGCTGCCACTTATTATTATCGATTACGTCAATACGACTAGACCAGAAGTACTTGCTTCCGTTGGCTGGCGAGGTGCATCCCTGCACCGGAGGCATTGCGCCTCCTGAGAGAGGAATCCGGGATAATAACGACTACGCTTCCCGGATGTCTTCCGAGAGGAGGACACTAACCTAACTGTGGCACGAAAGGGCTACTTTAACTATATTAAACGTCTAGATATTTCTTAAACTATTATGCAAACTGGGTGGACCGAATCGGTTGAAATCCCCCCACGTGATCGTGGAGAACGCGATGCTCGTGAAATTGATGTTATCGATAACTTACTTGTTAACTGGAGCAGCAGAATTCTCGTACCACTACCGCGATGTATTTCCGCCATTAGGATTTACAGACTTAATTGACGAATCGCTCGGATTACTTTATTCTTGCGTTTCGGTGGACCGACTGGCGCCATCTGTGAAACTATCCGCCAACTTTCGGGCATTGGAATAGACGCGTTACTTTTATCTTTACGTATCGACTTATGAGCACCAATTTACTAGAGATAACCGGAACGACGATCTAACGTACCGACGATAGTTGAGAGTTTTACGATTTTTTCACTTTCATTTACCTACTGCAATTAAGTACCTGTCTATCGCAATCACAGATGGCGACATTTTACGGTCGCCTTGGAGATATGTATCAACAAAAAGGAGATAGGATGAGTTCAGACGTGACTGAAAATTATTTTTTAAAGGAAAAGATGGGCCCGTCGGTGTCCGATGATCTGTTGGCTAAGGAAAAGGAATATCACAGACAGAACAGAGAGATCGAACAGAAAGCTCAAGAACTTATGAGGGAAGTCGACATGGTTATTAATTCAGGCACGAATGATAATTCTCTTCGCACCCCCAAATCCAATTATACAAATTCAGATCCACCTTTGAAAGATGTCGCAAGGAAACGGTCAGATAGCGTTCAGATAACAAAGGTGAAACCATCGGACTCATTTTCACATAATCTCTTAATAAGGAGGAACTCGATTCAATCTATCGTCGAACCTGCACCGCGTCCTCCGACTAGACTGTAAGGTTCCCTACGTAATGAGGATTTTGTAAATGTTTAAGAATATCCTTACAAGTTAACTTATATTGTACATTTTCGTGTAAAACTTTTTCTTAAAATATATAATGCACATCCGTGTAAAGAATCTAAAAATCTTGAATTTTATTTACCGTTTTAACATAATCTGTATTTTAGAAAAGTAGACGGAGATTTGAGGATCGATGAGATTCCACCAGGCTGTGGAGACAGTTTGGGAACCGAAGCGATAATAGAATTTTTGAAGGCAAAAATACGAATGCTACATACCGAGTTACAAAGCATTCAGCTTGAATATAAGAAGAAGGTAAAAGAAACTCTGTATTTTATCTTTCTTGAGAAACAATTTGAAAATATTTCAAATAGTGTTTCGATCTCAAGAGTAATTTTGCAGAGAATCATTTCTCGTATTCAAATTTTTACTTTCATACAGCTTATCGAGTGAATGTCACGCATCATTTACACAATTTATTTTAAAAGATACGTAAGATAATGATTATCCTTACAAGAATATTTTTATAGTGTTCCTACTGCAAAGAATTGGAATCAGACAGTAAAAAACTGGATGAAGTGAAAGGTAAGCTACAGAATCAAGTGGCTTCACTAAAAGATACAATTTTGAAGTCGGAATCTACTAACACTAGTCTGCAATCAAAAATTCAAATCCAAGCTACTGAAAATAGTGCCTTAAGAAAGGTATGTAAAGTAATGAACGACTTCTAGTGGAAAACGAGATTCTTGAAAAGTAAATGTAACGTAAACAAAAAGCAAAAGTTTTAATGTACAAGTAATTCATTAATTACTGCTGAAACAAAATTCCTAGATTCTGGAAAAATTCTTTAAACATATTTTGCCATTTCTTTAAGGACATTGAAGGGTTACGGAAAGAAGTGAAACTATTAAATCAACAATCAAGTAGTTACGATGTTCGATTAAACAGATCGCTCGAGGACAATGAAAAGCTGCGAAACTCATTAAAATTCTGCCAACATGAAGAAAAGGTGTGATGAAAAAGATTTCTTCACTTAAAATAATTTTCATTCCGATCACTTGTCAAAGTAATTGGATAGAATTAAAACAATAACAATTTATTATTACATTTAGGAATTGAGGGAACAGATTCGAAAACTGCAAGACGACAAGGTTGCAGCAGTAAAAAATTTGGAGAAGCAACGCTCGGAACTCTTGCAAGCATTTAAAAAACAAGCATTGCTAATTGATAATTTAAAAAAGCAAAAAGTAAGATAATTATTAAGTTACGTCAATTTCTTTTTAACTGACGTTGGTTCCCTTTTCACGCCATAGCACATATTCTTTAACAATTAACTCTAATTTCTTTCGATTTGTGAAACACTTTTACTGAAAATTATTGCATTATTACTTATGCAGACAATTCTTACAGACGTACTTGGAAGCGAGCAGACAAATTCAATTAACGGAGGAGGAATTCTCCAAACTGTTGGAATGGAAGCCTGAAAATGTGTAATCTAAACTTCCTCCCGAAGGACATCGACTAGTAATATTTAATTACCTCACAAAATTTCTATGAATTGTTTGTTTATGAGATATTTTTACTCAATATATCAGAAACTGAAATCAAGTATCAAGCACACTTTAAATTAAATGTTTCAAGTCACGGAAAAAAAAGACTATCCCAATGTCAATACGAAAAATCAGCAAACAAGAGAATGTTCAATAATTTGTTACTTCTAATTATTCCAATCGATTGCGGGATTATTAGAAGAAACACCGACGTATCCCACGTAATCAACGAACTCTGATCAACTCTTGCTTCCAGCCGTCTCAAAGACTTCTCAATTTATTTACATAAATCCCGCCTTGTGCAAGAGATAAAAACTAACAATAATAATAGATCCGCCTGTACAAAAGATCAAAAAACTGTCATCAACCCGCTCGTCGCTAGAGAACCGACCAAGTCTAAAAGAAACCAACATGCAACACGAAAGGAAAACTTCCTTTACGGAGACAATTTCTTCGGTCTGCCAATTTGACATTATGAGTGCATCGGTCTATGTTTTCGACACTTAAAAGCTCACCGATACATGCCTCTGACTACTTCAACATTTCAAACACAGTCTTCAAAACATCTTCAAGACAAATCAGTTCCACTTCGACGAGCGGATTAAGAAATTTGGAGACGCTTTAACAAACTGAAGGTCATTCGACGCAAAAAATTCGAAGCTGACGAGGGACTGGGGGAAACCGTTACAAAAATTCGCATTGCGTATATTCCTTTCCTCCGATTACAATTCTCTCATTCGTTTCAATTAAATTCGTAGATTCCCTGCGCGTTGTACTCGCGAAGACTTGTAGACCCTCCAAACCCTCAGAGTTGTTAAAGGTAACACAGGGGACATCGATTGGATCTTCGAAGGGCAATGATTTGCTGCACAGTGAATTACACCAATTGGGAACTTCAGAAGAACCCAGTGGAGACCCCGTTAAAATATAAAAAGCAATTGTACAATACACAGATGGAGCCTCCGCTTGCCTTCAAGAAGTCCACGCAAAGTCGCTTCGATGGACAAGGGCTGAGTGTTATTTTCGTTTTTTTCCTACGTTTTTGATCATTAACGAATTTACCTATGCAAAAAAACTGAAATTTCTAAACACTTTAAACGAACCAAGGCCTCATAATTAAATCGAGATGGTACAATAATCAGTCCTTTCGACACAGCTTTGTACAGCGATGAAGAAGAGTGAAGTATCATGATAAGGACTTTTAAAGGAGTGTTCGAAGACATTGTTGCAGAAGAAACTGATACAATGAAGTACATCGACAGTGACAGTCAAGGGCTAAACCATATTTTTCACTCCAATGGAGCTTATCGAAGACCTTGTTACGGCAGTGACTATGTATCGATGAAGTTTATGTAGTAACACTTCGAAAGCCTGTGTCAAAATGCCGTGTAAAATTCTGGGGAAAGCATTTATAACTGGGAAATGAAAAACAATAATATGTAATGGAAAAGAAAGGAACATGCTTTCATGATCACTGAATTTTACCCGACATCTCGAACAGGGTACAGAATATTTACAATTTCGACAATGTCTTGACGACTATTTGATTTTTTATACATGATCCTCATTCACTTAATTAGAATTATCCGTGTATCACGCGCTCTGCATATTTGAATAATCCAGTAAAACGAAAATTAATATCTAACAGAAATGAAATTACACAATTTATATTTAATACTCATTTCGATATATCCTGTTAAAGTTTTAGGCAAGGTATAAGAATATTTCATTCGAGTCAAATTGATCTTCCTTTACGCTGGTAGAGTGGCTACGCAGTAAGTCACACAGGAATATTCTAAGCCAGTTTCAATTACGTATAACTCCTAGTTGGGTATAAACAAACTTCTATTGTTGCTCTTGTTAAATATTTATCGAGACATTTTATATGTACATTATATTTAAAGTATTCAAGAGAGTCCACCGAATGCATTCAGACTGAATAGCAAGGCAATTTGATATTTAAAAAAAAAGGTATAATTTACCACTTCTCTCGATCCAATCAAACTATTCATTGCTTCCCATTAAACGTCATAACGTCTTAATTCATAACAACGTGTTTCATTTTCGGTGCAACAGTCCAAATCAGAAAGCAATGTGAAGAACATTATACATTTTTAAATATCGACTTAACATATTGAAAAGAACCTCGTTGACAATTGTCAAGCTTACCAAAATAAATTCAACGTATCCAAAGAAATTCGATAAAAATGATGAAGAATTATCTAAAAATGTTACAAAATCTAGTGTTTCTTTTATTTATACACGAAGATGTATAGGTTATAAATTTTGTATTGTATTTTAAAATAGACACTTCATGTGTGGAGAAAAGTGTGACGAGCAGGAGTGTTTCGTCCTGCGTAACTTCTTATCCCCGATAATTACCATTAAATCGCAGATAAAAGAACTAATTTCGAGGTTGACATATTTCCTTTACAACAGCCACGTGATTGCCACAAGTCGTTAACAACAATAACAAAATATTAACGTAACAGTAACATAAGAACAATGGGTAATTATAGTTACAAAAGATTTTCAGCACTTCGCGTGTACATATATAATCTCACTACGCTACAAACAATTCGTCAGAGACCTAATGGTAACCATTTGTTACAATATTACATTTATGCATAAGCGAGCAAAATTTCCATCATTTGAAAAAAAAAGATTGTATATCAAAAACTGACAAGTGTAAACTTGAATCACCTCGAAATAAATGGTAAACAAATCGAATCTAGCCAAAGGCGAAGAATTCATTACGACATAACCAAAGAGATATTAATAAATTGCAAAAAGACATCCAGCCAAATGGTTTTCGAGTAGAAGTGATATAAACTTTTAAGTGTAAGAATGGCAACTCAGTATACGACGAGTACCACGATCACAGATGATAAGGATACAATATAGTACATATTGCTTAATTAACACAGAAATAATGTACAATCATTTCCCATCTAACCCTCGTCCGACGATATCGAATCACAAACGATCTGGCGACAATCACGTGTGTGTCATTTCCCTGCGAGACATATAAGTACATTATATCTAGTCACCGAAGCCTTCGACGTAACCTAAGGCCAAGTTAACCCTCTTCGATGCAGACCTCTTTGAACATTTCGCAAGTTTCCCTTTCGAATCACTTAGACGCCTTTACATTCACCGAAACGTCCCCTAAAGCTTCCCGAAGCCACCTTGGAAATCTTCAAACTCCCCGGAAAGCCATCGAGGTCATTTACACAGTCTTTGAGAACAACAAATTTTTGTCACAAATACCTCCTCGATTTCCAAACTCTCTCCGCAGTCCTCTAGACTCCACGTTGGAAACATCGAAAGCCCACTGGAAACCTCTGGAAGGCATTCGAAGCTCTCAGCAAAGAGGTCTTCGCCGGACTTACACTCAGCCCTTCTCTCCGTAGGTACAATTTGACACCTCAAGGTGATCGGTCCAACTAGTCGCTTTGCTACAGCCACCACCGAAGCAGAATGTACAAGTTACACGAGTAGTGCTCACCAATGGAGCGAAAAACCCTCTTGTGAACAATAACACACCTAAGACAACGAGGTGGCCAATGAAACCATTTTTATTAACATCTTATATATATGTATATATATATATGCATATATTATATACATATATACATATATATAAAAATCAGTTTCTAAATGCGACCAGAGGGGACAACGCGGTACAGGGGCATCCATGTACAGAAGAGGAGAGAATCGATCGGCGACGTTTTAAATAAATATATAGTGTCAGGTCAATGACAGCGAAGTAGCTCCAGCCTCTTCGCACTAAGTGCACCCTGCTTCTGCTGTCGATGGTGCTCTTGCTAACGCGAAAGCTGCTGCGGAGTTCTTTCACCGTGGCACATCATGCCAGATAGCTATACGTGTCTTTCTGACCTTCCGTCCGTTCCAGATATTCTTTCTCTATTAAAATATCTATACATTTCTGAAATTCAAGAAAACATGATCTAAAGTGACCGTAATGCATCGAATCTCTGACTCCCCTGATTTTATTTTTAATCAATTAACCTATAACGGCTAATTAGATCTCAAGAAGAGTTGTAACAATTCCTTCTGACACTGCTCTCCGCTGTTCTGCCCTTTGTATTTAAGATTTGTCTTTAACATGCGACAATGAAGAAACCATTTGAAATAGAAAGTCATATACTCACTTTTATAACGTGCACTCTTGGCTTGAACCTGGAGCTCAATTGATTAAGAACCTCAGCCACTAATTGCTGATGCTTCAAGACTTTCCTCATTTTCATGATCCTGACAATAGCTGCCTGGATCAGCAACTTCCGATCCTCCTCTATATGCTTGTGTGTGGTTTCCTGCTCCACCTTCAGTTCCGTTTTCATTGGTATATTGATATTAACTCTTAACTTTTTACTGTAAACATCAAGTTCATAAAATTACCCGTCAACCCTAAAGAGTCATATTTTAAATTCGTACATGAGTAACGTGATTTTCATGAAAAATATATATATATATATATTAAAAAAGAGACAGACTTGCAGAGAAAGCTACTCACTTCTTATATCCCGTAAAAAGTTCCACCGTGGAAAGTGGCGTTAACTCGGCTTCGTCATCTGTAGCTGCCGTTAACAATTTCGCTTTTAAAAGGATCTGAATTACCTAGAAAATAAATTGAAACGTTTAATGAATAATTGAAGCAATAATGAATTTTTCTTTTAACTTACTTGTATTAGAAAATCCATTTTGATTTGCGTGGCGTCATGCAGCTGCTGTATCGTCCATATTGTGGAGCCGTTGTATTGTAATAAAACTGCCATTTGGAAAGTCGATGCTTGTAGCGTATACCTAATGGGTAATACAATTTTTATGAATGTAATTTATCTTATCCTAACCTATTAACAACGCCCAAGACAAATCAGTTACGATAACAAGTTAAACTTTGACACTGTTTACACTTGTAAATAATTACCTATTTTTAAAGCAATTCGTAAGCAACTCCCCCTTTGACATATTATACAGCCAGTTTAATTTTCTGCCACTATGCTGCGAACTGTAAAATGCAGTAAACCTGTGCACAGACCTCTCCAGCTGTGAATAATTATATTTATTACGTATAGTAATTTCATCGATTGGATAAAATGACTTAACTTACAAAAACAATACATGAATTAAATTAACAAATGTGAAGTAACATGAGTGGAAACTATGCTCAAGTCCCGATACATTATTATTAACAGAGTCAAGTTCTATGGTTAATGTTAGTGGATATTAAATTATTACCTCGGTGGGTAAGGAGAATGTGAAGGATTGCTGGAATGGCCACGAGCCAGATGACAGTACTTGTATACTGAAGTCAATGTCTAAAGGCTCAGCGGAATTCGTCAGATGTCTTCGAAACTGTTCGTTCAAATCCTTTGAAACTCCAATATCCTGTTGAACAGAGTGATATCGTTACGGAAATGTCAAGATGCCAGATATTAGTCCGTAACATTCTCGTTTACATCGGTTAAATATCTTATAGATAAGATAATGTTTTTATCTTAGAGCAGTTAAATTACCTGGAACATTCGCTGGAGTTTCGAAGTGTACTCAAAACCACAAGCCTGCTTCAGCTTGGAAATCATCGAGGCCTCTGCGTCATCACTAGCAGACATATGTTGCACCAATCGTTTTGCTAGCATTTTGCTGTAGAACTTTTGGAACACATCCTTGTCTTCGATATACTTGAATACTACCATCTGTAAACAAATCATTAGCTTGATACAGTTTGTAGTACAGAAATTATGTAAAGAACAATTCATGGTATTAAATGGAGATATAAGTTGATCGATAAGGGATGTCAAAAGTTCTTACGACTTGATTTAGGGTATCCTCGAGTTCAGCCTCTTCCGGATTTTTACTGCTCTTTTTCAGCAACAAATCGCAGTACTTAGCCAGCAGTTCCGGCGACTTGCTACTACTGTTGGCCGCCCTGGTGACGGAGTTACTGTTGATAAATCGACCGCAGGCCTTATCAAGGGCTGCCACGAAACCACTGTCGTTATTAAATGCAACCAATACCAAAGCATTATATTTTTTGTGCACCTCCAAAATAGTGTTTACGTAAACCTTAGGGTCCTGCAGAAAAAAACAAATGCATCCTTAACCGTTAACCTGTAAAATAATATCTAGAAATTGTAAGCGACTTGATATTAACGGTGAGTTATTTTTAAACAAAGCAAGTATTGTCTTCTTTTTCTTTTAACAGCAGATGTTGCTTTCAACAATTCCGAAGATCACTCACATTAGCAGCGGAATCACCACATTTGTCAATGGCTGCCAATCCCTGATTAGCAATGTGGATTTCTAGGAGATTTCGCAGCTCCCCCAAGCCATTCGGTATCCTCGCTACCAACTGATACATTCTGCCCAAATCTGTGTTCTTATCAGCATCTAATAAGTTCTGAAACTCCGAGTGGAAAATGTCCAGATGAATCTCGATGAGCACCCTTTCGCAGGTTTTGGCTAACCTTTCGAGCGTCGTCTGATGTAGATATACCTGGACGCGTTTCTGCTCCTCTAATATCCTCTGTTCGGCCTGTAAATAAAACATAAATAAATAAAATGAATATTCCAAATATTCCAAGAACTTATAACTGACATTAGACCCGTCACTGGTTCATCATAAGTTTAAAAAAGTGTACAAATGATCTGTATCAATTACCTTCTTCATATATTCCGTTACAGGATTTTGCCTAAGGAAGTCTGAACTCTCTCGAGTGTAAAACCTTTCGGTATCCTCGAGGAAAATATTTTCAAAGGAATCCTTGTACACCGTGAGATTCTGTCCTTTTGCAACAGGATCTTCTTCGTTGAGACCCAACTCTACGTAACAGTTTATCACTCCGCTCACTAATCGTGTATTTATTGTCTCTCCGTTTCTCTCGCGTTCTATTAATTTCAGCACCGCATTTGTTACCTGTATAGAATAACAAAATCAAATAGTTCATAATGAATACGTGCAAAATCAGTTCGATCCGATTTATATGTTTTGTAAACTCCAACAGAAGATAATTCAAATAAGAGCCGTATATTAACTGCATTTTTATTTTTCATGCAATTCTCACTGTACAAAGTACTTACTTGTCTATTTAGATGTTTAAATAAGTTATCTCTCCACGTGACCAAAGCCAACTGATAAATCTCATAAATTCCTTTACGTCCTTCTTCACACTCCCGGCGCACCCAATGACGATTTAAATAAGCGCTTACTCCATTCAGTACTTTACTGCTGAACTGATACTCCTCCCATTGTCTTGTGTAAAACTGCAGCACATCCTCGTCCATTAAGTCGATACCATGCTAGAAAAAAGTTGAAAATACACACAATGAGACGTATCATAAAATTAAAACAATAATTTATTTTTATTAGTAAAAACCAAATTTTTGTAAAACTCGCAGATGAATAACAAACATCAGCCTAGCAAGTTAATATAAATTCCTTAATATACATCGTTTAAGTTTAATTCTCACTTTTAATAAATTGACCAGGTAATTTCTGAGGAAATCACGCAGGCGTTTATACAATTCCAAGCCGACCAACTGTGCACCTCCGGTGGAAATTTGGCCTTTTTTGCTTTTAGAAGACGTTCTCGTTAGCTGTTGATGTACACTCGTACAGTAATTATATACATGTCTGTCAAAGATTTTGCAATATTTGTAAGGAAATATTGTAGTACTATGAACTACTTCCTAGTATAACTATGATAGTGAAACAAAACCTAAAATATATACATTCATTTTTCTAATAGTCTATCATAACCTAACATTTATCTTCCTTTGCTCTCTGCTACTAACTATAGCCAAATTCTAGAGAACTTTTCAAAGGAGTGTCTAATTATAGTAACATTGAATTTTTCACAAAGGATACGTATACAATTCTATGTATCTGGGCCTGAACATGGATTGTCTGTTGTAAACTTGCTCGATGCCTTCTCGCAGGTCCCCCCAGATCTGGTCGAGGTCGATTTGTTTGAGACCTGGTGGGCCACCGTGATGGCTTCCGGGGCCTCCACCACCTCTATGCCCAGACATACTGTTTGTGTGAGCCTGATGAGTGATCGTCCGCTTCCTACTACTTACTACTACGATTTTCCTGGAAATACCAAAAACCATTTCACTTTTAAAATAATTATTATAAATTACCATTACCAAGTTGATCTTTTATATCATTGAAATGGTTTAGGTTAGACGCAAATAATTATAAAAGGGAATCATTAAACTAGCCAATGAATCGCTAATGATTATAATTTATCTGATCCATCAAATTTGTTGTTGAAATCAGTTCTTGTCTCCTGATATCAGAACTTTCCTGCCAAATTTTAAACATTAAACTCGTAGACTGTCTAAAAAAAAAAGTGAAATCCACTAATTTCATTGTATATCGCTTTAATATCGAAACGTTCAAATTTGTATCCATAATGGATCCTTCCATTTCCTAAGAAGCAACTTTAAATTAGTTGCGACTTTAACTACAACATTTAAATATTTTTTTTATTCATAAACAATGGTCTCGAAACCAAGTAGATTATTCCTGAATTAATTTCCGATAACCCGAAGAAATATCAACAATACAAATATACATCGCATAATAGACTACTAATCAAACACAATAGTTTACAATTTCCTTCTTTAACAAAATCCAACATCCAAAGATCACGAGAAGTCTCGAAAGAAAGGATTCCTGCGTAACCTAACAGCATTGTCGGAACAAAACTCCTAATTTATTCGATCTCACCGTAACATAAAAGGATACCGTACTTCATTCGGTGTACAGTTTCCCACGTCCTCTTAACAGTAAACACATAACCTAGTAGGAATTCAGCGAAAGAGCCAAAAATAGTCGAAATGACCGAAGCACCATAAGAGGCCCAAACCGAATTAGTATTGTACAGGCGCCCGTTAACCAAAATCAATCGTTCCCACTCGATACCAGGAGAACTCAGCCGACCTCAAAACAGTAAACACACGACCTAGTAACAAAACTGGAGTAAACCTCCGATTCCGTTATGTGCCAAGGTGGTGTAAAGTCTCCTAAATTTTCACCAGCCGTCCTCGCGCTTGCCTCAGCCGCTGCGGAATTTTCGTCACATGCGACCATGAGTCCCTCCTCCGAGCCTTTGTTTAATCCTTCGATCCTGCGGCGATTCTCTCGGTCGAAGCGTATCGCTTCGACTCCGTCCTTGTTAAAACCGAAAAAGCTCGCTTAGGCGCACTCACCCGTGGAGGTTTATCGCCGCATAACAGGCCAACGGTCCGTCGATGAGCTTGGTTATCCAGCCTACCGGGCTTTCGGGGGTTTCACGAGAATTTTCCGCAGTCACTCTCGAAACGGCCCCGAAAGTACGGAGGATTCCTCCGAGACGAACCAATTCGCGGTGGCTGCTCTCGCTCGCTCCCTCGCTCGCCTCGCGCGATATATCCGCTGCTTCACGTATGACAGGTTAAGTCCCACTGTTGCCAACGCGACCGCGGCAACTAGCGCGCAACCGCCGACGCGCAGTCTGGCAACTGCTCGCGACGCCCCGCCATTTTCAAATTCGGAGCCCGAGCACGGTTGTGTAGTAACGATCATTTCGTGTGGGAGCAGCACTTAATGCTCGCGCGTCCGCCATCTGGCCGCTGCATATTCCACGCCCGAACGATTACGTCTTTGCAGCCATATTGGCAGTGCTATGACGTCATTCGACGAGCGCCGAAAACGTGGAAATCAATAAGCTTGACTCGCGGCAATGTCGTGTGCAGATTACGACAGTCGGCTCCCGAGGGAGAGATGGCCGTCGAGTCAAAGTCAAAGGAATGATGTGAACGCGGGCTGGCCGTGAGCCCACCGTCACAAAGGAACCACCGGAAGCACCGAAGAGCCCGACGAATAACGAGGAGCCATGGGTCGGCACGCCAAGTGGAAGCTCGCCGTCGTCGCCGGAATATCTCAGTGCTTAGTTTACGTAGGTCGCAATCATTTAACGAATCCGATCAACCTGTAGACTCTGTCAAAGTCAGCTGTTGTCCGTTGCACCTTCTACACAACATTGTCAGCCCGATGAACTGAAATCAAGTATATCCGAGTTCTTGACATTTGGGCTGGCTGAAAAGTCCTGCGACACTTAATATTTTATAAATCTTAATATTTCTAAAATTTAACAAGAATTTATAGAGGCTGCGAGAGCCTGGATAAAAGTGGAGAATTTATCGTCAACTGAAATTGTAACTCAATAATTGAAAATAAATCTTGGAATCGAGTTGGTGGTGTCACAAGACTTAATCGTTTGCATGGTCAGAACACTTGAACGTTTAATTATCGTGCACTTAATTATTGTTATTTTTGCATGTACTTTATGTATTTAATTTAATTTTTTTCGTGACACTGATAATTTTATATATGTATTGTTATTATAAATTATCTATTGTATGCTGCTTTTTTAGTTTATGCTCGTTCATGCATATTTTGCTAATTTATATGCTTTGTACGTACACGTGTTATCTTGTTGAAATAAAAATACATTGTTGTTAATTTCATTTTATTTAATTTTCTTGTGATGGTTACTTAGTAAGTGCAATTAAATATAGTTGGTAGAGATATGTTACTATATACTGAAAAACACTTCTATTAGTATTACTTAGATATAAGTGTCATGTATTATGCCTAAAATTTAATTATTCCTGGTTTATTAGGCATTGTTATGAGATATCGTACTATATTAAAAAACTTTCTTTAGGCAGAAGCAAAATACTGTGCTCTTGAAATACACGGAGAACCAAGATACTACGCGTGAGCATCATTATTTATTACATTTCATGTCTGTTTAAACTATTTAGTGAAGTTAGATCAGTTTGAACATCAAACTATTAGGCAAAGCATGCTTAAACTACATAGAAGTTACAGATGATTAAGCACGTTTTCAATGAACTAGATTAATGTACAATTAAGTGGTATTTGTGTAATCATTTACATGTTTGCACAGATGTCCAAAAAATGAGTACTGCTGCAACTTTGGTTGCTGCGTATCTCCTGGATTCCAAATCTATCATTTGTGGTACTATTGGTGAGTTTCCCTGAAATACCTCTCTATACAAATTATTTCACATTATCGGCTAGGAGTGCCTGGCTTTTAATCGCATTAAAAATTAATTAGATTATACTGAGAGCTAGTCGATTGAATTATCTCCAGTCAAAGAACTTTGATAATAAACTTAGAGCTAGCGAGAATATAGACACATTATGTTTCATTCTATACATTCACTGAAGAAATGACAGAGGACTTTTTTTGTTAGATTTATTGTAAAACGGTGGAAGTCAAATATAGATGACCGATATAACAAGGTGTGTTTCAGGCTCTTGGTGATAATCATGTTCCTGGTGTGTTCTGGCGGTGGGTGGTGGTATCGATATTGGCTCCAAGGGAGATACAGAGCCGCTGCCTCGGCCATTCCAAGTAGATCTTCCAATTCCAGAACTCAGAACCCTCTCCGAGGCCCCACATGCCAAGCGCAGCAAGCTCGCATTACGTACAATTCCGCTAGAAATACCGTCCTACTCCACCGTATGTGGAAAGGTACTGTAACGTAGTATCCATTGACTTCGATCCACTGATAGTTTCCAACTCGTCACTTCAAGACTTGATATCACCTAAGAAACATCTTTCCTCGACAGGTCCACATCGCAACATGGCGTCGTCAGGGTACAACGGCGCCGCGAGCAGTTCGGCTCACTTCCAGAACACCAGTGTGGTCCTGAATGATAGCAACTGTCCTTATTATCAGCTGTACGGTCCTCCGCCAAGCTACGAGACCGTGATAGCGCAGACTCGGGGCAAAATCCCGAGCCCCACATCGCCAGAGGGCTCGAGGTCGCCCTTAAGCCACGCCTCAGGGCGGGCGCAGACCCTCCCACCGTGCTTTAACCACGCCTACCCGCCAACCAGACTCAACGGCGTACTTATGGACGGGCTGCGATTGGGCAGTGTCCCGGGAATATCTAGAATGCCTCCATTAGATAGTCGCGATGCAGCGTGGTTCCCCAATGTCCCGCGACGGTGCGCTGGTTTCGCCATGAGATTACCAACGGTCTGCCGTGGGGACGACGTCACTAGAAACGCCTTCAAGTTAGTAGTTCTCCGCCTACTGTTGTTTTATTTAAGGTGATATAATCGATTCAAACTTTACAACGTAATTATGAAGGCTATAGGGAAAGTCCTGACACCCATGAAATTATATTTCGCATAAAAAATTTGTAAGATATCTGTAAATCGGTGTTTTATAATAAGTATATTTATACTTCAGACTATACCACACCATCAACACATTCGAGACATTCAACGTGGACAGGCCACTGGACCCATCGGAGGTAGAAAATGTCCCCCGCAGTGACGAGTCCAGCCCAGAGAGGTACACGATCTTGAGCATAGACTGTGCCAGCGGTTCGGGCCAGGAACCATCGGAATCCTCCCCTGGGACAGAAATCCCTAGGGTGCACACGAAGCCGGAATTGGACAAAGTGGTTCCCGAGGAAGCAGATTCCGGGCGTAGGAGAGGCTCCCAGGTAACGGAAGTGTCGAGGAAGTGCGAGAACCAAGAAGCGTCCAGTTCCTTAAAGTCAGGTCCAGGGAATCCTCGAGGGTCCACAAGGAAGAGCTCGAGGAACGCCGAGGGAGGCAACCTGAAGGAACGAAGTAATTCCAGGTCGCTCCTGGATTCGAGGGATCATAAAAAGGGAAGCCAGGTCGAGGGTAGACGTGGCGAGGACCTCTGGAAGCGCCGCTTCCTCGAGAACGAGCCAATAGGGTCGTCGATAGACCCGAAGGGCATGGCGTCGGAAGGGGAGAAACGACTGGTGAGAGCCGGTCTCTGGAAGCCACGTCTACCGGAGGAACCGCAACCAGTAGGCGGTTCACGGTTTGCCAGGGGCGGGTCGCAGACTGGGAGTGGGCTTGGCTTCGGACGCCAGATGGGCGGAAACTTTTCCAGGCCACTCCCACCTGGGGAGGAAAAGGCGGATACTTCACCGGGGGAATCCATCTCTACCGCAGCTCGACTTTCTCCGGACGATACTCGAGCGATGTCGCAGTGCGCCGCGAGCTCGCCAGGCGGCGCCGCCAGTCCGTCTCGTTTAAATCCATCCAATAATGTGATATTAGCTCCACTTACTTCTAACGTCGAAGCGACGCGGCAAGGCAGGAATTCGCCGCTCCCAGCCAGGGGGACGAACTTAAGTTTAACATTTGAAAGTAAACAGAGGTTAGACAGGTCGAAGTCTCTCGACTGAGCCACGCTACAAGCGCAACAACGTCATGTCTGTACATATCTGGGTCGTGTTACTTGTTCGTTAGATCTGCATATTTCGTAGTTGTGAATCGCACTTTATTTCCGGGCAGGAATCCTGCCGCTATTCAGTTGGGAATCTTCTTTTATACCGAATAGTCGTAATATTTTTTATCTCAGGTAGAGTCAACTTTGGGGTTAAGTTGTACCGAAATTGCCGCGGGAATCGGATCTTGGTCTTTGTGTTCCATGTTCGAATTTCTCGTTCGTTTCCAGAGTAGCGCTCGCTCGGTACGTCCAATTTCAACGTGGCCTTCAAGCTTTAAGTCAGGAAAACGAAAAATCTCTGCCGTTGTAAACGATGACCTTATTTTTACCTACTTCGCAGTTCCGAATGCAGATGTCGCGTGACCAAGTTTCCGCTCTAATGTGATGCATGTCATGGACTCGTATGATTGGTCACATCCGATACCGAATATCACGTTATTGGTCACTTAAGTAAATAAGAAAGACGACCAATCGCATGCGCGTTACGCGTTTCACCTAAAAGTCTAAAAATACGTCAGATGCACAAATTTAGAATGCGTTCCGATATCAGCTGTGCGGCAATTCTATTGCAATTGTTCCAGAAATTGGAACTGTGTTACGATTGGAAACTATCCGGAAAGTGCATCAAACGTTACGGGATTTTTCAATGTTTTGTAATATTACCAACGTGTACCTAAAGTTGCCAAAACTGAGACTGGGCGGTTTTTGAAGGCAGGATTTAATTATTTATGTTTAATTTTTATGTACTCGCACGTGTCTGGAATTCAAAAGATCTACGGTAGATCGCCAGGATCCGAAATCTTCGAGGATCTGGCGGGATTTTTCGGATTTTCAAATTTTCAAATCGTACGTAGCTATAGCGAGAGGAAGCCGAATCGCATTTAAATATCGCGAATTGATTTCCTTATTAAAACTCTCGATGGAGCGCTAATTGTAACGAGGATCCTTGTCTTAATTAGCGCATGCATGAATGAAAGGGAGAGAGTGAAATAGTGAAAATGATAATCGAGCGAAACGCCGTGAAAACACGAGAAAAAAAATCGACGTTTGTGGATCTCGCCATTTTAGTGTTCACCTAGAACCAAAACTAATGTATCCTATTAATATTCGGCTTTTCGCGAAAGACCGGGCGCAGTTTTTGTTAAAGGAGATGTTAAAGGAGATGCTGTCAAATGAAATGTTCATCCAGGAAATGAGCTGCGCCTTGTAAAAGCATATCGATTGTACTGTGATTTACATCTCTCTCGATAATTTATCACTTTTAATTTGACTGCCGCGGATATAAGGAGACATGATTTGTAAATATGACGCGATTCAGAATTGTTTAATGTGCTTTTGGCAACGCTTCCGTGCCGGAGATAAAATTAATTTAGCGAATTAAAATTTCTTACAGCTGTACGAAATTGATAAGAGGTTTTATCTACATGATTCCACGCGTGGGAAGAATTATTCACTGTGAAAAATGTCTGAAATTTATCTCTAGACCGCGATTATTATTTCTTTGGATAGTTCATTTCCGGCAGCGGAGAGAGAAACGGAGAGTTATTAATAAAGTCAGTGTTTTGCGGGGTTTGCGTTCTTTTTGCAAATAGCGGTCCAAAAGCGCATGTGCCAATGGCGAACAAAGTCTCAAAATGAGGTATCGCAATCAATGAGACGATCGTCATCTAGCCAGGAATGTCACGACAGCAAAGATAAACAGAATTATTTTTTGGTACCAGTCCTAATCACTCGTAAGATGGTCGTTTACCTTAAGCTAAGCTATAAGTATCTTAATGTTAAGCGCGGCACGAATTTCGCCACTTTTCGAGAAGCCGATGCGGACGTCGTCGAATTTTCAAAAATCCTCCACTCTTAAGTGGTTAAACCTGTACTTTTATTATTTATTATCCGTATTGGCAGGACCGTTTAACTCGTTACAAATAATCGCTTCATTAACGGTTGCCAGGCAACCGGCATTTTGGATAAACGCGAGAAATTACGGGATCTGTCTTGAAAAAGTTCTTGTACGATTTTTCATCTTTTCTTAATGCCAGCGGGAAAACTTGAATTTGTCGAAGCATTAATTCATACAATAACGGGTACTTGTATAACCTTGTCAATTGATTTATTCCATTGTTCATGTACACCTTTAAGTGGGCATCGCTACGTGATTTGGAAACGTCAAAAAACGTCCGCGAAATTTTGTCCCTTGTACATAAATGGAATGATTAAAATACACCTTTTCTATTACGAGAGGATCGATGGAACGTGGTGACTGTAATTCTGAATTATGACCGGGGAGAAGGAATGCGAAAGTTCTAAAAATTTGTCCTAATCGTAGTGTGATCCGTACAGATGCAAAACTGCAGACATGCAAGAAACGCGCGTGCCGCTTTTAACGAAAATGCAATTTTCGAGAACATCCCTTTACTGTAACGCGCAGTCATTCGTATTAAAGAAGACACTGTAAAGAAAGTTGTATCTAATGTAAAGACGTCTCGATGAAAATAAAGACACGGAATATTTATTCAAATAACGCGGCATTCGAAGAAGTCGTTCCTATTTTAATCACGATTTCCGATAGCTATTTCAAATGTCCCGCCTGTTTTGGGCGGAAACTACGTAAGTTTCGCCGGTCACTGCTCGACTCAAAACTCCGGGAGCGTTTTCGAAAATTTTCCAGCTCGGCGCACCAACGTGTTCACATTTTCGAGGTAATGAGAAAGATCGAGGTGCACCGAGAACTGCAAATAAATTAACAGCGGCGGTCGCGTGTCATCCCTCCCGGACGCGCATGGCCGGCGCGATTTTGGCGCGACCCAAAATTGTCGGATAATCGGGGAAAATCTGAGATTCTTGCAAAACCAAACGACTCGATCGAATGGTTCACTCGAGTGGATTTTCGCGATAAGATTGGAAACGATACAAGGCTGTGCGTTTCCACGTGGCGGGCCGACGAAGATGGCAGGTGACATCGTAACCGCGTCGACGGGAAATCAATAAAGGGGCTGGCGGAGGGGGAAGCATCCCCGCGAGCTGTCTCTAAAACCCAAAGCAGTTTTGTAATCCAGTTGCAAAATAGAAAATGCCTTAGCAATTTTAACTCCACGTTGAGTCCTTCCGAGGCCGAGGTTTCGGCACTCGCGAGATTTATGTGGTGATTAAAAGAGTGCATCACGAACGTCGAGCTTTCGTGTACCAGTAGTGATACACAAAATGTCAGTGAGGGTAAGTGTCACTTGATTGGGGCAAAAAAAGGGTAGAAGTGCTTTCGAGATTTTCGCTCACTGAGGACATTTTCATGACGACGGTTGAAAGGTGAAATTTTACGCTTTGGCAATTAATTTCACGCCTCGACAAATCTAAAAGAAATTCCTGTTGAATATCTCGATGTCTATATTCTATCTCAATTGATGTTTGATATGATTTCCGAACCATGAGGGGTATGTTCAATTATAAAACGATGTTTTATAAATCGACAGGCAGGCCAGGAATTTTACGACTAAGACGCCTTTAGGCTCACAAACGCTTATGGATTTATAGCCTCCTAAAAAACATCTCCATTTAATTTAAAGATACCATAAAACAAAGGGAATGAAGTTAAAGAGTACCATTCTTTATCAAACACATAAATCTAATACCTTAAACATGAATTACTCGTTTACTCTAAATCTCTAAAAATGTCTAATTCCATCGCGTTAAAATTCCGTGAAATTGCAATGGTCTGATAAAACCACTTAACACACTGAAATATCATGTGACATGGTTTCGGTATTTTCTTCCGTTTCCGTGTGCTTGGCGCGAGTAACACATGACTCATCACGAGTGCGGGTAATCAGTAATTGCTGGAGTACCCGATAAACCGTTTGGACGTAAAATGTTTAGATAGAAGCGAGCAATATCAACGACGCCATCCGCCATTGTCGCGCTTTGTTAGAGATGTCAGACGCATGCGCGCCCTCGCCGTCGCAGTTCCTCGCGGACCGCCGGCGGGTGAGCTTCGCGCCAGTTGAGCTTTCGCGGTCGCGCTCGTCGCAACGACTCGAAGCTCCGCGCAAACGGCACGTGGATACTTATACGTATTTTTAGCTCCGGCTAAAAACTCGCGCCGGCGGATGTACGCGAACGGCTGCGTCGGAGAGGTGATTCCTTCGAGTTTTTAAGCTTTTGCTCATATACAACCCGTCTCTTTATAAGCTCCAAAGCGTCCCTCCCGAAGAAATTTCTTGACCCTCCCTGCGAATATATTATCACGTTATGAAACACGCACATTGATAGCGTAAAAATGAAATTTCATATGATTCGATGGAAACCCACCACTGAGATTGTTTAAACTTGTTCGTTTTTTTAATTTCTTCCCAATCATGGATTTTCGATAATGTAAAAATGTGCAGGGTTTTATATGAACTTAAGAACAGTTTATTTCTAAAGCTGCATTCATTTTTATCAAATAGGATTTGTAGGCCGCAGGCTTTTACTGATCACTTGAAAGCTCTTCAATCATCCCAGAAAGAGCTTAAAGAGGTCAGGGGGCTTTGCTCCAGTTCAGTAATGACACATTTCATTCATTCATGATTCACAATAGCTTTACAGCAATCTCGAGGCATTCTCCGAAAATGAAGTTAGTCTTGACATTGCGAGATTGCCGGAAGAGGAAACGACTTCATTAACATCCGGAAAATCTCATTGCTTCCGCTTTTTTCTGGAAAGTCGATTTTCCCAATATGTAACGATTCATTATTATTATTCATATGCAAATTGAAAGCTGAACTCCATTACTTGCCTTCGACCGTACAAGACCAGAGAAATAAAAAACAACAAACAAATTACCCTCGTGACTGGCTCGCTGTTTATCGTTTTATCGGAAACAGTTAAACGAGCGATCTCTTACGATAATATTATTTGTCCAGATTTTATCGCATCGTAAATGCAACATTGACTTAACGTGTATCCCGATAAAAAGTGGAGTAGTATGTTTTGCTAGACTATACACTCATTTAGGAGACATATTCTTATTCGCATTTATCGTAAAAGATATTTCCATCGAGATGTTGTTTTCTCCCAGATAAGCGATATCGATGTTATCGGCTCGTTATCAGAGACTTCGGCACAGTAGTTGAAAATCGTCGAACTTGTCTATAATATTCATCGGGGACGACAACGATGTCGAAATTCCGTAATTTATTCTGCCAATGCAAGGAATAATTATTTGACACGTAATGAATTGGAATAAATTGGGTGCAGCGTTTGTTTAGAAAATATCGGTGTACACTTTACAAGGCCGAGGATTTTCTTTGATAATAATACGTCCTTTAGTGCCGATCGCGTAATATTCTTCAAGGTTTCGCGCCGCCTTAAGTTAACAAACCCGAAGGCTAAGCATTTGCAGATGACATTAATTGCAAACAACGCGGCGCGGCCATCAATCCACGATCTTATTAACCAGAAATGTCATTGAAAAATCATTTGGAATTGTGGCACCGTTAACCATAAAATGCATTAAACATTATGCACGTGACTGAACATTTCTTCCAGTAAAGCGGGAATTTAAGTCCCGAAGAAATTAAAACCGCAGGGGGTAATTGATCCAACGGCAAGGTGATGGGAAGAAGCGAAGTCATTTGAATACTGTATTAACATCGGCGACTCATGAATTTTTAATAACTGGAAATAATGCGACTCTGCCCCGGGCATGTTTTGCCCGAAACATGCAAATGCGCAATCCTAGCCTAACATCAGGAGCTAACATTTAATCGATGCTCAGCAGACTATGAAACCGAAGAGGGATAGACGACGTATATTATATCCAATATTTTCTTTTACCCAAGCATAAAGGAGGACGTGAAAACGGAATATTCAAGCTCACCTCAATTCGGTCACAATAGCACATTTCATATGTTTTTAAGAAAAATTCTTAGGCGCATGCGAGTGCATTTTAGATGACATCGTATCTCTCCCTTAATTATATTATTTTTAATTATTTTGTTCGTCAGATGACGAGGTACAAGCAGGCCGAGTTTGAGGATGAAGACAGCAGCAGCATAGGATCCGTGGCGCTGAACAGCGAGGGAATAAGTGCATCCGTCACACACATTGGATATCGCACTGTAAGTGTGCATGCATTTCGTAACTGCATGAGTAATGGTACAATGGTCTAATGCACTTTACGGGAGAAATCATCAGGGTCGAAACGTCGACTTGGATTCGCTTCTAAAAAGCTGCTTCCTAGTCCCAAGACACGAATTTCATTGTACCGTAAAAATGGTAAAAAGATGCTTCCCAGATCCAAGACCCGAATCCTCCATTATACCGTAAAAGAGGTAAAAATGTCGGAAACTAATTTATGACATCGGATGTATGTAAGTAAAGAAATTCGATGTTAGAATCTTTCTTGCACGACTTTTACTATGACTTGTTGATGCCTGATAACGAGCATAGGGATGTGATAATGTGAGGTATTGGAATTATTCCATACACAATGGGCCATTATTAACCATTTGCATATGGACACGCGTATAGTTTGTCACGCTAGCTCGCCTTATGACCGCAAAGGGTTAATGTAGTCTCATTTCCGTTTCCGGCACGTAAGGAAAATAGTTTCCCATTCGGACGATTCAATTCGCAGACACCCTTGCGAGATTCTATTCAATTGAAACGTAGGATAGCATAAATGCGCATTTGCAATCTTCGCTTATCTATAATATTGCATGATAGGACCGAACCCCATAAAACTTGTTAAGAATGGCAAAATGCCGCGTTAAAGATTTTCTGTCACCTTAAATTTACTAATAAATTTTTTATCCTTTTTTTAGCCGAGTGTAATGCAGCGCACTGCATCCTGCAGGACATGGGGTGCATTGCAGAGGTTCTTGCTCATCGCTTGTGCAGCTCTCGTGCTCATGGTCGTCATTTTATCCACCATGATCAGTCGCAAACATGGATGGGACGAGTCTCAAATTCTACATGTTACTTCCCACGGAGCAGGTGAATGAAACACTGCCACTGATAACGTCCGCGATTGTCGCAACAAGGAGGCGTTTACTGCCACTTCCTATCTTTAAACCTAAATCGTAATTACCGTAATTACCGTATTGAAGGATAGAGTTTATCTTTCAGATGGCACACATTGCTTGACGCAGCACTGCGTGACCGTGGCGGCTTCGATAATAAACAGCATTGATAACGCGGTCAATCCATGTGACGATTTTTACGAGTACGCGTGTGGTGGATGGATTAAAAAAAATCCCATACCCGATGGGAAAAGCATGTGGGGCACTTTTGGGAAGCTGGAGCAGGAAAATCAGCTGGTCGTGAAAAATGTCCTCGGTGAGATTCTTCGTCGTCGATAGCACCTTGAAAATGAAATTCGGCTGATAAGAGATGACAGAAAGTAATTCATGGGTTCTATGGAGTGACTTTTGTGATTACCAGAGAAACCGTTCGGCGAGATGAAGTCCCAGGCTGAGAAGAAGGCCAAACTTTATTATTTATCATGTATGGATGCGAATGAGACGATAGAAGCTCTTGGGGCCAGGCCAATGTTGGATCTTTTGGATAACGTTGGTGGATGGAGCATCGCCGGCAAGTTCAACATATCCACGTGGTCTCTCCAGGGGAGCATGCATATTTTGCAAAACGTCTACAACATGGGCGGTTTATTTTCATGGGCTGTCAGCGAGGATGACCGAAATAGCACCAGGCACATCATACAAGTACGTTTTGCCGTTAATTTCGTTCCAAATAGTCGGATCTTGGCTTAATTCTGTGTCCAGAAATTAAGGCGACGTGAAAGTGGGAATCTCGCTTACAAAACGTATAAACACGTGTTTTGTTAATTGAGATTGCGAGGGGGATTTTATTCCTCGATATCCTTTCTTTTATCCGAATGCACTTTTATTTACTTGTTACCCGACTCCTGTACAGTATGATTTTCTTACGAACGTGATGAATGAATCTCCCGATTTGATAATTAAGAGTTTAAAGATAAGGGAGGTAAGAAATGTCATTCGCTTTACGTGTATTTTATCCAGCGACAGCAATGTACTGCAATACTGTTTTTGGCTCGTTCAAGATCGACCAAGGGGGATTGACTCTGCCAACAATCGACAACTACTTGAACAAAACGGAACATGCCAATGTGCTGGCCGCATATTTGGATTACATGACAAAGGTACGGTATATGAGAAAAAAAATAGATTAGTTGACTGAAGTATATAAATAAATATATATCGTCGACTGAGACTCAATCCGACATTGGGGAATGATTTTGCATGATTTTGTTGTCGCAATACATGTTTCCTTGAGTCAACCTATTTTTTTTTTTTTCATGGTGTTAGTTGAATAATTGTCTCTGCAGATCGGCGTGCTACTAGGTGGGGAAGAAAATACAACAAGAAAATCAATGCAGGGCATTATCGACTTCGAAACGAGATTAGCTGAGATTACAACACCCCAAGAGGAGAGGAGGGACGAAGAGAAACTTTACAACCTCATGTCGATCGATGATCTTCAACAACAGGCTCCATTTGTACGTGATTGTATATAAGAATCCGCGCGTGCTTTCTTTACGTACTTGGCGCGAAACTCTACCGAGTTTCCTGACCAATGCGATGTATCTAATTGATTTCAATGTTTTTCTTTTTAATCGGTGTACAATTATTATTAATGATTCGAGGAGAAATATGTAAAATTCTAATTGTTTACAGATGTCGTGGGTGGAGTACTTCCGAAACGCAACGCTGCTAGTCAACAAAAAAGTCAACAATGAAACGATGATCGTCAACTATGCGCCGGAGTATTTCACGAAGTTGACGAAGATCATCCTAGAGTATAACAATTCGACGGAAGGGAAAGTGTAGGTTAATTAACAAACTAGTTAAATATTCGGTGCCGTTCGCACATGATTTTTAATGTACTCGACGCGAAACTCCACCGAGTTTTTTGATAATCAGTTACGCGGTTACTTGTTTATTACGAAGTCGTATGGGGATTCAAAGGACATTAAAAAAATATACTTTGTTCCCATTTCAGAACTCTGAACAATTATCTGATCTGGCAAACTGTGAGATCATTGACGGCGTGCTTGTCGAAGCCTTTCCGAGACGCATATAAGGGATTAAGAAAAGCTCTTATCGGTTCGGAAGGACGTGAGGAACAATGGCGATATTGCGTGAACGACGCCAACAATGTTATGGGGTTCGCCATTGGAGCCATGTTCGTTCGGGAGGTTTTCCATGGGAAAAGTAAACCTATGGTGAGTTGAAGAATTATTAGATAAGCACATATAAACAGGAGTAAAGAGTGAAATATTAGGAACAAAACGTTGAATAGAACAATGGCTCATTTTTTATCCCTAGGCGGAAGACATGGTGAACGAGGTGCGACAAGCCTTTATCAAGAATCTGAAGAATCTCGACTGGATGGACGCGGAAACTCGAAAGTCTGCCGATGACAAAGCAAACGCTATCACCGATATGATTGGCTTTCCAGACTTCATTCTGAATCCCTACGAGCTAGATGAACGATATCACGAGCTTAGCATCAAGCAGAACGAGTACTTCATGAACAACATCCGGGTGAACAAGTACAATTTAAAGAAGAACCTCGAGAAATTGGACCAGGAGGTGAACAAGACCACCTGGATAATGACGCCGCCCACGGTGAACGCTTATTACACCCCGACGAAAAATCAGATCGTCTTCCCTGCAGGGATACTTCAGAGTCCTTTCTACGATATGGAGAATCCCAGCAGCCTCAATTTTGGAGGCATGGGAGTTGTCATGGGACATGAGCTCACCCATGCCTTCGATGATCAAGGTAAAGTTGACCGATGATCAGAGAAATACCAATGAACCTGAAAAGTGTTGTGACACTTTTTTATTAATTTCATCAACTAATTATCGCTTCTTTTAGGGCGAGAGTATGACTTGCATGGCAATTTGCACCAGTGGTGGAACAATGCTACGATAGAGAGGTTTAAGACCAGGACGGAATGCTTCGTGGAGCAGTACAATGGATTTGAAATCGAGGGTCGTCATGTAAACGGGCGACAAACTTTAGGTGAATAAAGACTTCAACAATTTTACTGCGCCATGTACATATAAATTACAGAGGATATGGGATAATTCGATCGATCATAATTTAATTTTCTTCAGGTGAAAACATTGCTGATAATGGAGGTCTTAAGGCGGCTTATCACGCGTACCTGACGACACCTAAAAGTTATAAGGATCAGCTACCTTTACCGGGTTTAAATCTGACACATCGTCAACTCTTCTTCCTCAGTTTTGCTCAGGTGAGAGTTAATGAATTACGATAGACTTAAGTTAATATTAAATTTATTTCGTAATGTTCGATCACCGAGTTTGGCAAGTTATCGAATTATCTTACGGAACGACCCCACGGATCGTTCTTTGATTTACATTTTAGAATTACCATGCTGTATCAATAATTTGTTCCTGTATGTCAAGTATCATGAAAGCACGTTATCATCTTCAGGTATGGTGCTCGGCACTGACTTCCGAGACGATAGGCCTACAAATCGAGAAAGACTCTCATTGTCCACCGAAGTACAGAGTAAACGCACCCTTGTCCAACTTGGCGGAGTTTGCGACCGAGTTTAATTGCCCTATAGGCTCCAGAATGAACCCCGTGCACAAATGCGAGGTCTGGTAATTACCCCCAAATCCTTTTTGGGAAGAAGAATGAATTGTTCGTCTTCGTCGCGCGAGGATTTCTGATGAGAAGATTTTTCGAGCCGCGATTTGAAGATCGTCCAGGACAACCCGACCGACTCGGAATCTTACCAGCTGGTTCGAAAAAAATCCGCAAGCTCTGGAACGAATCTAGCGTCGACGAAGAATTCTCACCCCATAGGAAGAGATTCTTCTGCAAGAGAAACGGATACGGGAATTATTGAACTCCACAAGCGTCGAGTACCGAATTACAGTGCGAATTAATAAGGTGGGATAACCTACCACTGGTCCCTGTGATTGGTCAGACATTTCTATCTGAACCAATTTACAATTGGTTCCGTTTGTGTCGAAATTGCTGTTTATTGTATACTGGCCTTGGAAACTCCTGTCGGTTACCGGCGGTTGAGATGAACTTGTTAATTTATTTTATTCGTGGCGTAACATCCACTCAGAGCGCTCCTAGTCAAGGATGGGGGATTTCCAGTTACTTTGATTTCAGATGCCTGAAGTTATCGGTATTCCGGCCCGAGTTAACGTTTCCAAGATTTCACGTCACTTTGAAGAGTTTAGTTCGCAGCTCCGTTAGAATTTTACTGATAGAGTGTGTAAAATACACTGTCGTGAGGTCATCGATGGCTTTGTAAAAAGATTATGAAATCGTTCGCAGAGCTTTTCTCAGAAAATGCTTTCCAGTGCAACCTCTTCACCTACCGTGTACCGATTACATGGTTTTGAACGAAATACCTATCGCCAGTATTATGAAATTAGAAAGTAGCTAATGCGAATATGGAAGGCAGGGACATTTTAGAATGGTAGAATTCGATGTTGCAGATTCTTTTTATAAATATATTTTTTGTATTAATTTCTCACGGAAACCTAAGAAATAGATGTGAGAAAGTGGATGGCAGAGAGAGAGATATCTTAGGGTAAATGCCGTGCAGTAATGCCAAATTTTTTGAGATATACATTCTGCGTTTATATTCTGATAAACATAAACAAGGAAGCATAACAGGGAAATATGAACGAAAGAAATTAACCTTAAAGAAGTACTTGGGGAGAAAATAACAGTCTTATAAGAACGTCTACTTTTGGTTTTTACGCAATTGCAAAATGTTTTTATCATGCTCTATCATGTTTCGGCCAAAATACAATTTTTTCTTCCACGGTAACATGGGACGTAGAGGTTAGGATCGGCCAAATGTGACGTAAAAACTAATCGTAGACTTTAAATATACAATTTCTCGCACTTCGTGTCAGATTTTAACGGTATGAAAGAATGTGGGTTTTAACTCACGAGGAAGAAATGAAGGAAAGGTGAGGTTATGGTGCCACCGACGCTCGACGATATTGCGTACGAGTTTTGATACTGGTACGAGTATTAGTGTAGTGTATCGGTGTAGTACATTACTACTGTTGTTTGTACCTGTGCTACTTTGTATAGACATTAATATTGTCATTAATTGTACAGTGTTTGTCGGTAAGCGAGTGCTGGTTCTCGAGATTCGTCTAAATTAGTGCAACGTACTTTTCTCGGGAACTACGCCCCGCGCCAAATACTTTCTGTACAAACAACGCTATATATAAAATACATTTATTTACCAAAGCCAGAAGTCCTTTTCGTCGTTGTACCAAACAGGAACAGAGTCTCTGATAACAAACATCCTTTAACATCTTTCACCAACAAGTCCAGCAAGCTCTGCAACAATGAACTACACATGATGACTGGACAAGAAAAATGATGCTAGGTGCTTCCCCTTAATACAACCGTGGAGAAGTAATCTGACGACGAGTTTTCACAATTCTTGGAATCGTAAGCTGCTTCTTCTTCGCACTTGTCAGTATGAAGTAAATGTTCTCCGCGATGCAAATGATGACGCTAATTATCATCATGGCGAAAAGTCCTAAGGAAATCACGTGAATATGCTCGTACTCGACCGGACTGAAGCTGCGCCATTGTTGATTCGTTGAATCGTGGTGCAGCTCCTTAGAAATCCATTTCTTTTCTAGATACGTCAGGATTCCCACGGAACGCAATCGCAGGAGACTAAAAAGAGGAATTTGAGATGATTAATAATACTTGTGTTTACAAGTTTATGAAATTTCTCTAGTCAGGATTTTGCAGAATAAAAGAAAAGGGGGCAGCATTTACTAATCGTTGATGAGGTGCCGATGCTTGGCCGCCCTGGCGTGCAAAATGGCAAGCTTTAGACGCCAATAGACCCCAGGTATCTGAACAATTGAACACTTGTTGCGGACCTTTTGGTAAACTGAGAAAAATACATCAGGTGCTTCTAGATACACCATGCCGGGCTGACAGAGCTCGGAAGCTAAATTCTTTCGGTTTCGCATATCTGGACAGCCATTGTTCACCAAGCCCTTCCATTCTGGTCTCAACTCGCCAAGTGGAGACCAATCCTGACAAGAAGACATGACTAAAGGATTTATTATAGACGTACATTGTTTAAAAACAATTGACTTTCTTCGAAGAAAAAAAAAAATTACAAATCAAGTTTGTCATTTTCAATATAAGTACCGTTGTCAGATGCAAGTACGCCGTACTGTCGTTTCGAATACACAGAGAATGCGTTCGTTTCATGGATACGTCTTGAAGACTCGTTAACGGAAGCGAGACGCCTTTGCTTGCCAAAGAGGAAGTTAAAGTACTGCTAAATCCACATGACAGCAACATTCCCATCAACAATGAAGAAATTACGATCACCCTCAACGACCAGCATGTTGGCAGTTTTTGAAAACCTGTTGTCAAGAGATTTATTAAAATCTTGCGGGCTCGGAGATTTCCAAATGGCGTCTTAACGCCATCTTGATTTACGATCCGTGTTTGCCAATAAATCATTTTCTCGGGATTTCTCGATCGAAATTGTCCGACACTTTAAAACATACAGCGAGAGAGATTTTTCATCCGTGGAAATAATTATTTGCAAGTAATATATTATTTTTTACGACTCAAATATACATGTTCTTTGGTGAATTTACCTTGCCCGCTTATTCCACCAAGCACGCAAAGTAAATTGAAAGAAGGAGCAGCTAATTCGTCGTCGCAGTCGACGTAATCTTTGCAAGTGATTTTTTTAATGGAATACGTCATCATTATCGTAGCTGCCAGAAACAGGGCAGAGAGAAACGTAGTTAACCATAATCCATAACTGAAGATGTTCGAGTACCACCATTTTGACACAGTTGAACCCTCCGGCTGCACAAACAATGCGTACCTATAAGAAAAATGTATTACACGTATTAATTATGTACATAAACAATCTAAAGTGATCATGTATTAAGTATCATTAATTATAAAATTATAACTTAAACCTGATATTGTCATTTTCTTGCCTTGTTACATATATGCATACGCTTTTTTTTTTTCGTTCAAATATATAAAGGGATTATAAAAACGATGTTTAACTTACGAACTGGTTGTTACTGGCGTACTGTAAGTGTAATAACCAGCAGAATAAGAATGAATTGCACTTGCTGCAAGCACTGCATCAACACGTCCTTGGAAAAGCAATTGGAACATTTCTAGTCCTTCCTTTCGGTAGATTGTTCTGTGTAAATTCGATTTGCATAAGAAAATGAAGACAATACTTGCGGGTTTTCATATTAAAAAATAGTAGTCATTACTTAAACTTTAGAGTTTCCTCCAAAGTCGTCCACACATCTCCGATGTATCCGGACACTTTGGTATTGTTTGCATTTATCATTACATATGGCAACATCTGCAATTAAATTAATTTACTGAGTGGCGTTAAAGGCAAAATACAAACAATTGTAATTTGATGTTTACAGTATAAAAATGCTATTCAAGAGAAAATAAAAGGAAGAATGTATTTTTTTAATTACTGCTGTTGTAATAATTATTTAGATGAATATACAAAGCGTGAAATAATTTATACCATATCAGTGGCGACTGTAATTGTTTTTCCTCGCATGTCGTTGGTGTATTGCACGCTGCAAATTGCGCTGCGATTTAAAGCAAGTGCTTCCAACAATTCGAATTGTTTAGTCGTTGAATTCCATTTTCTTATGCGTCCAGGAATCCTTAATATGGCAGGATAATCCGATTTGTTTTTCAATATTCGCAGGCACATTTCGGCTCTAGTTAATGCACATAGTAACTGAAAATTTTAACCATCGTAATTACTTTCCAATTTTAATTTCACGATTACTTTTGATCGCACCTAGTTCATTTACCGAGTAAATTTCTGTAAATGAATGCAATTAATTTGACTCAATTGTACTAGGTAATTAATTATTTATCATTTATGGTACTCACTAAGATTAGAAGGATACTCATGTTTACGTGCCGAGATTTCGCCATTGAATGTTGCTGAGAAATCTAGGAAGAAATAAGGCGATAATAAATTCTTTTGGATTCATTCGATGTCAATTACAAGGCGTGACTCTTTCTTCCTATCTTTTGAATACTTTAGCTTTCTATTCAATACAGAAAAAGAACGAAATCAGGTGAACGTCAGCTTGAATTGATTTTTCTGTCATGAGATGTATCGACATTGGATTACGCCCAGACTTCCCATGAATGCATTAACATGTTTTCATGCAATGTAGAAAAAAATGGTAAAAATATTAAATATATTTAACATGGGAAACGTTTGAAAACGCGGGTGGCAAGTACATTAGCCACCCGCGTTTTTGAACTTTTTCCACCAAGGGGCAGTACAGGTCTATAGTGTTTCTCAATCCCGCAAGAGAGCGCTGGAAACACCTGGCGAAAATACAAGCTTCCGGCTTCCCCTCCACCTCTGACTCTCTTTGGTCGTCGTTGCTGACAGATCGGCAAGATGGTAAGTGTCGACTTTATTTTCGAATTATTACAGTTTTACAATATATCTTCACCCCATATATTCACTTTTTCAATTTATAACGTTATTATATCATCGTAGTGACTTAGTAATAAATAATTGCTTGTCGAGTAAACTTGAGTTGGACTTTCGGAGATGCGACTTCTGACACACGTGTTCGGTTAGAAAATCATGTATTTGATACTCTTCACAATTATTGGCTTTTCAAAACAAACAAAAATGTCTTATCTGACGTATCCAGTTTCTTTTTTTTTTTTATATACTTTCTTGCTTTTGGTTAGTTTTGGTACCGTTTTCGTGGCTTTGTAGCTGGTGCGGTTTTGAGGTTAGATACATGGTTCTATGTAGTAACATGATAACAGTGAAATGCGAAAACGAGGTTATTGATGTATTTAGGTGTTCTTGTTTATTTTAGTCGATATGTTGCCTTAATTGTTTTGTTCTTCCAGTCGCTTGTCATACCAGAAAAATTCCAACACATTCTTCGTGTCATGGGCACGAATATCGATGGTAATAGAAAAGTCATGTTTGCGATGACCGCTATTAAAGGTGTTGGAAGGCGATATGCCAATATCGTCTTAAAGAAGGCTGATATCGACTTAGACAAACGTGCTGGAGAATGCTCCGAAGAAGAGGTACGTCAGACAATAGCATTCCATGATTTTAAATATAAAAAAAAGTGAATTTTATATTTTAAGTATTTAAACACTTTATCCTTCGTATCACTTTCAGGTTGAAAAGATCATTACGATCATGGCGAATCCCAGGCAATACAAAATCCCTGATTGGTTCCTCAACAGACAAAAGGACATTGTTGATGGAAAATATTCTCAGGTAATTAGCATCAACGTCATTTATAAACGAAACTCTCTATTCAATATGAGAAATTATGATTTGCACAGAAACACGGCTGATGGTATAATCCATAGTGTACCACTTAGTTGGAATCTTGTGCAAGATTAACAGCATCGTGGTTTACTTAGCAAATCCAAAGCATTTATTAAGTTCCAAAATTTCATAGCGATGCAACATTTTATTCTATAAGAGTTCCAAATTGACAAAGGCACGATTCATTGTTATAAGACAGGTTTCTGTTTTTTATAGCTGACCAGTGCCATGTTGGATTCAAAACTTCGTGAAGATTTAGAACGCATGAAGAAGATCCGTGCTCACAGAGGACTCCGTCACTATTGGGGCCTCCGAGTTCGTGGTCAACACACCAAAACCACTGGAAGACGTGGTCGCACTGTTGGTGTGTCCAAGAAGAAGTAATCATTCAGTGTATCTTGTAAGAATAAAGTTTTTAACCTGACCTTCCAATGTTGCCTGTATCAGAAATCTCTGATTTCAAAGGCTATGTTTCCAGGAATTAAAACGGGATCTTTAAATAAAATGATTGAGTCGTTTTAAGTAATAGATCACTACTTTATTTAAGTGACTCAAGTTTTGACTTGCACGCTTTGATTAAACTCACAATTTTGACTTTACCTTTTGTCAAATTACAGATTTCTGTAAATCTTGTAACAGGCGTTCATGTCATCTATTTTACTATAAGCAACAATTTACATTATAGTATGCATTAACTCGTAGAAGTGACAATTGTATATTCTTCGCACAGTTAAGGAACTCTTAGCTGTTAACCAGTTTAGTTAAGTCTGAAAATAACGAGAGTATCCCTTGGAAGCATCTTAACTAATAACAGGATAATGTTATATGGAAAATTATTGCAACTGTGTATCGTAAACTCTTTCACATGAAACAGCCTTTTAAAATTGTATATAGCAGTGACAATTAACAATATTTTACCCAAGCACAAACTACTCAGTTCAGTTTAGGCTACATATCGCTCTAATGGAGCTTTAAAATAATTGTGCACACAATGCTTCATATTTAAGTGACGATGTCACCAGGAAGAGTTCCTATGTTCCTCTTTCACAAGGACTATACAATTACCTTACATAGGCAATACAATAGATCGATAAGATATTTACTGAGAAATATGTCAAAGTATACATTTAATCACATATCCTCAGCTAATCGCAACTGCGATATGAAAGAATTAATTAACTTCCTACGTCATAAATCCAGTTTCGAGACCTGGGATTTCACATTAAATTTGTTTACATGAATTTCACTAGAAGAATAATATTAAATATGTGGTGAAAGTAATTTGTACAGATAGGCTTTACGGTGTTTTTACGAGAACAGTACGGCACCGATATATTGACTCTTATTCATGCGAAGCAATAATTCTGCAGAACACTCTTGGCTACGAGGTGAATGTTTAATGGTGGTTTTTAAAGAAGGAAACTGATGAAGTAAGATGAGATGATGAGTTAATTGTTATTTAGAGGAAAGGAAGACTTTCTACAAATGCTTTCGGAACCTTCCCACGCTGGTTGCCTCGAACACCCATTAAGTAGTCGCTATCCCCAGGAATTTCGGTGATATATATAACCTAGAAAATGAATACAGTGTTAGTGACAAAAACAGTGATAAAATTTAATTATAACAATTTTTTTCTATGAGGAATTAATGAGTATGATATAAACGGAAATAAAATTCGGTTAGTAAAGATTGATAAGTATTACACTGTCATAATAAACAAGCATAGGTAAAATGAAAACGAAAGAAAGCATTTAAATAAATCGTTAGTTATTCTAAATTTAACTGAAATGTTATAAACATGAACGTTTCTATGCTAAGAAAAAGAAATAAGGCAGATAAAGTAATTATTTTATTAAAAAGATGTAAATTATACATAATGCGATTGTTAATTAAAATGAATTAATGTACAAATTCTTCTCCGATCTATTCGAAGTCCGCTATAATTCTAAGGCGTCTAATTATTGTTTTTAGTGCTCGCTTTGTACATTTTTTTATTAACATTGGGCATACGCAACAAAATAATATCATCATCTCTTTCCCCGAAACATGTGTGGTGACGACTGTCATTATTGACAATTTAAATCATTTCCGTTTTCTTGATCTTGAAGTATCCTAGCATGCGAACAAGCAAATTATATATAAATGTATAAAATTTCCTTACGTCACATATAAAAATTACATTCTCACATACAAAATTATTGGGGAATCTGCGAAATAGCGCAGGAAAAATTCCACGATATTAGGGGAATGTCCGTAAATCGAGTTTGGATTAATTCACGAGGATTCGCGAAATTTTGTTCATTACTTTAGACAACCTCACTTAACCAAGGCAGTAAAAAGTAGACAATCATTCTAGTAGATATCTACTCTATCATTTCTTCCGTTAATCTATCTAAGTAGCTTAAATAAGTCTTCGGAGAAATTATAGGACTCCCTATTTCTTGAGAAACTTAAAAGATAAAAATTGCTAAAGCTTTGTACAAAATGTTTATCAGAAAATGCATTTAGAAAGGTACAAAAGGGTTCGTTTGATTCCAAGCTGTTGATCACTCGAGATATTCAAAAAGCTACCGTAGTAATTTTGTCAATGACGATTCATACCACTATTCTAAAATAGATTTTCATCTGTTCCATTGATAATGTTTTCGTTATATACTAGAGCAATGTTTGTCACTTGAGTCGTCCCCTGAATTCATGTCAAAGCTTTAGGACAAATCAAATTAAATTTTCCTGAAAGGTATTAAATAAAGTGATCAGTGTCATCGTTCACAAATTCACAGTGCTATCTCATGAGCCTGGAATCACAACAAATAAGTCGAACCACTAATATAAGCCTTAAGATTAATTCAACAGGTCCTTGAAGGTTCGCGACGATCTTCATAATCCTTTTTCCTCTTTTCTTTCGGTTATCCTTAAATTACGAACTTGTTTACCTCATCCTGCATGACACTGAGTTCACCGGGGTCCGTGGCATCATAATCGCAGAGTACTCTAGCACGGTCCTGGCCATTTTCAACTGATAATTCCTGGGTCGGTGCACTACTCAAATGGTACGAAGGACCTCCTGACAAACTGTGATCAATAAATAATAAATCCATCTTGTTTATGAAATTAATGACTTAAAAGACATGCAAAATATTTCAATGGGGTCGACGAACTGTATAATGATAATTGGTTAGGATTCGCTAATGCAGTGAAATGATTATACAACCCTAGGTTATGTTAAGTTAGAAATTGGTTTACCACGGTGAAAGTAATTGCAGCTACACATTTCAAACAAATATTAACGATTCAGTAACAAAAATAGATCACAGTATCGATGACTTGTACAACATGCAGAGTATTTTCATTCTGGTAAAGAAGAGTAGTTATTTAATTTTGCGGCGCAGAATATCCTCAAAATTATATAACACATAATGAACAAGTGCAACATTGTCAAGATTTTTAATGTTGTCGATCTCCCAACAATGTTTTCATCACATGAAAAAACACACAAAGCAAACAACCACAAAAGCACCATTAGAAGAAATTAGTAGAAAGATGTAACGGAGAACAGCAAAGCATAGAAGATAGTACTGGTAGACACAGAGGTACAGTCGTCTCTTCAAATAAATGAACCTAAAAGTTAATAAAAATCCTATTAATCCAAAACCAAACGATCGTTTGTAATTAACAATTTATTCGAGCAACATTGTACAACTGGACGCATAACTGCTCGTGGCCGGAAGCAGTAACAATTGGGTTGTAAATTGTATTTAGACTTTGATTACGTACAACTAGTTTTAAAGTCAGGCACTCTACCATTTTCGATATGTTCTTCGAACCTCATTTTATTTTTATAGTAATTCTTTCTAGCGATTTTAATCGCTGTCAACTAAGAGTTTCATGACATCGATGTAAAGTGGCAGTAATGCTCAAAATATTAAACAGTGGGCGTTAAGTTATACAACGTAAATTATTTACATGCACAATTATGTATCTCCATATAGATCTAATATAATATTGTTTGGTAAGGATACTCCGGTACGGAACTAATAATTTAATTCCTATGTAAAATTATTACTATGTCAAAGGTGTTACATTTTTCTTACTGCAATTCTTACGTTCATTGAGAGCTCTTTTGTATATGTCTTTTTGATGCAGCTCTTGACCCGAGCTTCCCTTTTTGAGTCTTCGACTAGCAGATCGAAGAACCAATAAAGTCAATCTATTTTTCTTGCTATTCAGATCAATAATCAGGGATGGATAAAAAATAATTCAAGGAACAAATTATAGGACAGAGCTTCCAGTGGCTCGGTGACTAGAGTTAAACATTTAACATAGTTTTATAATGCTGATAAGGGCAACTCACACCGAATTGGAGTTGATGTTTAAGACAATAGTTACAGTAAGATTGACCAAAGAGGACTGTTCGAGACAAAGGTTTTAATTCGCAGGAAAAGATCGCAGAAGACTGCAAAAATGTTCAGGGGACTACACTATTTGAAAGGGAGGCGATCTGTGTTCATCGACCTAGACTTTGGTGACGCCGGTGTCGAAGGTGGCGGTAACGTAATCGGAACCCGACAGCGGCTGGTGGACCGGCGAACATTGAGAATTCGTTGGCGAGGGCGTGAGCTCGATAACTTCCTCGCTGTTCACTCTCAACAAGGGACTCGGCTGACGGGTCCTGCGAACCCAACGGTGCAGGAAACGATAGACAGAGGAAGACAGAAGCACGACCGAAGAAAGGTCCAACCAGAGAGAAGAAAAGATGTCCTTTGACGATAAGAAGAGACCGCAGGGAATTGCTGAGTTTGGCAAAATGAAAAAAGAAGTACACTAAGGATCACACAGTCATCGGCCACCCACGTGGAAAAACAACGTCGCTGCCCTTATTCATTTAAATTAATGTCGTATAAAATAATAATGTATATATTAAATCGACGGAAGGAGGTGTAATGGTCCACCGATGTTAAGAAGAGAACGAGGAAAGGTTTCCTTTCGAGTCTTGAGAAGTTTTGACGTCCATGTGTGGATATGAAAAGAGAGATGCCTTTGGATCTTGTTTAGTTAGGCCGGTTGGAAGGAAGAAAAAAGAAGTCCAGGAAAAATCCTCCGCAGCTCTGATTTATTATTCGAGTCTGCCGTAATCTCAAACACTGTAAAAAGTTAAGGGCTTTCACTCGTAACTATTACGTTGTTAACATGTTACGGTTAGTGTAGGTCTCTTAGGTCAGTAAATGATATTTATGTTATTAATACTAATAGAGACATGGCAGAATTTTTCGTGAAATTAAAATCGGTAGCCTTTAAACGATACTCTTATCTTCTCTCTGGTTTAGCTACAGGAGTGAGTAGAAATTTAGAAAGAGATGCAAAGGCACCTTTTAAGCGCGTTAAACAATGCAGAGTATTTGCGTAGAAATTGAAGCGATATGTGGACATTATGAGTATTTATCAGCACGTAAATTTATTCACTACGTGTAAAGAATTTTGAAGGACCTACAATGAGCTACTTAAAATTCTAAATAGATTCCTACAAGCAATTTATGCTAAGTACTAGCTAGAGCATATTAAACATGGAACGCTTAACCAGCGAAGCAATTAGTCTCATTTCTCGCATAAGTCTACCATAAGCTCTAAAGTCTAAAACACTACCGACGAATGAGTAATGATTCTAAAGCTTTTCCTAAGTACATCAATACCGGTCCTTAAGGGAAACCTTCACCTTAAGGAGTTACTTTTCTTGAACATTACTCACTCGTTTCACCAAAGAGTAGGGTAGCTGTTTAAAAGAGAATGAAAAAATAATGATAGACTTAGTGATGTGCACGAAGTAGGGTTAGGAGCCTCCACTCTATGAAGTTTTCCGAAAAATTCAGACCCAACATAGGTCATTGCTGTCTATTATGACAACGAAATATAGGGTTACTTATATATGGAAGTGGGAACTTCTTACGTTACTTCATGGTGATGTGACGTGATAATGTGACGTCTAAATTATGTTCGATGAAGTAACGAATGCTCTGCGATGCTTCGACTTACCCAGCCAGCTCTCGTTGAAGGTCTTGCATCGTTGCATGGCATTGAGCGTAATGTCTTGCTTGAGCTTCGACGAACTCATGGAGGCACCGAAGGTGTCCTGCTTGGGAACTTGATACGCCTTCTAGGAGTAGCTTCGTAATCTCTGCCTGTCGATCGAACTCCGATTGGGCCACCCTCAACTCCCTCTCTGCCTGAGTGTAGGAAATGTTCATGTTTTATTTCTCAGAGAGAAGAAGTATTCTCTTTCATTCTTTGTTACTTATATCAAGGCCATGTAAAAATACTGCGGAATCTACTGACATCGACAAATTGTATTTAGGCAATACTTTTTTCAATTTCACTGAAATCAGCCTTATCGATTTTTTTCGTTGTAAATTTCTATGTATAAAGATTTTTCATCTAAAATCACTCGCAAGACATGAATGACTGTAAACAAAATTTTTCTCTAAGAATGAAAACATTTCCGAAGCACTACGGCAAGCAAATGGACTACGGTCTCTCAGCTACTTTTGTACCTGATCGAGCAGGACTTCAGGCGAGACTCCGGAATCCTGTGTAAGGCCGCAGCAGTGAACGGAATAATGATACAAGAAGTCAAAAATATGAATATACCGATAAGAGATACACTCCTGGTGAATTGATTACGAAACTATTTTTTAATGTTCTAAGAAATTATTCCCACTAGAGAATGCATTCTCTTCAGTGTAAAGAGCTATAGATGTAACTTACGCTCTGCTGGCCCAGCATGCTCCGTGCCTTTCTAACTCTACTTTTGCATGCGTCCAGGTCAAGTCTGAAAACATAACCAACGATGAAATAGAACAGTCAGTTAGTAATAACAAAGAGCTATCGCTATTCATATTACCGTTTAATTTCAAGGATGCCCATCTCTTTACTGATGGTTTTCATTTCACCATCGAGAAACTTTCTCAAAGGCTGAACGTAACAATTTGCAGCAGTGCTGATGAAGTCCCTTTCGATTTGACCTAATTTCTGTTGACACTGACCCACTTTGATCAATGCATTTCCTGAAAACATTGTACATTCCTTATTTTTTTCACAGTAATTTAATAGTATTTCTGAAATAGTACTTTCACACCAAAATAATATATAGTTAGATGAAAATTACAAACCGTAAGCAATCCCTGGACCAAACTCATTGCCAGCTTCTATCATATCTACACCAACGTGCTCCAGATTGCTGAGTCTGTTTGGCTTCCTTTTGTCGATTTTTTCGAAAAAGAAGTCTTCGATTCTATTTCCTAAATGGACAATGGAAAATGTAAATACAAAGGAAAACGAAGTGGTATAGTAACGATGATTGAATGATTTTATACCAGGATTTGGTGTGAGCATTGCTTCCATATTTTTCAACATTTTTTCAGTCCAGGTTTTCGTGGCATTTGCTCGCTCCGCCAAGTGTTCAAAGTGAGCATCGAGCTCAGTTTTTTCAGATGTTCCTAATGTTTCCTCGGTTAGCTGTTAATAAAAATAATTAATATTTAATGATAACTTCTATTCTTCTACTAAAACGTAGTACATAAAATCATACAAAGAGAAGCTTTACATTATGACCTAGCAAACTGAATTTATTCAGAATATGTGAAATTCCAAATTACGAATACACGTATCATGCTGGACGAGTTATTTATAATTCATTAAGAAATAATCTGCAAAGTTTGGGAAACAAAGTATCACATTATTTAATGCCGATTCATTAAATAATCTGCATACTTTTGCATACACATGCAAAAAGATTCCAAGAATCTCCGGATGAGATAAGCCGAGATACTCCGAATGACACATCCCACTTAGTCATAAGTTCATTGAATGATTTCTAAGTGTTTTGAGTTTTTAAAAGCCTACTCCGAATGACAATGCGCATTTTCGTGGTCCCGAAAAATCGAAGTCTGTCAGTGGATTAGTTAATAATATATAAATACATGATTATACATAATAGAGCGATACAGCAATATAGTTTGCCAGTGACAGACGGAGAGATCGGACAAAATGCTGAGAAGCCCAAACGGTGCATACGAGTTATTTAGGTTAAAAAAAAATATGCCGTCCACTCCCAGAATAGATAAGCCCGCATCCGGCGACAAATTTCTCGACGACAATGTGGAATTGCTTAAACATATTCAACGTTCGCTATGGGGCCGTGGGAAAAGTATGAATAATCGAGCGAAGGCGCGATCAGGTGCAAAATGTCAGAAGTGACAGTCCGGTCGAAACGCTCCATGATTTACAGGGGATCGCTCGAGCGAAGAGGTTAGAATTAACCGGAATTCTCACCTGGACCACTCTACTGAGCGCGGCACCCGCGTCTTTCACTAATTTTTTTACGTTAAAATCCATCTTTCGGGACGAATCCTCGAGGAATTTCCGCGCGAGCGATCCACCTCACTTTATTTTTCCGTCGATCGTTGGTTCGACATTCCGGCTCGTGGGGGCGCTGCCAATTATTACAGGCACGAACTATAACGTATGAAGAGGGTCGGTATAGTAAATTCTGATGATCTAGAGACTTTATAGCGACACCTGCAATTTTATTACGCTATACTCTTAAAAGAATAATTAATATGGCATATTACGGGGAGCTCAATTAAGTAAAAACTTATCGGGTCTTAAATGTAATAATAAATGTTCGGTTTTAATCTACAAATATATGGTATGTACAGGCGGAACATAGTTGGTTCCATCTCTCGGCGAGGGAACCAACTATGTATACCGCTTTAACTCCTGTTTGCAGACTTCAAATCTTTCGGTAAGACTAAACTAAAATCTTCAATGCCGACGCTTGAATCTATCGAGGTCGCCTTTACCAACAGCGGTTAATTCATCACCGTTGCATCCGATTTACGCTCCGGATAAATTACGAGGCATAATAGTCCTCTCCTTGTTAGGATCCGATCTAAATATAGCGGAGGGACGACAACAATTCTATTGCAATTTAATTAAACCACATGTAACCATCAACAGTTTACTCTCAATGATAACAATGTAACTGCCGACTACTCATTCCCTCTAGTGGCTCACAATTACAACTAAGACATCTTAAATTGCGCAGCAACAATGTCTGCAAAGCGTCTCCTCGGGAGATTAAAAACCGCAATATCAAGCAGATAAACGGTGGATTTTCATTTGAAGAACTTTTATTTTCCACGGCAACTCCGCGATATCAAAGAACGCGGTAAGATAATCAACTGTACTTACAATAAGTGGGATAATAATACCAATTATCTTGAAATCATTACGGTAGAACGCTTTGCTCAGGGTATTGCATGTTCTATAATTTCCAGTTTTCAATTAAATTTTAATCACGGATGCATTGAATTACGCAACAGTTGCGCATTAATCAATGGAGCATGGCATTTCAACGCTGAATCATTTATTGCAGAGGTGGCGGGAAGAATTTAACAATTAACAACCTCTTTTGAATTAGCCAAATTTTTCTGTTCGTTAGTGATTTATTTTATTCTCTCGCCTTATTTGAATGAAGAATCGCGTTTTCTGCCATTGCTGGGAAAAGGGATAAATAAAGATAACGTCCGGTAGCGTCGGTTCCACAAGGGTCAACGACAAGCAATTCGGTCGAAGTTCCCTCGGGAAGGGCTGAAGTCTTCGGCTCGTTAGTAATTTCTCTTGCAAGCTGAAGAGCGAGGATTGAGATGCAGAAGGGCAGATGTCGGGTTGTTTGCTCGGCGGGTCTCGGCGCAGCTCGGGGCGCGGTGCGTGCAACAAGTAGTTGCAGCAAAAAGAGAACGACAACGAGACAAATGCATCTGTAGGCGCTGGCCGTGAACCGGATGCAGATTAGAGGCCGATTTCAATTTGGCAGCCACAGCAGGCCGGAATAAGGCAGGGCCCGAGGCGGTGCGATGAACGACCCGCCGACCAAATGCTTTATCGCCCTTCCGAGCCGAGCGCCGCCTGGCGGTAGTCGAGAGAAACGACCCGTTTCGCAGCGCGTCCTTTACTTCTCTTTCAACTATTTACGCGTTCTTGGCTGCGACTTCAATGCGAACGACCCGGAAATTTACTCTTAAGTGAAACATTGTATCTTACTTTGCCTCGAGACACTGTACACCGTTAAATAATACGACGTGAACGCAGCCTTTACGGCATTGTATTTTAACCTAACCTATTTTGAGTACTCACGCGCTGCCTACTACGCTACCGAGGATTTATTTTTAAGTTATCAAGACGAAGTCTTCGCGAAGAGCGATGGGACTTGGATTATACTACCGATATTGATGGACGTTATGCTGATATTTGTATTATAGCATCTAGTGCTATTGTTCGTCTATAACCAAAATTATAAGTTACGTTTGGAGGTCCCCCAAAATTCGACACATATTTCTGACGACAAATAATCCGCGTCACCTTACCGTCTTCATCTTAACGGAGATACGAGATCGAGGTGGGCGATAACCTACGTCCTCTAAGTGACATCGATAAATAAAATTGAGAAAACATTTTTTGGTGCGATGATCGACCCGCTGACCTTTTTTATTGCATCTTCGGCGAATGGACCAGATACTGTACGGGTACTAATTAAATACGTCAAAAATAGATAGAAATATTCTAACGTCAAACTGAGAGTGAAATAAGACAAATCGTGAGTTTATTGCTGGTCTACTCACAATTAATTTAAAGAATTAAATCTGATTTCACGGTGGATTTCACGAGGAATGTCCGAGCGCATTAAATGGCTTAATTTTAAATGATTAAGAAATAAACGAGGCTATGTGGATAGAATGTAAGCAGCTTCGTTGATCCTTGTTAGTTTTTGCGATTTCGGCGCATAATTGGCCGCAAGGGATCCGCATCTCCCAGTTGGCGAACCGCATTTCTGCTGTTCCGGTCGTTCCGTTCTTCGTCCTCGAAACCGCCGAATGTTTCGCTCTTGGTCGGCAAAAAATCACATCCTGTCACATGGTTTGACATCCCGGCGGATGGGCGAAGGAGAAAAAGGCCGTTCTGAAAAAAGAGAAAAACCAAACGAAAAAGGACGAGCGGGACTTTTATTTAAGGGGAACAGCATGTCTAATTTTTTCGCCGAACTTCTTTCGCGCTCGCCATCCTTGGCCAAAGTGGGCCAAGATGGCGGATTCTTCGGAAACGGTTTACCTCCTTCAAGGCAAAATTCATTCCTCGGTCCCTATCGCAATGGAATTAATCGGCAATCTCTTGTGCATCTAACAAACTGCAAGGTTAGTTACCCTACGTTATTCAATTACTATTTATATTCATATTTACGTATTAGATAGGATCCATTAATCTCTGGATATTTTCCACGGGTCCAAACGGCTCGAACTCGATATATATCGATGGTCCGGAAGATCGATGATCGATCGTAGCGCCACCTGTTCCTCGACTATCGGACTGCCGACGACAGACACGAACTACGCGTGGGGCGACGACACGTGTAACAGGCCGAGTGCACTTTCCGTGTCCGATCCGACCATTTTTCTCCCTCGGCGAACCTAACCTCTTTCTTGGTACCGAGCTCGACGTATCAGCCCGAAATCCACCCCGGCTACCGACCTAACCTCTAGCGGCGTTTTTTCTGCTTTTCGACTCTCATCTGTGCCTTCCTAAAATTTCTCGAAGAAATTAACGCGTATACGAGTTCAGGGAATCTCCTAGAAACGCAAATGCAGCCACGCGGTGTCGCGAGGTGCAAATCTCGGAGGTGGGCAAATATTTGCACACCGTGGGGCCGGATGTGCGAATCACGAAGGAACACCGGCAAGCCGAAAATTTGGGTTTAACGAGCCCGAAGTTGGCACGCCCAACTTGCACGGCATCGCTCGAGAACACTCCATTCCGCAGATATTCCGCCGTTCGAACCGCAAGCTATTCAAGAACTCTACAATAACTTTTACTTATTCCTTGTGTTATCCATGCTAATCATAACTATTTAAACCTAAGGTCTCGAGTGAATAATTATCTGACATAAATTTCAATTATTTCCAGCCGGTGTTCCGCTGATATATGCGAGGAAAAAAGGTGACTTCAACGAGGGAAGGAGAGAATATACGGATGCACGTGTGTATACTTGTCGCGGAACTCTACCGAGTTTCCTGATCCTAGTGGGAAACTATGTTTAAGATTAATGACGCATGGAAAGTTAAGTGTACACTTAATAAAGAGAGGAAGCTAATACTTTTGAGTTATGATTTTTCCCACTTTGTTAACGCGCGTGCAGCGGGCTGTCGCACGAGCACGCTCTCGCATGCCAAGATTAATTCCCGATTGCACAATGTACGATACACTCGTGGATCGCGGTGAGAGGCGATAAGATAGCTTAAAGGTGGACGATATCGCGCGAATGGTCAAGTTTAAGGTCGCGTCGACTGACAAGAGGGAAATGGGGAAAAGTTTCGATTTTGCAGGGGGGACGAGCTTTTTCGACACATTTTCTCCTCCTCTAAGCGACCACTTTAGAGTTTGCTTTTGCAAGCTCTACAACGGAGGCACTCAATTTTCGATTAAAAAGTACGATATGACATTATCCATCAGACGTGAAAAATATTTAAACAAAGTTCTACTGACTCCCGGTGACATAAAAATTTATATTGATACCCAAAATGTTATTTGCAAAAGGATATATCGAATAACCGCGTCCGCCTCCATTTTGATAGGAAATTTTCAGCGGAATCGGCTGTGTCGGCCTTAAACGATTTAATTTCGCGGAGAGAAGCCGTGGCATTCATTGGGCACTGTTAAATCTTTCATGGGCCCATTTTATCGAGGCGATACGTAAAAGCACATAGCAATGGCGGCTGGTTTTTATTTCATATCGGCCCCGTAAAGAGAGGTTATAAAAGTATTCGCGAACTTTCGGTGGATATCCGGCCAGGTGGGACATAACTCTTTCGGAATAACGCCTTCGATCGGGCATAAAACTTTATTAATACTAGAAGCCGTAGACAGAGAATCGAAACGGGATCGTTATCGGCGCCATTTTCGCCAAGCTAGACACAACAAAAATCACGCGCGAAAAAGCGCGATTTTAGAGACCGAGCCGGTTACTATTTGCCATCTCAGTTTACGAAGGAAATTACGTTTCCTGGAATCGTCCTGGACCGTCGATGTTGTTCCTTTTAAAATATTCGTAGCCGCAGGAAATGGGAGATTGGTCGACGAAAAGGGAACGAAATGAATGCGTTTTAACGCATGAAAGCGTTCCTGCTGTAAAATGTTTTACAAGTATAAATAATATTGCATTTGGGCGCTTAATCGTGACCATTTATTTACGTACTCAGGTTTATTAATAAATTTCATATGTACGAGTTTCAAAGAATACTTACACCAGTTTTTAAAATTTCATTGATCAACTTCATAATTCCGCTCGATTGTCTAGCCCTCGATATCTATTCTTACAAAGTCACAGCGGATGTATCAATCGAATTATCTGACAAATTAAATATCGATTGATCATTAGAACAGATTGTTGCGAAACTCTTCGGCTGTGAGCAATTTATCATACATAACGGCAGAAGGAGTTCCTTAATTGTATTACTTATTTCTGCTGTAAGATTTTGTGGCGATGTTAATACTAGTCAATGGAAAAGAACTTCGAGAATATTAACATGTTGTTTTCCCTCGACTTATAATTATCATTTCATGAATTGTAATAAAATTTCAGTGAAAATGTGAAAATGCGAAAAAGTGAAAAAGTGAAAAAGTGAAAATGTGAAAATGTGAAAATGTGATAAGATGAAAAAGTGAAAAAGTGAAAAAGCGAAAAAGCTTAGATTGATAATTTCCACAGGGTTTGGAGGCTCGACCCCCCGGGCGGCGTGCCGAACGGTGAGGCGTGCGTCCCGCGAGTAGAGCGGCGTCGAGCCATAGAGTAGGGTAGGTGGGTAGAGGTGTGGTGCCGCCGCCACACCACACTATATATACTATACACGCGAATGCGTAAGATACAGCGAAGAGCGAAGAGGAGGAGGCCACCTCCTCAACATATATGCGGTGAGGACGCGCGCCTCCTGACTCAGTGCTTGACAGGCCAGCAAGCTCTTAGCATCTCGGTTGGTGCCGGCAGCGGGCGAGCCACCCGATTGGCTGCCGCGTACGCTCCAAGATCGATCTCGATCGGCCAGGATACCCCGGGCGCGCGACGTCGCGGCCGCTGATTGGCCGGCGCAGCCGGTCGTCCGCACCGATTGGCCGATTTTCGGACCGGGAGGGCCAATCTGGAACCAAGAGAAGGAACCGCGCCGCGACGAGACCTGGACGAGGGACGGACCCCGAGAAATCGGTCAGTCTTCGGCCGGTGGTCGTCGGGGTCGGGGCGGTCGAGGTGGGGACCATCGGGAAAGTGTTCCTTGGATAGATGCCAGTGGCTCCCGAGGGAGAGGTCCCACGCGGGATGGTGACGTTCGGAGTGGTCGCCGGCTAAGTCGGGTTCCGGCGCCGAGGAAGGTGCGTCCCGGGGAGAGGATGGACCACTGGAAGAGGGCTCGGATCGCCGGCGGTCGTCGGCAGTCCCCTCAGTGACAAACGGAGAGACGTTGACCCGGGACCAACAGCTGCGACTACTACCCCGGCGCAGCGCGGCATGCCGCTGGGAGGCTGACGTCGCGACCAGCTCCCCGGTCGGACCCGTCCGCGAACATGTGACGAAGGCACTTCCGAGAAGGGCTACTACGGAATCTCCGCGCGATCTCCGCGCGATCTCCGCGCGATCCGGAGCCGAAGTCGTGGAATGTGGGCCTAGAGCGGGTCCGAGCGGCGGGATCGAGGAGAGGCGGTCCCAGCGGATCTCATCCCGGACCTACCCTGGACCCACTCGGGACCGCAGGGGATGAAGAGCCCCGCCGTTCCCCGGGACTGAGTCGGGACGAGTCGGCTGCACCTGGTGGATCCGCCTGGCCTGTCTGGAGCCCTCAAAGATGATCACCAGGGTGCTGCTCCTCTCCTCCCTGATGCTCCTCGGGGCCTTCGACGGACCCGGGCAGCAGCAACATGGCCGGCATCCCCACGGCAAGGTGGCCTATGCCAGTAACGGGTGCAACGCGTGCCGCATGCACGAGGAGATAAGGGCGCTCAGCTTGGAGGCCATCAAGGAACAGATTCTCAGCAAGCTTGGCCTCAAACAGGCCCCCAACATGACCGGCAGGGCTCTGCCCCGGATACCGCCCATCTCCAAGCTCATGGACATGTACGGCATGCAGGCCGACCAACCCCAGCCCCTGGAGCCGGGCATCACCCACCACGAGGAGGTCGACGAGTTCGCCGCCAAAACCGAGACGGTCTTCGCCTTGGCGCAACCTCGTAAGTCATCCTTTGATTACACGCTGTCCAAGGTCGCCCTTGGACCGACGAATGCCCCACGCGGTCGCGGCTCTCGCAAAACATCGGCTTTTAATTCCGGTCTTTATGGATGCTAAGTACTCCGATCAAACGTTATGTAGATTGTAATTGAAAACTGCTCTGGTTAAGTACCAGATGATGGATCGTTGCGTTCATGGGATTGGTATCCGATAGCTTTGTGACATTTATACCGCATTGTTAATCAAAGTTAACCCAAGATAAATCTTCGCCCCGAAAGGTGTCGGATGTTCAAGGGAAATCGCAATTGTATGATATTTCGGTTCGTCATTGGATTCCAGGAAAAGATTCATTACGAAACTGGCAAAAGTAGGATCTATTATTGGAAATGTGTACGGTGACTTTCACCGACATGGAAAGCACTTCGCGATTGCTGCTATTGCGCAATTGGCTGCGATTGCAATTGAACGGTGCAGCAATTGGACGTGATAATAAGCAGACTTAGTACGCGGATGAATCGCAATTTATCCGCGGATTCGGAAAGCGGTCGGAGTTAAAACGTACTTTTAGCGAATTAAAATTACCACGCCAATCTATTTTACGTAAATCTCCTGTATTTTATTCGTCAATCTAAAACATGCCGTCGTTCGTTTTCCTTCTCGTGCCGAGATTTGACAGCGAAGTTATCGCGCCTACCCGACAACTGATTAGAGCTGGACTTATTAAATCGCAATTCGAAATTCGATCTAGGCTCGGTAGATGGGCCGCCTCGCCGTGATAAGGGCTTCTTATCGTGACGCGCATCCACGTCTTGCGGATCCTCGCGCGGTCCGATAATATCTCCCTTGGTCTAAGATGGAGGCGAGGATTGAAATTTGTCAAGGGTTATCGCCCGCTATGACTGATGGACCGGGTGCTGTCAAAAATCCTCGCTTCGGCCGAGATATAGGGTTTCCTGTCTCGTGAAATTCTCCCGTCAGACGGCTATCGCGAAATTATCACCGGCCGTTATCGGATGGTCCATTACTGGTCGGATCTGCTTCGCGTCACTTGGCGATCGGCCGTGACGTCTCCTCGAGGCTTTGACACCTTCCAGGCCCAATTTTGACAATTAATACCCGCCGGTCGGGCCACGTACGCGAAACGGCATTCTTCGGTTTTGAGATTGACAGTAACAGCTGCGCGCAGCTGGTGCCCCCTACGCGAGTTAACCTTAAACCCTAGTGACATGCAGTTAACTAATAAAGCACGATCATCCGATTGGCTAATTTCCTAGGTAACTAGGGTTCAACTTCTGAATCCAGTCGCCGGCTGGAGATCCTTACGGACCTCACTAATGTTATGGTTAAACGTAAACACGCGTCGGTAATCGCGCTTACACGGTGGTATTAATATTACGCTTACAAGGTTAGGAATAGAAGTTACGATAAATTTGTCACGGTCAAAATAGAAGATCTACTCCCAGAGGGGGTACTCCCTGGAGAAAATCTTTCCTGGTAGCAAGGGTTATCTCAAATCGGCGAGGTTTCCACGTGGCGCAATGTTGACGATCAGCTTGCATATTTAATTCGTATAAATTCGAATAAAAAAACTTTAAGCGGGTGAATACTTCATTTAAACGAAGGGATTAGGAATATTACGAAGCACGTTAGGATTGATATCGAATGATAGAATATATCAGGAAGGTACAATTGATATCAAGAAACATGGAATACGAGGATACAGGGACGGGTTGCGATATGGAAATCCCGGAATATCAAGGAGGTGGACGGGTGCGTCCCTTGATCCGAGGTTCGTTAATCCGCCGGTCGTCCGCGGTGGCGCCAGCGGCGCGGCGGTCGGTTTTCAGGAGCAGACCGTCTGGTGGACGAGGATTCGGCGAAAATTTCGCCTCCACTCGTACCGCCGAAGGTCACGGTCGGTGCACAGCCTAGGTCAGGCCCATCGCTCGTTATCGCGTTAAGGCGAGCGTCGGGTTAGGTCGCGCTCAGGACTCCTCGCTTAGGCGAAGACGCCTCCGAGGGCCGCGAGGATCCTGACCCGGTCAGCCCGGGCCCAAGGTCGCGCTCCGATGTCGACACACCGCCCCGAGAGGAGTTGACCGACCTCTCCGATCGACCGCCGCTTATAATTAGAGCCCGGTCTAGCCGGACGGGTGCTCTTTGTCCGAATGCACCGAAACTTGGATATTTCGACAACGACTTTAAGGGGATACCAAACTGGCATCCGCGATCAAATCGTTCGTGAAACCTTTCTACGAACTTGGCGCACCGAATCCTCTCGAACTTGACCACGTGAACGTTAAGGGTATCGGGAAGATCCTGACTCTCGTGAATTTTTTTTTTTTTTTTTCGTGGAAAATCTTGAAAATATTTATTAAGACATTTTTTTTAAATTGCAAATTTTAGGACGGTCAAGACTTTCTTTGTAGCCTACATGTTCACATTGTCAGGTTTGAAACGATCGGCTGATGTCTCACTCGTCGATCCATCCGCGCTAATTTCACGCCGGCTCATGGTTTTCCGTGATCCGAGAGGTGAGTCCTAGCGGCTACAGAGGTCTCCATTTCAGTTTTCATGTACCGGTGAAATTAATAAATCTGAAATAGATATATAACCGGTGAATAATGACAGCTGAAAGGGGGAGCTGCGGTCGGCATACTCGCAGACAGGCGCCGGGCTGCCAGGGGTTCTCATTTCGGTTACGTTTTCGACGTATTGTAGATAAATATTCGTAAATTGCGCTAATCGAGAGATTCTAACGAGATCCGCAGTAATGGAAAACGGAACGTACGCTGAGATGTACTAAGTAGCACTTACGCAACACTCGCAACATAATCTGCAGTGATCATTAGTTCTGCGGCGATGGAATTTCTATTTCTGTAGTTCGTGCGGCAACTTAATATGGCTCAGTTATTAGTAGCAATGGCAATTATAGTAGAAGGACTCTTGAGGTTGAATTGTCGCTGCAAGTATCTTTCGTCTACTTAAGACCTTTAGCCGAGACAAAGTTGATCCGAAGGATAACGAAAGACGTATTTCCATATTTACCAGACTTCACTTAGCTAATTCCACGTGTCGCTATCGACACACCTTCCTAATACTTTTGTCGGGTTTTATTTTTCGCGTTTGCCAATCCAAAGTAGCGGAAAAAAACGGCCTGATATTTAAAGAGGACGCCAAGAAGCACTGAAAGTCGGCCCTAAGAACTGCAGAAAGGCGCTTGGGGCTCTTCGAGGTAATTGCATCCCTTGATGAAGGCGCCGGGCAATTGCAACTGCAAACTCAGTGCGCACGCGCAATAACAGACCGGCTTCACGGAACCGTACTTGAGTCACTAAACGGTGATCCTAAACCTCTGCCAAATTTCTTGATCATCTTCCCCCCACGTGCAAGGTGTCGAAATGTTCACTTAAGGTGTTATGAAAAAGTTACTCCGTTTGGAGAAAAGTTTTTTTTTTTTTTTAATATTTTCACATTTTATGTATATAGAGTGCCCCTTTCATATCACCTTAATATCGACCGGGCAATTGATTGTACTGCCTTACAATCATTAATTTCGGGGTTCAACGTACTTACTATAGAATAACACTTCTCGAGAATAAACGTTCCAACGGCAAAAAAATTTGGTTGAGGAATAAGTTCCGGTTTTTCACGCAAAGTAACAAAATTAACATGTCACGTTTACTTGGATTTAATTCACGAGTGCCAGAGTGGATTTTACGATATCGTCACTTGGGGTTTAATTCATTAGTCGACTATGGAATTTTGAATTCGAGTTAGGGCTTTTCCGGAATATCCTGCGGATATTATTATCGAGGTTCTTGAGGATATTATTGTCGAGTGTCTTGCGGGTATACCCTAATGAGACGTCCCGTGGGCGGAGAGAATTCTCCCTCTTAATCCTAACCTATCCACGTCGGGATGTTTGTCTAACCTCTGCGACGTCTCTTCGAGAATTCACCAGAAATTGATCCGTTACGCCGCCTCCGCGCTGTCTGTTCTCTAATGTCGTTAGGTTAAAGGATCCAGATTCGAAGGGCAGACAGAAAAATCAGACTGATCTAATAACCTTGAATAGTCGATGCACCGAGGCCTCAAAGTTTCATCCGTGAACCTTGGATTCGGTTCATCCCGCTGGTGTAGACACAGTCATTAACTATCGGGATGAACGCTACCTTACATATCGATCAGCACGTAAGCTTAAGATCGATAAATAATTACGGAAATCAAACGCAATTAAATCACGCTAAATTGCAAACCGAGATTAGCTAAACTTGTTTATTAAGCGCAGTTCACTAAGTGCAGGTCTGGGGCGTTTTGGAATTTAAGTACAATTCTTAGCAATGGAGTGGCTTGTTTAAATAATAAAATATTATTGTTCCCACGAGGAATCTTTAGATCGGTAGTTTAGATGACGTGTAAATTAATTAATTTAGGGAGAAAGTGCGGACTCGGCGGGAAGTGAAAAATTGGAAGTAGGCATTCGTAGCAAGTAGAGAAATTGTTCTCTGATCAGACACCCTGGCTCCTCGTAAATCATCTACCTCGGCTCCGGGTAAACTAGTTAGTTTAGGGAGATTGTGCGGATTCGGCAGGAAATGTGAAAAATTGGAAGCAGGTATTCGCCCCAAGTAGATAGATTGTTCTCTGATCAGACATCTTGGCTTCTCGAGCGAGATGTTAAGGAGGCGTGCATGCCCGACGGAATTAACGTTCTCATGAGTTAATGCCTTTAGGAATATTTCTGTGGATATTAAACGACGGATTCTTTGCCCCGTCTTAATGGTAACAACTTATCACCCCGACGTATTTAAACACAATATGCTGACAGTGCCAGTCGGTTATCGCCGCTAGTAGATAAATTGGCCATTGATCAGACGTGGCCGTCCTTCCACGTATCGTTTATACTAGATCATAGACTACGTTTCACTCGATTTCCTCTCACCAATGCTTCGAACGTTTCCACTAACGCGACTAAATCCACATTTTACAATTGTTGCATCGGGTCGGGCAATAAGTTCGGGGAATAATTTCCCTTTGCAGCGAGCTTTTTCTTTGGAGATATTATTGCACGCTTAAATACAACTTTCGATTTAACAGTAAAAAAAAATTAATACGTTCGTCCTGGGGAAAAAAAAAATTCGACCGAATAAATTTTCCTGCAAAAATAATTCTGTAAATATTTCTTTGGTTCGATGACTTTTTATTATTTTTTTTTTTTATAAGTGTACGGTCCTAGGCGTAAAGCATCAACTTTGTTGCTTGTTTTTAACATATTTAGCGATGCGCTTTTTTGTCCCGCGTGAATGACAATATGTTATCATCTGTGCGTATTTCGATGAAACATGGCTCTCGATTTTCCCTGCTAGTAGATAAATTGGCCATTGATCAGACGTCATTGTCCTACTCGGGAGGAGTAAAGGAACGCGGACTATCGACACTTCTGATACTAAATGCCTCGCTTATTGGCCCGTCTTAACGACTAATTATCAATTTGCGTGGATTTAAACTCAATATGGTAATTCGGTATCACCCCTCGTACGTAAATGCGCCGCACGCTCGACTGACAAATTTTTTTTCCTCATAACGTGAGCGCATACGAAATTAATCGGAGATATTTCAATTCGAGTTTGAAACCGGAGAAAAATTATTCCCGATTGCCGGATAGGCGGTAGCACTTGCAATTTAATGTTGCAAACGTGGGAAATATTGTCCTGGAATGATCGGCCAAGGGTTTGATAAATTTATGATGGGAGCATTTTAAATGTGTAATGAGTCTTATAAATCTCGGGGCATGTTTCCGGAATGGTTAGATTAACGCCATAGCATTTCGGTTGTAATCGGGCAGAAGCGGAACTCGATAATCGCGTGTAACAAATGTGCGTAAAGATCATTCCCCTCCAACGCGGCGTCCCGGATCGTCATCTAAATCTCCGTAAATTGGGGCCACTTGTTATCAATATAGGCAAGATCCGACAAACGTTTTCACGTATTTCCGCATGTGCAATCAATGTTCGGACATCATCGACCAGGTCTGACAAGACGTGTTGAGTTTCCACGTACACGTAACCAATGCACGTCATAGCGAACTTCTTCTTTTAAGGCCCTATCTTGTATCAGTCCACAATGTAATTCTGGGTAGAACGAAATTTTTTTTTTTTCTCTCAATTGTCGGAGTTGCCATACAAGCTCGCCTACGATTGCCGCCCTTTCTCGGCCGCGAAGAGTGAAGGAACGCAGATACGGAGGAGCGCATTTACGGGCCCCGGTGAGGAGGTCGTTCCGTATCAATAATTCCTCGCTTATTTATAGGCGGAACGACGATAGCGGCCCTATCACCATTGTTTTCCAAGGAGGCGCTCACTTTGAAAGTATTTAATAAGCGACGCTTATCCGCGCGGGGAATGGGGAGGCAGAGGTGCCACGAGGACCGATTTGCGAGCCTCGTGCGAAAACACCGAGGGGCGCCACCGTCGGGACCCCCAAGATGGCGCCTCGATCGGCGCATAAGTCGCATTCGAGACAGATTATCTTCCCAAGGGCGCATTCGAGATAATCGTGTGCTCTCATTCGGTGGTCTCGATAAGGGTTCTTGGAGGAAGAAATGGCCTCGTTCGAATCCGAAGCTTCTCGCACATATCCGTTTGCAGAAATAAAATCTGCACTAAGATTGCACCGAAACTCACCGACGTTGTCGATTTTTTTTCAGACGGAGAAATTAATTAATTTTCATTTTCTTCAGTGGTATATCGTTAAAAGTACTTACTAGGAACTTTCTCAAAGTTGGTTAAATTCGATTCGTTGCGTTATGTATGCGTCGTTATCAATTGTCGTCATACATAATACTTCGTACGTCCACTCATCATTGTTTGTAAACCGTTGTTGCGTCGAGATTAACTTGTTTACACGGGACGGATTGACTGAACGGGGTGCAATTTTATTTAACGTCTTTTGTGGGGGGTTATTCGCGATTTCATTTGCTCTTCAATGCGAGTTAATCGAGCGTACAATAGTCGGATACTTCAAGACGTTAATAACACCAGCAGCGGGGTCTGAAAGGTTCTTAAGCGCCATCTTGTTGCAAAAAAGACATACAACCTCTCTTTCGTGATTAATTACTTCTTCACGGCCTAAGTAATTATTCACGTTTTTTATGCTATCAGAGAATTTATTGATAACGATGGAAGGGCAGTCATTCGTTTTCCAGTCGTAAGCGGTTTAAACCGTTTATGTTTTATTTCCCACTTTTTAATTCGGTTACTAAATTGTACCAGATTAGGGGGCTTAGGGAAATCTTTATGCAAGTGGCGCTAAACTGCCCTAGAATGCAATTCCATTAGCTTGATTCTATCGGCAGCTTTATTCCCGATTCCGTTTACGCTTCGGTGCCGCGTAATTGCGCATTAAATGTCCGAGCATTGTTGCGTGACCAACACCAGGACAGAACTGTCGATTTAACTCGATCTACCATTGAATCGTTCATCGGAAGGTGCAAATAAAATCACAATACGTTTACCAGAATTTTCTAATTACCGGTGCATATTTACAAGAACGAAGAAAAATATGGTAGCTCGTATCAAAATGGTAACTACGGCAATACGTTTACACGGGAGGATTTATAACGTATACAGTGCTGTGGTACATTTTCCTAGTCATTTTTTTTTTGTTTTATTGCGGAGAGAATTTTATTGTATTCGTGTCCAGTTAGGAGTGCAGAAATAATCCGCGCGAAAGGCGTTCGATTTCCATGAGCTTTCGGACATCCTCCTTAGAGGGAAGGATCTGCCCGTTAGTTTGTGGAATCTTCAACGGTAACGTTGATCAGGGATAAAAACGGGTTTAGCACTGGAATGGTCTTAGAGGAAGCCTTGATCACGAAAAACTTATACGTAGATGTAGGAAGTTGCGACCATTTCGATTCCCAACCACCACCACGACGTCGATGTTTTAGGAGCTTCGGTAAATTCTATTGAAATTCGATTTAAGGGCTCGAAGGTACATATAAAAATAAGCTTCGTTGTAACGCCGACTTTCGATTTTTTAAACGTGAATTTTTTTCGCTCTTTCGAAAGAAATGCCGATTGTTCAGATCGATGAAATAATGGCGAACTTCTTTCGGACGTGTGTGGTACCTTTCGGACACCCTTAAGAAACGCATGGACGACGTGTAGGACTTTGTAACATCGAGACGACGATATATCCTCGAGGAGCTCGCGATGCGAGTGACCTCCGTTCGCTAAACTATATTTATCCCGCGGTCTCCGCGTTCCCGCGCGATGTATTTAGTGCTTCGGCTTTATTGTCCTTTCTTTGTTCCCGACACCTTTCATTTATTTCTGTCTGCGACCAACGTAGGATTTCAAATTCCCGAATGCCTGGCCCAGACGACTCGTCTGCCGCCGCCGAGATACAACTTTTCCCCCGGAATTTCGGATTCGTTCGTCTAGGTCACGATTTCACCATTTCCCTTCCGAATTAAAGCCAGGCACGAAAATGAAAAAAAAAAAAAACACTTTCGAGCTTTCGCGTCATTCTATTTATTAAATGGATCGTTTAATTTCGACGTTTCCCATTTTTCTATATTTCGGGCGTTTCGGCAAGGATTGCTTTAGGAAACTTTTAAAAATGTTTAAATGAAACTCTTTCGGGCCAATTAAAGATTTGTCGTTTACATGAAATCGCGTCTTTAGGGGGCGTCGATAGTCTCGTCGGGACAGGAAATCAGGGCGCACCTCTAATGGTGGATTCACCGAACGATTTCATGCAACCAATTCCGCGATCGGCCCCCCTTAAGTTTCGTTTACACGTAGCCTCCGAATCCGCCGAGACCGTTTTGTTGGGCAATAAAGAGTCCCTCCTGCGTGTGGAGGAGCTTTCGGGGAAAAGTTCGGCGAGACCGATAAGAGCGCAGACGCGCCCCCTAATCGCACGATCGCGGGTCACGAACTCCGGAGACGGCGTAGACGCACTTCGAGGATTAGGCCCCCCCAATCGGTGGATCTACCCCGATTAACGCGAACTAAGGTCCAAGTGATCGGTATCTCTCTTCTTGATTGTAACTCGACATTGCTTTATTTTTTTTTTTTTTCTCCCATGCGTGATACCGCGATACCGATTTTTAGTTTCTTTGAGTGACCGTGTGCATTGCACCGTCCTTACATTTCCAGATCAGAGGCTAAGGCACTCGAAGGGCAGCCTGGACGTGTTGTACTTCAAGTTCTCGGACAAGATCATCCAGCACCGAGTTACCAGAGCGGAATTGTCGCTCTGGATCTGGGGGACCGGGTCCAGGGAGTCCGGAGACCCGGAGCTGGACCAGGAAACCGAGGGCCCGGTGAGCATCACCTTGCAGAGAATATTGCGGGGCACCACCGAGTCTGGGGGCCCCCTGCTGGGGCCTCCTCTGACCACGAAACACCCCAGGCCCCTGGAGAGACGAGGGGCCTGGGTCACCGTCGAGCTCAGGAGGATGGTGTCCGAGTGGTTCAAACACCCCAGGGACAATTTGGGAGTGGCGCTCAAGATCAGTGACGGCTCCCACAGGAGGAACTCCCGGCTGGTGGAGACCAACCCTGGCGCGGAGTTTGCCCCCTATCTGGAGGTACAGACCCAGGAGCTCGACTCCAGGAGGGGCGCCAGGATCAAGAGGAACGTCGGACTCAACTGCGACGAGGCCAGCCAGGAGACGAGGTGTTGTCGGTACAAACTCACGGTCGACTTTGAGAAGTTCGGCTGGGACTGGATCATCGCGCCCAAGAAGTGAGTGGATTGAATTTGAGTGAAACCGTCCCAACGAGAAAACAAGGAAAAAAATTCTTCCCTCATACGTTACATATACACACTTATTAATTCAACTTTCATGTCAAGTACTGACTTTTATCGCGCGGAAGTCCCCTGTATTTAATTGATACGGCTCTAACGATTGACGTCAACCGACAACGAGGAATGTAAAAACGATTACGAGAAATATCGTGACAATTGGCTAAGGTGTCTAAAAGGTGTACTAATATAAACTGCCCCACCTGATTTCAACGTTCACCGAGTTTCCGTACTTTTGGTTTAATGTCTAAATTATTCTGTTTCAGATACGACGCGAATTACTGTTCCGGCGACTGTCCGATGGCGTTTCTGCCTGCGTACCCTAACACGCACATAGTTAGTCTGGCAGAGCCGCCAAACAACACGGGTCCATGTTGTGCACCCAGGAAGTTGTCCGAAATCACGATGCTCTACTTCGACAACGAGTACCAGATAGTCTTCTCCAGGTTGCCGGGAATGGTCGTGGAGCGTTGCGGGTGCTCATAGTCCCTCGACGGGTCATCGAGGCTGTCTTAATCCTCGGCCACGACCACCACGTCGTCGTCGGCTTCCTCGTGATACTTAACTTAGGGAGAAGAACACCACTGCTCCGAGAAGTTGTCCACAAACCGCGAGAAAAAGCGACCAGACAACAAGACCCACGATGGTTGGTCGTCCCAGCCCTTCCTGGACAAGTCAGGGAGGGTTCTTGGAGGAATCGAAGAGGAAGCGATCGATCGCAAAGATTCACGCCCTAGAACGCCTGGTCCAGGTCGACGAAGACCCCCAGCAATGATGACGACGGAACCCGAAAAAATCCCCGACGATCCCTCGGGTTCCTGTTTTGTGGGCGACCCAACAACGATACGGCTCCACAAGGGCAGACCACTGCTGGGGATGATGACGAAAAGGAATCTTGGATGGCGCCAATGATTGCTAGTTGCAGTTGGTGGCATCGGCATCGACGTTGAGACCTGGTGGAAGGTTCTGCGCTGCGATCACTGACGATGCTGGAGATGGGAAGAAGCAAACGGTCGGAGGCTGTCCAAGGACGAGCTCCATCCAATCCGGGCAAGACGTGATTGTCCTGGCTCGTGATATCGAAGACGTAGAGTTCCTGGTCATCCAGGAAGCTGCGAAAGACTGCAATGGTCCTGCTGGCGAAGGCGGTCTACATAAACCTGGAGAAGCTCCATCACGACTGAGGGAATAGATGTCGTCGCATGTGTTCGTGATATTGGGGTAGAAGAGTCCCGGTCGATGGTGCGACCAGAAGGGTGTTCAAGACTGCGATGGCCTTGTCAAGGAACTTGGTTGAAGACTGAGATAAACTCCACGGCGACAGGGAAATACCGTTGCCTTTACTCGTGATATTGATGGGACTCGATCCCCCTGTCGAAGGGGTCGACGTCCACCCAGGGATCCACGATTTCGGGGGTCCATCCAAAACGACAGACTCGGTCCAAGACTAGAGTAGTCTCACGGCGATAGCGAAGGCGTCATCGCTTGATCTCGTGATAGTGAAATGTTTAGCGTAAAGGGACGCGGGGCGCTGGATCTTGCTCGAGACGCAACCGCGTCTCTGGATTTAGGGAAAGCGTCGAGGCGCCCAGACCAGACGAGTCCGCATCGGCATCGGAGATTTCGTCGCTCTTGCTCGTGATACTTAAGATGAGGAATCCCTGCTCACTTGGGGGAGCTTCCTCGTCCAGGATGTCGTCCAAGGCTGCCAACAACTCGGTCCGGAACTGCGGTGACTCCACGTCGACGGTGAAGAGGTCATCGCCGGTCTCGTGATATTTGCTGTAGATGAGGCCCTGGATAGTACCGAGGACTCGCTCACAAAAATGTCGACAATTCCGCGAAGAGACTCGCTACAAGACTGCGGTAACTTCACGTTAATGGTGAAGGTATCATCGCCTTTTCTCGTGATATTTCAAGAGGATACCGATAATGAGTTAGGGATGACGTCCGAGGGTAGGAAGATGTCCGACGTTCGACGGCCTCTTTAGCAAAACGTAGCAAACACCGTGGCGTTTTAGTGAAGGTTCTTTTTTAGGGAGCCCTAGATCAAGGTGACGAGGATAGGCTCGACAGAAAGTGTCTTGGTCCAGGAAGTCTGGAGCCTTTTCGACCTGGCCGACATACTTGTACGTAAAATAGATTTCATTTCATAATCGGATGTACATTTAGGGAATCCCTCAGCGGAGATGGTACACATCCTGAAATGAGTAAACCGATAGAGTTGTGTGAAGTTGTTAGGTGTATGGGCAATCTTGAATGCATTACAAAACGTTATACTGGGCTAAGGAATTTATTAATCCTATTTTTTCAATCAGATCTGGAATTCAACTGTTTCACTTTGGAACCCGGAGATATTAGAAAATGGAGAAACGTTAACGCAAACAATTAGTTTAGCACAAATAATGAAACGTGACTGCCAAAACCCATTATAGCTTTTAAGGCACAGAGCAGTCCCAGAAGTCGGCTCAGTTTTTGAGCTACATGCACCTATTCTGTGTTCGATAATCATCTTCTACCCCATACCCTCACCATATTCAACTATATGTTCAGCTCTTTTTTTATTCTTGTTAATTCCCCTTTGCAGTCGAGGAAATTCCAGTCACAGTTGCAACGCAATCCCAATTAATGTTGATAGTTTGAAATGGTATCCTAGGATACTTGTGTTTAATGAGTCCACTTATCATAAAAGAAAAAACGTTGGCAGGTTCTCAAACGTTTGTTTATTCAAATGATTATTCTTTGAATTAACAAAATATTTCTTTGGTACCATTCAATGGAACATTTCTTCGGTTAAATGAAATTCTTTTCCTAGGGTGCAGAATCAAAGATGGCGATCTTTGAGCGCTCGAAAAACCGGAAACGGTACCTAAAAGATCTCGGTGTACGCAGAGGATTTTCTTTTCCTTCGCCTCTTCCTTCCGACGCCTCTCCACTTCTTGTTGCGTAGGGTCGAAATGCCTCCACCTTCTAATCACGTACAAACGATTTGCTATCGCATAATTTAGTTAACTTTTCTACTGGCAAAAGTGTACATGAACGAAACTTGTAAGAATGCGGTATGTTCGTAGTATATTCGCCCAGAAGGAATCCCCTTTCCACGTCCCCACGAATTTTCCGCCGTATTGTAATTCCCAAGACATGTTACCGTCCTTTAATTTATTACAACCGCCGGAGCCTGGATATTGTAAGTGACGAATTTTTTTTATTTCAGTCCAAGATGGCAGCTCGAACAGGTTTGAGGGTGGATTCTGTAACTCGAATCTGGTGACAATTTATAGATTTCACTTTTTCATTTTCATAACCGGGCGAGTAAACTCGCGTGAGATGACAGGCCGAGAAGTGAGCAGTCTCGCCAAAGTTACAGAATCGACTCCCTGGTCAACGTCAGCCACGGTCCCACATCCTCCTTTATTTTTTTGTCAAACGTTAACTGGTCTACCGGATGTACTTCCATCTCACTTTTTCCCTTCTTCCCGGCGTCTGTCCCGTCTTTCTCTCTCTCTTTCGCTCTATTTCTTTCTTTTTAGAAAGTATGTGAGAGCGACGCATGTATATATAATATGCGCGCGGCCCGGTCACGTGACCCGTGGAAATAGGGTCGCGCGGCCCCGGCGATGGCGCCACCGATATGAACGGTCTTAATTGGTAATCTTTTAGGTTAAGTTGTAGATACGAAAAAAAAATCCCCCGGAGTGTAGCACCTCGCGGCGCGCCAGGAAAGGCTCGCTCGAAAGATACGGCCGATAGGATTAATTAATGCGCGCGCACGCGAGGACTTTAAGGATCGAGGCTCCTCGGCTCCCTAACTTCGAAGTCTCACTCGGCGACGCTACTCCCCGGTCGCCGCCCTCCTCGGGGTCGATTTTGTATCTTTGGTAAGAGTGCTCCCTTCTCGTCACTTTCATCTCACGTGAGTTTAGTCACTCGGTTCTGGGTCCTCCGGGTGAAAATGTAAAACCCCTAGACCGAAATAAGTAGACCCGAAATCTCACGCGACTTATCTCACATTTCGAGTATAGTGAAAGTTACAGGTTCACGGGAGGTGTCCACTTTTAGTATTTTCACTAGGCTCGAGTTACGGAACCAACCCCCTGAGTGGAAGTTACTCCTTTTTAGCATTTCTACTAGAATCTAGTTACAAATTCGATCCCCTGGTAGTTCTTGTTCGTCGTCGCCAAATAACACGAAGGCAATGTTAAGCCTGGTTTATGCTTCCGTCCCAACCCTAACTTAATTATTCATAGTGACGAATTCATAGAGAACGTTTATGATTCCCTTATCTTAACTGTAACCCTCGTCCTAGTCCTAAAGAGTTCCCTATTTCGAACTTATCTTAACATACCTCGAGATTTTAAGGAAGAACGCTTGCGCATAGTTTAAATATGAATATAATCTCCATAACTTTGTGTTTTCATTATTCGCAGCAACGGCAATTCGGATAAGAGAAATTACACGACGCTGCCTATCTATTTTAATGAGGAGCAGTTTGAAAATTGTGCTACGAAAATTCCTGTATGTGATTCACATGACAAGGGCGGAAACAGAAACCATGTTCTATATACCGTTCCTCTCTTTTTCGCGTCACTCGGCATGAAATTCGTTATCGAGTATTCTCACTTGAAGTATCTCTAATTTTTGTCTCGGTGGGAATTACGAAATCGCGATAGTTACTCCTTTTCGGCATTTTCATAGGTTCTGGTTACAAAATCGACCCCTCGTCCTCGCTTCCTGGCGCCACTCCACCGTCGGGCCGAGAACTACCGTGGCGGCCGGACCCAACCTAACCTCCAACTCCGAATGCCCTCTCGAGCTCTCGATAGCTGCTTAAGGTCGTTCTAGACGTAGGAGAAAACACGAAATCGTGGTTTTCCGTTTTCTCTCGGTGTACGCGGCGAAGGGATGGCGATGACGCGACGTAATAATGGAATTATATATTCAGTATCCGACGATGATAGATCAAGGAAAGTGGACAGAAACATAAGCAACACTTATATGTATAATGTGTACTTCCTAGGTAGACGCATAGGTAGAAGAATATTTATTCGATCAAATAAATGGTTTTTCGATGAGTCTCGCTTTCTTGACTGCTCCTGTCGAATCGTAGAACCGGGCCTTAATCTCCGTTCTTTAATGACGCCTTCTACATTAATATCCAAGTATTTACACCATAGGGGGGCCACGCTTATCATAGGTTAACGTAGTCTTACTTTGCACTTATCACATACGACTAATCACTATCGCGTCACGGATGGAAGATATAGTTGGGCACACACTGGACGATTCTCTCTTAATCTCTCGCGAACCGCTTATCGGTCACCCGAATTCCTTCGGTTCCCAATATAGATCTGGATGTAGGCCAATATCATCAAAGGTTTTACTGTCTTTCAAATACTTGACGAGATCCGCCGGCAAGTTTTTGTAACGTTTGAACCGGGGTGGAGACACGTTTTCGTGAATTACTTTATCTTCAGAGAATTACTCCGATAACGAGGGCGTGTCATTCGATTTGCACGAAGATTCTCCGATTCGTAAGACGAGCGCTTTCATGGACTTTCTTTTATCGCTGCGGCCTTTTCAGCTTTCTGCGTTGCTAAAAAACGATTAGCTGATCTCGGGGAAGCAATCAACAATGACCCCTACCTCTGTCGCATTTCCCGCGGACGACCGGAAGATTTCGCGGCATGCCGAGGAATTAGTAAGAATCACTGACGGCGTACGAGAATTTACGAGCGGTTAAGTACATATCGCACTGGTTGTGGTTGAATAAAAATGAGCTAATTGATTGTACAGATCGTAGAGACAAGAGTGCGATTTATGCAAGACACCCGTTAGTGTCAAGTGCACGAGTGCTTGTTTGTACGACACATTTGACCAAGAACTATTGCCCCTGGCATGCGCCTGTCGCATTTATCCATTTATCTACAATGTATGACTTTATTTTAACGAGCCAATAATCGAAGTGCAGGGCCCGATCTAGCCGAGCTACAGCGTCGATGCATCCTCGGCTTCCTTTTTCCATAAAAGATTTTTTCCTCGCCAGAAGAGCTTTGTCCTAAAGTTAAAAAAAAAATCAGCGGTTTTATATTCGGACAACCAAATTTCGAGGTAATATAATTAATGTAATACCGTACCAGTAATATGGCACTGGTACATTGTCGTCAGTATTTCGACATGCAATAACATTTTTTGTCGGTTGGCATTGCGAAATGATTTTCCAACAATTGTCTGCTGACGAGGGTTAACCTTTTAAGGCTAAGGTTAAGTAGTGTATTTTCAATTTACCGCTTCGCTCTGGCGCTCTCTAAAAAACTCAAGGTTTTTCAAAATGGCACCTGAAACGAGCGCATACGTTCGATTTAACAATGCATGCGTTTGCATGGAAAACTGACCTTACTTATTTAACAATTGTCTCTTTCTTGCTTTCGCTTCGTCTCGATTCTCATGGGATTTTTTTCACTCAGCTTTTTTACTAAGCTCGAAGATGACAATACTTAGAGATCTAACAAACTCATTTTTCAGAGAGCAAACGACGTTGACGAGGAAACTCGGTAGAGTTGCGCGCCAAATGTACACAATTGCGTAGGTACTTTCTTTATCCTCGTCTCTCGAGCCTCGGGTCCTCCTTTTGAGGAAGAACAAGAAAGTCTTTTCGCCCGAAGCCCTTTCTTGATCGTTCTTCCTTATGGCCGCAATTACCGGCGGCAGATTCGTCAGAGTTTTCGGAGTTTCTTCGGGGCCTTGATCGGGATCAATTTCTCCGGGTTCACTTTCGTGTCTCGAAGGATGAAGTCATGAGCTCGGTGCATCATCTTGAGGTCTTGCCCCACTTTGCCAAGTAACGGACGAGTCGCTCGCGAAGCGGTAAAGAAAGTAGAGCCATTTTCTTTTTCTCTCGTTTCAGCCGATCGAGCCGCACGCACGGAAGACGTCGAGAGGGATCGATCAGCTCGAATGCCGGAAAAAGTGCAATATTGAAAGAACAAGAAAATAGCTGCGATTAACTTTATCGTTGAAATGTCAAAAATGGTACGAGAAAAATCGAGACATGCGCATATTTTACCCTCCAACTCGTGCAATATCATGTACGCAGTAATAATCGCGGAATTTCGCACTCGTGAACTCCGAAATCTGTTGACCCCGTCGTTCGGCTGACATTTTACACCGATAATGGGAACAATGAGGGGAACAATAATTTCATAAAGACGCACTAAGGCCGCAGATTCGTGTCTATCTTCCGGAAAGAAAAAAAAGAAAGAAACTTGGAATTTGCCGACGTGCCTCTTGTTTTCACCGAGATTCCGAGTCATTTAATATATAATTAACTCATTACCAGGAATGGGGATTAATAATACATAAGAGGCGTATTTATATCGTTCGGGAGTAATTCCGCGTTGAAAACAGTTTTCAAGACTTCGTTTCTGCGACGTAAGAGCATTTCTTCATAAACGTAAATGATTGATTTTTTGCCCGGGATTTACCGAGGCTCCCCCACTAAAATTTGATTTTGTGGTGTGATCGTACTTAAGAAAATGACCGTTTATTAAACTAGCTCTACAATTAACCTTTTATGCAGAGTTTCCACGCTTATATGACCGTAGCTAGCTTATCGGAAGGAAGAATATGCAAAAAGTTGACAACTCGAGGGAAGAAGTCATCTCCCCCGCAAGATGTTCTAATTATTTCAGGACTGCACGAGAGGGAGCGGAGGTTCCATTTCCGGTGACGGGGGGCGCCGGTTATGGCGTTGCGAGGAAATAAATAATCCCAGCGACGCGATCTGGTCTCTTCGAGATTTGACATAATTATCATGGTGGCGGGCTAGCGTTGGCCGGTTTTAGTCGCGTTTTACGATCCATTCAACGAGCGGCATAAGCACCGAGCACACGCCCATTACCCGGATTTGCATTTTACGAGTGAGCAGCAACGGGGAGGGAGGCGCGTACCTGCACTTACTCATTTATGCACTTTCCAGTTGTCGTTTGCCGGTCGCCGAAGGCCGCGAAACTCTTTAATAGTTAACTGCCTTCCTACCACTCTCGGCCCTTAAAGATCCGACACACGCGATAATGTCGGACCAAACGGCACGAAAAGAAATGCCGAGGACTCGATAACCACGCGATTCTGGCATGCCGTTTGATTAACCCTTTGAGTGCAAAAAGCGTATATGCACGTGCAACGTTCGTCCGTGGTTATACCTCACTTTTAGCGTTAAAAGATTTTTCTTATAAATAAAAGACGTGTTTTAACGCTAAAAGGGAAGTACGAGTGTAAGCCTTTCGTGTCCGTCAAGTTTGACGAAACTTGACCTACGGATGCGTTTTTCCCCTTCCGTAAGACTGGGCGCACGCATCGGGGACTGATTTAGAAATATAAGGGATTAAGAGTACGTCGAGCACATATAGATAGTCAGATAATCCGAGGAGGGTCTTTAGTCGAACGAACCTAGGGGACGTCTTCGAAGCTTAGGGTAAAGGACACGAGGGTGCCTGCACGAACCTAGGGGAAAGGGTGTGCCGCGATTGTGTCACGAATCTCCCTTCCCTCGAATTTAACCAGGTAAAATCTCTTAGCTCGTAATAAATTATCCATTCCTCTCCGCCGTTTACAGGTACACTTCTGCGAGGGGAAAGGAAAATCGTAAGCCGAATTACCTCGGGGTAAAAAAGATCTGAACTTGTCTGAGACGCAGCCGCGTATCTTGTTCTATACTTTCCGTAGCAACTCTTAAACTGAATCGGCAACGAATCGAGTCTCTATGCCGAGTAAAAACAGAAGTCGGTCGCCCCATAGGCGACTCCGAGAAGAGTCATTCCCGAGTGGCTTAGCCGATATGAATTTTCATGGTGAAGTCTTCCAAGATTCGCGGAATCGCCGGGCGGGGACATGAATTTTCACGGTTACTCGCGGAAGAGGTTGTGTGCCGGCTAAGTATCGACGACCGATTCCTGGAATCGCTTCCGCGGATAATCTGGTATGAATTTTCATGGGGCGACAACTCGTGGGAGCCTGAACATAACGGAGATCGCAACGAGCGATTCCATGAATTGCCAGGCTTTGTTCATCGTTCTTCCTTGATCGAAGCGATTCCGCGAGTTCAAGATCACCTATCGAGTGTTTTACCGGCATCTTCTGTCACTTGTGGAAATTACTGGTTCTGGGATTTACAATCGTGCGAGAAATGCCAACTCGTTGAAAATAAAGGGGAACAATTATTTACGCTTACTTCAAGAAAGGACTCACTAAAAACGTGATAATGAGGACGCTTTCCATAAAAGCATGATTATTTGCGTCATATGTTAGAGTCAATGCAAAGTGTACTTAATAATTCGTAATAGTTTTGGCGACACGCGTCAACCCCGGCAAAGGAAGTTCCCATTCCACAAGTCAGATGGCGGTCCACGGAAAGCGAGAGTGTTCCTAACCTCACTTTCTTCCACAATTGGCCTCGGGATCGCACGCGATCAAGAAGGAATGGGAAGCGAACGGAGACGGCGAAGGCGATGGACTTGAATTAACTTAGGGTGTATTTCTAGAGCTCTAGGTTTAGCTCCGAAACATTCGCGGCATGTTATGTTGGCGAAGACCTCGGCAACTGAAGCTTCGAGTTGAAGCCGCGATTGAAAAACGTCCGGCAGAAAGAACGCCACGAATGGCGTGCAACTCGCGACCAAACTTCTCCCCGTTCATTATATAGGGAAAGTTGACTAATCATAGTTAACAAACCAGCAAGACTGTCCATACACCGTAACATCGATTAAGCCATTCTTACCCTTAGGAATTTTTTGCAAAATTTTCCTAGCGTTTTTTATATGTAGAAAGGGATGTGAAAGTGGCGTCAAAGAGGTCTCGCTTATGAAACTTATCTTCGAATTGGGTGTACCGAATCGTTTTAGACCCTATGAACCTTGGGTCAGCTCTTTTTCAACGCGTGTCAGCCGGTGTAACGTAAAGGCTACCTATGTCTATCGTGACGAATCAGCTCGAGTCGCTAACAGAGACAGGGAAAAATGAAATAAGTGGCATCACCCATGGCCTTATCCCAAAAACAGTCCCAAAGCGTCCGATCTCGTCAGTCGCGAACTTGGACATCTTCCAGGTCTAAGGGATATCGTCTGCGACTCGAAGAACTTTATCCCTGTCAGATGAAATGGGTCCTCTCAGGGACCTTCCTGTGCTCCGCACCTCGAGCTGAATCAAATAAGATTACATTGAATTGAAGTGCATTTATTTCCAGCTGGGGCCTATTAGAGTCCGCAATGGTGTCACGCTGGAGACCCGCTCGCTTCTCTCGCCACTTTGGGTTCCTTTTGGCGATCCAACTTATCTCACTCGTCATGGGTTCAGGTAAGATGAAGTTATATCGTCGATCACCATATGAAACCAAAGGCAATGGACTCTCAAACGAGTCTTACGTCGTTTTCCCTGATTTCCCCTCGGCTGTATTTTTTGGGCAGTTTCCCGGGGGGCTTGAAAAGTCCTGCACCGTCCCTGGGAAGAACAGGGAGGTAGTCGAGTGCAAAAGTCAACGTCTGCGGTGTGAAAAGTTAAGAGGGCAGAGGGCGGGCTCTGCGCGTACGGGGTCTCTATTCTTCCCGAAAGAAGAGCGGCCACTCGACGCTTGGCGCGGTCCGGCGAGCCGAGATCGAGCCCCGGAGATTATCGCGAACCCGGCCTTTAGTTATGGTACATTTTGCGGGATCAAAGCGCCGGTAGGGCAGGCCGCATTATGCGAGACTTATGCTCGGCCCGAGATCGGTCTTTAATCGCGGTACAATGTATCTTGGAAATTGCAAAATCTCCGACGGCCGCTCTCGTTGGCCGTTCGCCTCTTCTCTTTGGGATCCCCGGTTGCGGCCAACCGGTATCCCCGTGGCCCCGGGCCGCATATAACTGGTTTCCGTGTAGGCGAATCCGACGTCGTCCGTAAATCATCCTTCGACATTGTATACGCGGCTATTGATTCCCCCGAGTAACCGGACCGCTAAGCTGCAACCGCCTGGAGCGGCAGCTCCTTTTCAATACGCTCGCAATTATAAGCCAATTTCGCAATTCCTTCGCCCTGACGACGGCCGCTCCAAATTGGACGATTACTTACACTCTGCCCGACAACTATTTTACGGCGCGTTTGCGCCGTTACGGCGAATGCGCGCCCATTTAAATCGGCCCGAAGCTCTCCTGGACCCTCGTTCGGGAAATTGCCCAAAACGGCGAGGTAACGCGACCGTTTTCGTGCTTGCATCCATTCTTGGGGTAGTATGGGGGAAAACTACCCGGGAAACCATTAATTTAACCATTTATCGTTAAATGGGTAACCGGCTTAAGGAACTCTCGCAATTTTATTGGGATGGTTTTCCCGAAACGTGATTACGTCGCACACGGTTCGGATGGATTAACACCGGAAACTCTGTAGCTTCGCGATTATTGATTCACTTGTAACCGAATCGCTGAGCTGTAACCCCGAAGACCGGCGACCTAAGACGCGAAGCATAAATTTTCGAGTAGTTCGAAACTCCGGTTGTCACGTCGACGCGGCAGGTGGGGTGCTCGGTCTGTAAAGAAGCTCGCCGTCGTTACCTCGTAGGCGGCTGGAATAGGTAATTCAATAGGAATAGAATCGAGGGAGGGAGAGCGAGAAAGCGAAATGCAGGGGAAGTTGAAAAGACAAAAAGAGACTACTATGCTTAATTGGTCTGGTCTAGTGGCCAATTAATTTCTGTTTTAACAATATGTGGTTTCAACCACAAATTAAAACGTCGTTTCGTAAAAGTTGACTTTTCTCGCAATTGGCATGTATGAACTCGAGAATCGGGTCCCTGAATCCCGGTTGCAGGATAGAGTCTTCTTCGTCAAGGCAGCGATTCAATATGGCGACCAGGGACAGAAACGTAGCTGTGCCACCCAGTCATTTTTTCCCGTGGTGTCTGCCGTAGCCTACCCGCCCGTGTTACCCGATGCCCCCTTCACCTTCACTGCATAGGGCTGCACCGCACGCACCAGCGAAAAAAGTGCATACGCACGATAAGGGGGGTGCGTGCCTGAGGGCTATCCTTATGGGGCTTAGGGAGGCCATACGATACTTTAGTAACCCCGTAATACCTCCCTTTGCCGGTAGGCTAAGTATAAAGTAGCCTCCTACATGTACTTTCCGAGATTAAGGGGTAGGCATAGGCTATAAAAGGGATCCCACTATCTCACGGATGACGATCCAAAGTACTCTCTCTTGCTCTCGCTCCCGCCCTGGACGCGCACCTACCGGACGAACCTTTTTCCACCTGCCGACTTAACGATACTTAACGATACTTAGTAGCGATACTTACAGGTACTTAACGCCCGCAGCCGATTGATTTAACCGACATATACCGACACGAAGTTGCCGCGGCTGAACGCTTTGGAGCGGCGAGAGGTGGTACGACGAGTACTAAACTCATCAGCAAAATAAATCAATTCTAAACGCGACATCCGTCAAGTTCAGCATTGTCGAAACGTCCGTAGTCAAGCAATCAACAATAATCCCTGTCTCCCCAAATTTACGATCTTCAGACATTAAATCCTATCCTTCAAGGGAGCATCGCCGCTAAGGGCTGTACTTTAACAACGATCCTCGTTATCACCTCTCGCCGGCACCGCCGTCTACCATTACAGTTATCACTATAATTACGACCAAACGGGTGCGACCAGGAGGTTGGTACGTATGCTCGGACGTGCATGCCCGCAGGTTAATGAAATATACGGGACCCCGGATTCGCGGCACAAGATCAGAAAAAAATCTGAAGGCCTTGGACGTCTAAAGTAGGGGCGATTTCAAATCATGGCGTTGTATCTCCTTATAGTGGTGGTTAACCCGCGGTCCCTTGTCTCGTTTCTTTGTTTCACCGTTCCGTTTTTCGGTAGTTCCCCGTCCCGGTGTTCGTCCGGAAAGTTGTCGAGCGGCCACTGTGGGGCGCCGCGGTCGCGGGTCTGCGGCAGTTCGCAGGGTGGCCCGCCAAGCGGGGTGCATAAATCGGCGGCATGCCGAATCGTTCGCGTGGTGCCACCGTCGCGGCACCGCGCCATATCCTATTTACGCGAAATTCCCGGAAGGTGCTGATAACATCGCCCGTACGAAAGAGGGCTTCTATAATTTCCCTCGATTCTCCCTCGACTCGTCGGCCGGCGCTCGGCACGCACATCCGCATTCGATCAGCCGCTCCGCTCCCCCGGCCGATGGAAGCCTGCGTTACGCCGCGCGCCGCTCCTTTATCCTTTACTTCCTCCCGACCGATCCGCCATACTGGCCGTGTCGAATTTCCCAATTTATGGAGATTTATGCGACGGCCCGCCACGCCGCCCTGCCGGGGGTAGGCCTTTACGTGCATTCGTTACGCGCGATTGCTTGTACACGACTGTACCTTCCTTTATTTCAAAGTCCTCGCGTCCTCCGCGAGGTCTCCCCACTAATCCGATGCAACTTCGAAGGTACAATTTCACGCTGCCCGCGGATAATTGGCCGATCGTTCTCGTAAATTACATTTGACATGGTACAAAAATTAATTACGCTTTTCGTTCGACTCGGTCAGGGACCCTATTCTCGGATTCATACGATCAATTTTCGCACGCGAAATTGACAATTTCGTCTACGACTTTCAAACGTTGACCAATGACGCGACTTCGCAATTTTTCAAATTACTAGTTTGTGCTTATAATTCATTCTATGCTGGTTTCCTTTTAAACGGGACATCGTGTTGATGGTTATGCAATGTCGAAATGTCGCAGAAAATCATGGAATGGTTTCGAGAATAAACCTCTTAACTTGGTTCAAGGATGTATCGACTATTCATGTAAACGACTTATAGACATCGGCAATGATTGAATGTCTTCTATCTCAATAAGCTTCTTACTTTGCTACCCAGCGTTGGCACCGTTTAATAATTTTTTATGATGTACTGGCATTTAACGACAGCACTGAGACGGCACTATGCTCTGTCGTTGAATTAGTACTGAGTAGAAATAAAGACACTAGTACATGTTTCTCAGAAATAGCTAGTTTCTAACAGTCCAACCTTGGACTAGTCACGATTTCGAACGTCTAGACACCATTCACGATGCAGGCCGTGTTTACAGAAACAGTAGGTTTTGGCCCAACACTGACCCTACTGTCCATTCCTATCTGGGAACAGTCGATAATCGTGTATCGTCGCTTGTACTAGGCTTCGGCAAAGTCGATTCGTTACCTGATCCGCGCTCAACTGTACTCCTTCGTGCATTTGCACGCGTTTGTACTCGACGTGGACAAATATCCTACAAAATCATTTTTAAAACAAACATATACCCACATTCGATCACAGTTACTATCTGCATTAAATGTTACTTTCACTTCCACACCACGTAAATTATCATCAGCTTTTGGGTTTCTCTAGGTATTCATAACATTCTCTAAATGCATTCTCAACACGCGGTCTTTGAAACGAGTCGATGTAATATGCTTGCAATATTGATAAATTAATACCTACAACCGCATATTGTATACCTATACTTATAAATCGCCATCAATATGCGCGTGAAGTTTAAACGGTAGAAAATGAGTAAAACCGTTTAAGCAGGTATAATTAACTTGTAGTGCATACTTACGTACACACCTGACATGGATTGCATGCCGGGATGTAAATATCAATACGTGTGCATAGTTTAAATGGGGTATAGTCAGTAGTAGAGCATAATTCTCTAAATATTTGTGTTGTTTAAACGGAGCACGCGCGTTTCTCGCGGCCCGATAGCTCGAGGTTCCAGGAAGATAACAGTTGCTCGGCACCAATCAGTGGGCGAGACGGCGGCCAGACAAGCCAATGATAGATCAATCTAATTCGCATACTCAGACACGTCGCACACGGATCGACGCAGCGCTTAGAAAACACGCGAGCAGCGCCAGTCGCTCGGCCGAGGGCAAAGAAAAAGAAGGAGACGTCGCCTCGTCGCCGACTTGGAAAACGTCTCCAGTGTCGCTCCCTCGGCCCCGAGGGGGAACTCTCGCGTGACCTTGAAGTGGAACGACCGGGGACAATGCTTCGCGAACTCCTCTGGATCTCGAAGTCTCGACTGGATCCGGAAGAATCTGACGGGGACGCGGACCTCCCTAACCAGACCGCGTTTTTTACGCGATCTTGAGCTCGTTGCTGAATTTACCGGGATCCTTTCAATTTGACATTATATTCAGCATTATTTCCCGTTGTCCAAAAACCGTATCTTCGAATTCTACTGCAATATTTTTACCTGTTAAGAATGCCAATTGGATGGATGTGGTTAGTTCCAATAAACGTATCCCTGGAACTTCCTCGGATCTTGCGGGTAGCGCTGCTTGACCACCTAGAAAATCATCAGCATGTCAAAGCTGCGGCATCATTTTCCAATAATTGCAGAATATTGCAAAACATTATTCTCGAAATATCTGTAGGCTGTTATCAAGGACTAGCTAATGATACGATGTTATTAGGGTTAATTGTCTCACGGAATATTCTAAAGAAATCTACTTTATCCCATGTTAATTTTGTTGGTAATACGATCTTGATCCACAATGATGGTCAACGTTGGGAGCAAATGTAGGTAACAATGTCGGTAAAGAATTCGTTTGTTTCCCAATCACAAGATGACGCCGGCGTCGATACTGAATGTGGAGATTTCAGTATACGGCCGCTAGATGGCAGTAGCTCATTTAGGTTAGCTCCGAAACATGAGGTATCAACCCTCTCTACTAGTCTGTTTCCAACAAGACATATAAACGATACAGTATGATACATAGTTACAGCTCGGTTGTATCAATTCTCTTAAAATTGTAGCGCGTAGCATTTCGGTAAGGCGTAAAACGTAACATAACCGCAACTCTCCTTTTCAGTAAATCAAAATGACATCGAACTCTCTACCTTTTTTTTTTTCAATTGCTGACAAGGTTCAAAACTGACCATTTTTATCAAGAGTCGCGGTAGAATTTCAGACTAGTTCATTGCTCTATTGGAATAGTCACCGATAGCTATTAGTGAACAATTTATATAAAACTTGCACTAATAATTAACAATATTCGCTATTTTTAAATATACTAAGTACAAAAGCGCTTATTCCGTAGAAATCTCGCTTCGATGCAACGGCATCAAAAGGGAAAAAAATAAAACGCCCTTTCTCGATCCTGGAGGCGTTTGTAAGACGGTTCTCCAGAGGATGCAGGTTCCGCTCTTGGAAAGTTGGTTAACCGGAGGCGGTGGGAAATCTTTTCTTGTTGCTACCGGGTGCTTCACGCGTTACATTTGTGACCGGCGCACACTCTCGCCCCCGCAAATGCATCGCACTTTGTGTGTGAGGTGCTTAAAGCCCGGCGGGAGTGCCGGAGTTCCTTCACCCCGGGCGTTTTCACTTTTCAGAGAGAAAGAGCCGAATACTCTCTGGTATTTCTTTTTTTTTTCAATTTCGCGGGAAACCAGCCGAGGAGAGTTGCGACTCTTGAGAGATTCCGGACTCCCCGAAACTCGCAGACTTTAACGAGAACCTTAACGCTTCTAAAGGCTTTTTACCTCAAAAAACGTCGAAATTCGAGAAAAATTACGAGACTTGCTCCGGAGGGCTAAGACGAGTTCCAGCCCTCGATCCAATCGCGGGTGCATTAGATTGATTACAGTCGGGTCTGGTAGCAACATTTAAAATGCCTTCAAGAAACATTACGTCAGGAAATATTAGACCTTACGAGTTTACATTAACGAAATTATCGCAGAATTTGGAGCAGAAAATAAACTTGCCCGATACTGGGATTAAAATTCTAACTTGACATCGTGGGGTTCATTTTCGGAAAATTAAAATTTTGCCGCGGCGCTCTCATCGGTCGCCGGGCGGCGACCGCGTGACGTCACCGATCGATGACGAATCAGAGCGCGCGACGCTTCGGGGGTGCGCGCGCAACTGCTACGGAATATACACGCCCTTGCATTCCTCGATTCGCGGACGAGGAAAATATGTGGGACTATTTCCAGAGATATATAATGAATATATGTATAGACGTAAGAGGGCTACACTGACTTTCTGTCCGCAGCCGTTTGACCCTTCTACAGACCGAGTATATAACATATATACGCGAGTCGCCGCCCCCGTGTGCCGCTGACCCTTGAACAGGTCAGCGAGCGTAAGAACTAACCAAACCTTAAAGCGTGGTAACCGCAATCCTCGCACTTTGCGCACCTCTTGAGCATCCCGGTAACGAGCTTCTGCGTAGATTTTCCGATTTTATCGATCGTCCCACGTTATTAACTCTCTTTCAATACACACCATTTTGACATAATTGCTATTTACCAGCGAACTCGATATATCGGATATCGATACCTGAATTCCTATGCAGATGTGTCGTCATTCGATAGCGATAGTATTCTGTTTATACGCAAACAAAATCTCCAATTTAAAATGAGTAGACGTTTTCAAAAAGAAAAAAGTTTCTGATAATCGAACGGATCTACACTTTTAATGTTTACTCTTATTTCTATGAGATAATTTAACTCCCGTTATGAGTTATTATCAATTCTCGATTCACTTGATCCACGGTGTATCGATTTTTGATATATATCGAAACTACTCTTCACTCTTATTTTTTCAAATCAGGAGGCGGTGTATAAACGGTCATAACTATTTATTACGCTCACCTAGCGTGAAGGATGTCGTTCAATCTTGAATAAAGCGTTGATTCTCTTGAATTCATGAAAGTAAAAAGTCTGTCCGCGAATGTTCGCATAAAGTGGGATTAAGAGGTCGGTGATTAGTCTTGCAAGCTCTGTGCATAAACTCACGTGAGGTGAAAGTTCGAGAAGTGAGTACTCTCGTTAAAGATACGTAATAGCCCTGAAGTTCATTGACTGCTGCCTTGGCGGGCGCCATTTTGTTCGCTTGCCCATTTGAACGCGCCTCTCTCATTGGTCGGTTGGTTTCCAGCCGACCAATCAGAGCGCGGCCTCCGCAGCCCCTCGGAAAATCCCGGTAAATTTCGGCGTCGCTTAGCCCATATATAACCTCAAAGTGCAACACTCGCTCTGGAGCACACGCACTGCCCGGGGCACTGTCGTGTGCGTGCGGCGGCGTCCCTGTGTCAGTTGTGTCGTGACGTCGGCGACGTCAGGGCGCGGATTCGTCGCAGCGCGTCACTACCTCAGAATGACGGGCCGATAAACCATCTTGTCAGCGATCTCTGCGGCGGGCGGGCCGACGGTCCCGAGGTAAACATTTCAGGCAAACTCTAGTCCACTGTCGGGTCTTTCTTTTTTTTTTTTTACCCCTACTTGAAATTCCCAAGGATAATTCGCTGAGCCCTTACCTTTTTCAGGAAGACCCCAGAGGTTACCGAGGATGGCGAGCTCGGGGTCCGTGGCTGGTGACGGGGTCGCCGACAACGATGGCACTTCTGGACTCGCAGCTGGCCCCAGAAATCCCTTGATCTGTGGAGTCTGCCAAGACTACTACAGCGATCCCTGTTTACTCTCCTGCTTTCACACCTTCTGCGCTCAGTGCCTCCAGGGTCCTCATCTCGACGGCAAGCTTGCTTGTCCGATCTGTGGGTAAGAATTTCCAGTCAGGTCTAAATGATTCGATACCTTGTTAGAAAGTCTATAACGTATAGTCTTTTAAAAATAAGACATTCTTTGAACTACATTCATCTGAATTTCATGAAGACATTTCATGTGCGAAGAAAAAAAAACTAGGTAACGCAGTGTTTTTATTATTGTTTCATAACTATCATAACTGTCATTATCACATTATTTCGTTGTCGATGGTAATTGATCCACCATTACAGCAAACAATTTGAATCTCGCGTCATAGGTCTCCTTGGTTTCTTTCAGACAAATAACGCAGCTGAAAGATGGATCGCAACTACCACCCAGCGATCAGTTAATGCGCCAACTAGTCGAGATAGCCAATTCAGAGAATCCACCCTGTGCTAATTGTGATAAAAGGGACAAATCTACAATGTTCTTCTGCACAACATGCGGTATATTAAAATATCACCATTATTAACCTCTACTAACAGTCAAATTATTTGATTACTCAGTGGAGGTCAAGAGTGATAAAAAAAAAGATTTACCACACTAATCTTTTTGTACAAGGACCAAAATTAATTCCCTCAATTAAAGGATATATTGTTTAATACATTGTTTTTGTCACAGGACAAGCTTTGTGCAATCACTGCCGGGATCACACACATCGGGCAAAGATGTTCTCGACTCATGAAGTAGTACATATGAGCAAATGTGCCAAAGACACACAGCGGAGGTGTTCGACTCATGGTGAACAATACATCATGTACAGCCAGACTGCAAAATGCATGCTATGTGCAACATGCTTCCGAGACACACCAACCGATGCCAGGCTCCATTGCATGGACATAGATGCAGCTTGGCATCAAGCTTCAAAGAGGATGGAACGAACTGCCAACTCGATCTGCGAACTTCAAGCTGGAGTCAAGGATGGTCTCCTCGCCCTAAAATCTCAGCTCGATGAACTTCGACACAGCCTTGAATCAGAGAAACGATCACTCACTTCTTACTGTCAGGTAGTAATCAAAAGAGTGTTCGACTAGAACAAGAATGCTAAAAGTGAAGCATTAATTATTCATTACTGGCACAGGGCATGCAGGAAACAGTGGCGAAAACACATGCGTCGATGCTCTCAGAATTACAGCGACAGTTTGAAAGCAAGGAACGAATGGTACGAGCGCAGCTTTTATCACTGGGCAGTGCTCTTCCAGTGCTGCAAATGCACCTGATGTTGTGCACTGCATTCACCAGCGGTGCCACAAAGTACCAGTTTCTGGAATTAGCGCACCTGATGTTGGATCGCCTAGGTCGAGTAGCTCAACTGGGTCACCCATCGAGGCCTCCTCTTCTTACAGCCCATCTTAAGACGAATTATCGAACAGAGTTTGCTCGGGTCCTTCAACCCTACGTAGGTCAGACAAAGGATTCCCTCTATGATCATGCACACAACATCGGACAGCCTGAGCCCCAGTTTATCCAGGTATTACTAAAGTGAATGTTTTCTGGAAATCAGTCCAAAACTGTGGAAATAACGTGATAATTTAATCAGCAGAGTAGCAAGACCAGCCAGAGAGCACAGCCCAAGTCTGGGACGGACGGTGGACCTTTTTCGAATCATTGCAGGACCTTTGACAACCAGCTGAAGGAACTCAGCGATCAGCTGATGGCAGTCAAGGAACGCCTTGAAGACCTTCATCGAGACGTCACCATTCTGCGCAGAGCTAACACTCCTCCACTGAATGCTCGCTACGAGCATGTGGCTCGGGACTGCAAACTACTCGAGCAGCAGCTGGAACACCATCAAATGGAGCTGGAGAGATTAAGAAGTGTTTTTGACGCACTCTGGGAGGAACAGCTTTGCCGGATCCATATAGAGAAGGAGATCTTCCATTCGCAGGTTAGTCCTAGTGGGGAGGGAAATTTTTTTCACCGACATTCCTGTTGTTATATTCTTTCTTCTGTTCGTAGATGAATGACATCTTGACATTACGCAGTGAGGTTAGACAATTGCTAACCTTAGCGCAGCAGTTGGAACCCTTCGTCAAGTCCTTTACAGCCGGAGTCAATGCTGGAGACTTAAGCACCGCTGCTTCCGATGCAGCTGGTCATCAGCATCTGCAGGTTCTTCTGGATCATCTGGCTAGATTGCAGTTGCAAGAGCCGATGCAACAACAGCAACAATCCTCTGCGCCCACTAAGGAGTGTCGTCACCCACGTACTAGTTCCACTGGTGCAGATAATGCTCTGTACATGAAAGGTAAGAAAACGAAGAGTTTATTTTATTTATTACAATTCGAGGATAGAATAGCATTTTCTACTTACAAATTTCAAGGGTACACTCCAATGGAAAATTGAAGTTGTACCTGGGTATTACCGCATAATTCGGTAACAACCGAATGTAAAATATGTTTTGCAATAATTTTGATAATTTCTAACTATTTTTTATTTACTCTTTGCAATAGAAAGTAAAGAGATGCCGACAAGATGCAGAACACCATCTGGAGGGGTCGGAGCTGTCTTAGACTCCAGTGGAAACATCGTAGTGTATGGGACTGCGAAGTCATCGGATTCAAAGAGAGGAGTCTTGAGCCAGCTCATTGAAAAGGCTCGGACCAAAGAAGACAGAAAGAAGTCTCCAGGAAGAGACGAAACCAGGGATCGCAGCCAAAGTCGTCGATCTAGAAAGTCTCCGGATGAAGTCAAGCCGAAGACTCCGCTAAGTCATTCGAGCAGCAAAGTTCGATCCTTGTATCGAACCTTGACAGGCGCAGCATCTGAACAAGGAGGGGAGAATTCCGAACAACCAGAGCGATGTAGTGAATCTCAACAGCAGCATCAAGAGCAACAACAACAACAACAAAATCGTCCTACTGGTATGCAAGTTGAATTACTTAAATAAATTGTAATTGAGCAAGAATTGAATGTACGATAACATAACTAGTAGAGATTAGATATATTTCATGTACCGACAGGTCTAGACCTTTGCAGTCGATACATATTGTAATTTCGTTGAAATATACCGATGATATGTTTTCAGTGTGGAGGTAAATCTATTTGTTTGATGCATTTTTTTATCAATCGTTTCATTCTGGATTATTAACTTTCATTCTGGTAGTGAGAGATGCTTTTCACTCGTAATTCCAGTATTCATAATCAAGTTTTGAGCATGTCTATCGAAGACTGCACCCTGCACACTGGTATCTAAAGTACTTCGAAAGCTTTTCATTCATACATAGATATACAGTGTTACAAAAATGGTGGACACGGTTTAGTCAGCGCTATCCTGGTCGGAAATGGAATCCAACAGTCCTGTACTATTTTTTTTTTTTTTTTCTACAGTGTATTGGCCTGTAATAATTAATTGAAAAGTTACTGTAGTGTCGTGTAAATCGTGTCTACCATTTCCGTAACACCCCCTTAGTAAGGCGTGCTTTTTCAATGAAACGGAAAATATCCTAAATGTGACATACGTAAGCTATTTATAAGGTATCGATCTCGAAGCTAATTCGAAAGAGAGAGTCTCACGTTGAAGGAAGATTACATGGTATCGGTAAGGAGAAAAACTCCATTGAAATGAATTTTCCAGCCGAAGAAAGTGACTACCAGAGGATATCGGAGACGTCCAGCATGGGCGATACGAAGAAACGAGTGCAGGCTCAGGTTCACCCAGTGCCTCCGGAGGAGCAGACCATGCCGACATGCAAGAGCACCAAGGTTTACCCGGTGAGCGACTCCGAGGAAATGTTTTACTCCGGCGAGAAAGGTGGAACAGAAGCCAGGAGGCGTCGACGAGCCAGCTGTGACAGCTTGAGCACCACAGGTTCAGCAAACAGTCGCCGGTCCAGCTTAGCTGATGGGATGGTAGGTCAAACCGGTGCACCGGATCCCAGGAAAACTCTGGTTGTTCTGATTGGTCCCTCTACGCCGTCGTCTCTGGTGCAGAAGCAGCGCTCCTGGGAAACCTTTCCGAGGCCGAAGAGCAAGAGGACTGCTGGTGAGAGTTCGACGGGCCTAGGTCAACTGAAGAAGGCTGACAGCTTCGAAGGCCACGAGGAAGCCGTGCGTACCCTAGTGGCTGCGGTGCAGGAGACCAGGTCACACCTTCGACAGCACCACTTGCATCACCATCGACACCACCGCAAGAGCAAAACGAACTGAAGCCTGATTCGATTGGACCAATCCTACCCTTGGAGGAACTCGACTTGATAAGGGAATGTCAAAAGTTTCGATGCACTCAATCTTCTACGAGGCAGATTTGACATCTTGTGGAGCGCCACTGATTTTGAGATTATGTGGTTTGTCACCTGAAAATGATACAAGGTTTCATGTTCTGTTTTGGAAGCTCTTCAAAGTGTATCGAAGTTATTCGGTATTTTTACTGCTCGTCGTTACAAATGGTGTTTTGGTCTAAACGATTCTATGTTACGGTTGCGATCTAACCTTGCATCGTACTGACTGAAACTTTTCGAAGTGAACCAAGTATTTGGTATTGATCTCTGCTGATAATAAGAACGCCGAAAGAATTGCTGCCATTTCATTTTTAACGAGGGAGTTTCTATGGATCGCGTCAAATGCCAGGTTGGATTATAATCTGAAGGTTGATCGTTAGCCATGTATTGGGTACGGCGAAGATAATCGAAGGCAGTCTCAGTTTATATGTTAAATGCTGACCAAGGGTAATTGTTTCTTAATACGAATTAAACGTTCGGAGATTGACGGAGAAGTTCAAGATTCCATTAAATGATGGTACGATAAAGCTTCCTTTAGTACAAAGCATATCGTTGACATTATTTGTAATTTTGTCGATTCTTAATCGATGCTCTAGTTTATTGGCTGTAGCTTCTCATATTGCGAAAAATGTTTAAGATATTGCGAAGCAGGATTTATAACTCTTCACTTTGTGAAGTACATCTTCTCATGAAGGGTCTCGATGGAGGCCAAAAATTCTCTCTATCTCAGTCTCGATTGGGATATTTCGAAAATCTTTCCCCTTTAAGCTTTCTAAGAAGGGCAATTTATGAGAAAGTGATTCACGTTGATCTAACTGATCGATGGAGACATTAGCTAGAAAATAACACTGCCAATAATGGTACATACACCACGAATTTAATCACTCGATAGGGAAGGAAAGACAGACAGAGTGAAGTTAGCCTAATCAAATTCAACTGGTAGCCTAATTTAATCTATTTATCATGTTAAGGTTCTCACCGATGTAATCAGAAGATTATTACCAGCACCGATAGACTCGGAACTGGTTCTTTGCAGTATTGCTCCTCGGTGAGCTTCCAGTGCATGTACTGGATGTCTAGTATCTGTAACGATATTTATGAATGGCAAAACTTCTCTGCATATAATATATTTCTTCGTGTGCTGAATGCTCACCTGAGGAAGGGAAACGTAATGACATTAGGAAAAGGTTAGCCGAATTAATCCAATCTTGTTGACAGCTACCGAGCTGACATTCTGGCTAGTGTAACGAGAAGAGAAATCATACAGCTCACGATTGCCTCTCCTGAATTGCATCCTGTATTTATAAATCGGATGCAGGAATACGTAAGACTAGCCATGATTATTGACATTAAGGAAATAACAACGTGACGCCAAATTTAGAAAGGGTAATCCTATACCTCGTATTAATAAATAAGCCTCGCCCAAGTGGCGGACCCTTAAGTATATTACATTAATGGCAAAGGTACTCGATAAGTATACAATACGAACATAATTTAGGGGAATGTATTTAAAGCGTATTAAATCGTACGAATTAAGAGGAACTAATGTTGATCGTTCATTAGTTTTTATCTTATCCGTTTTATATATTTTCATTCATACCGTACGTTTTTAGAGTAGTTGGAGTAAAAAAATCCTTACATGAGTTCTTTTTTGTACAAGTTTTATTTAAAGTATTCTCAACGTGTACACGCTACGATCGGTCGGCGGCTCTATAATTGTCTATATTTTAGAAATGTCTATAAAAAAAAATCCAACATCTATATTCTCGATTTTTTGGTTTTTCCTCCTATTTTGATTAAAAATAGGAGGAAAGGACCTTTACCTGCCAGGCTTTTCATGTGTGCCAATTAATACACGTCCTGATTAAAACCGATAGAAGAAAAAAAACCACTTCACGCAAGTCGAGAATGCTTGCAGCATGTACAGAGTTCCAAGCAACGCAGCGTTCAAGCGTTCCCTGAAGAAGTCTACTATGTACAAAGGGAAGTAGAACGCGCGCTACGTCTTCTCAAATTGAAACTTTTCAGCGAATTAACTTCGTTTCTCTTCTAGGGTCCTTTCATCTGGGCCTGGCTCTAGACTTAAAGGCGAGATCCTCCGGTTCAGAAGTTATGGACTCATCACCTTCGTTGTCGTCATTCTCTTGTAGGATATTATGGATACAGTCAACGGAAGAATCCTTTCCCCCCTTGAGGTCTGTAAACAGAGCCAACAATCCCCATCTTTGATGGTTCTCTCTGTTCACGTGGAAAATCTGGCTGGCCAGTTTGAAGGCACTCCGCAGTCTCTCGACCTGGTCTACGCTGACATTTTTGCTGACATTCAGCCACGGCTCCAAGGGGTTCTTGATGTACATCCCTGGAGACGAATTATCCGGCTTGGCTATCTCGTGCCCGACTTCCAAGGAGATCCCTTTGAGCCCGAAGTTGAAGTTCGAGTAATACTGGAAGAAACCTTGCAATAGATCATGCAGACTCTCTGCATTCTTTATTCGCCATTCTAGATTGTTCACGTTTCTAACGAATGTGCAGTTGACGCAGCTGTCTGTCACTCTGGTATCTTCCTTGGCTGCGAAGGGAAATTAAGTGAGTTTAATGAATAGGAATCTATTAGGATACCTAGTCTTTTATCTTTTAAGAAAGTACTTACTGGCTGTTGCGATAAGATATTGTAAGGGTGGCAGAATCTGTGCATGTTGTAAATAAAATATCACAAGCAGTATGAGTGAGAAATTAGTAATCCATGGGCCAGGTGTATTCTTCGTCAATTGTTGGGACTGAGCCCACTTTCTTACAGTGAATGCTAATGGTTTAACTCTAGGATCGATGGCGCCGTAAATGTACAAGAGCTCTGACATGTAAACTGCAGTCCTGAAATATCAATGTTAATGATACAAAAATATCATTAAAAAAAAATGTTACGAGATCTTATGCAACGAAGGAAAGACTCTACTCATTTATGTATTTTACTCACATCTGAGACATGCTGAGATCACATTCGAGACCAGCATACCGGTGATCGAATTTAATTATGGGCACTTTTGCTTGAAAAATTCTCTTGACGTTTGAGATACCTGGTATGACTTGTTCCATTGAGGTAGCAATGAGGTCCATTAATTTTCTCGAGTGAAATTTTTCCTTCGAGAAGGACTTTGAATGATACACTAATCTACTGTTTAAATTTTCCTAGAGAAATAAGTTGTTTACTTGAATAAGTATTCCAGAATGTTAGAATGTTCAAACGAAAGGAAGTTATACCAACAGTGCTTGCGTCCAGTATAGCCACGAGATCTAAGTCGCAGCCCATTTTGCCAAAGCCATTTACTGAAGAGCCAAAAGGAAATGCCATTACGTTTGGGAAAAATCCAGAAAAGTAAAATTCAAATTGTTGCGCAGTTAGAAACCTGAGTCTTACTCCAATATCATTAAGCTTAACTAGTTTATGATACAGCGTCATTTGATCCGATATCTACAACAAAAAAAAATTAGGAAAAGTAGAACAATAAAATTTGTTCTTCCCCCATCCAATTATTCTCTTCAAACCTAAATAAATGTTAATCGCACCGAATTAGCAGTTGATAACTGTTTCACCATTTGGTCATCACTAATTTGATTAGTAGCAAAAAGTCTTGTTATCGGTAGTTTTGTGGGGAGCTGTTTCACTTTTTCTGAATTTAAATTCCGGAACCAGAGAATGTTACCAGACGTTGGTAGAAGTTCATCACGATTACAATGAGTTGCTTTAGAGAGCAATGTGGACTTGTCATTAATGCTGGCTAATTCCACCAGGTAAAAGTGCTGGAGAAGGAAAAACATATATTAAATCCAAAACTCATTTGTAAAGCCCACAATAACAGAATAATTACCTCTGAATGATGAGTTGAATAATGATACATATTTCTCACTTTACAGGTTCCCAAACAATATTGGTACAGTTCACTGCCTGATTTCTGAGATAAAACTTGAACTATGATACTCCGATTTGCCTGAGCTTTTTTCTCCTCCAAGAAATTATCAAACATTTTGAATCTGCTCTTTTTATTGTTGTTCTTTAATGGGACATGTGGAAGATTCTCCACATTTTCTAAGACATTGACAGAATTTATATTCTTATTTGAATTACTTATCGATCCTGTACAAATGGCAAAAATTTAAATTTTAGTGTGCGATATACTATGGACCATACATTATAAATAACAGCGACCGTATAGATACATAAAGTAAAATAGTTAAGACCACCAACGAAATTAACCATGTTTTTCAACAAAAACACTTTTCATTAGGAGTTACCGGAGAATTCTCGCGTAATAACGAAATTTCGGGGAAAGGATCCCGAATTGCGTTTAGGAAATAGTAATAATTAAATGTTAAGGAAATATTTATTTATAAGTAGAGAAAACGGAATGGATATGGTTCTAGGTTAAGTTAGGAGATTTACCGGTATTCGCCTTTCGCGAGTTTCGACGTTGACAAGCGGACGTAGTAAAAGTTCTGTAAAACTTGCTACATAATCTAAAACCAGTCTTATTCATAATCAGTTTAGAATAAGGATTATTGGTCGAACGACAAAAATTCACGCAAACACACATGAACAGCGACATGTTTTAATCCTACCCTTCATTTACAGAGACAGTGTTGCCAACAGTCGCCAATTTTTAAGAATAACTTCGTTGCTCGCACCACAGATGTCGCCCAAGATTCAAATATCAGGACTGATATATAAGGCTGTTCAAAAAATATCCCGCGATAATTTATACTAACTCATGTAACATGTAACACCCATATTGTTGCCCTCTGTAATTAAAAATAAACAGCAATTATCCACTATTTATAAAAAGATTCTGTCTCAGTTTTTACCCCTCACATTTAATTAAAACGGAGTTTTATGAGGTAAGTTTTCGAAAATCGATTTCTGTTTTAAATTATTTTACTGCGAAGGAATAACCTGCTTTATTCGGATATTTACAAAACCGGTAATTGGATAAAATTCAGGAGGAAACATGCAGGTTCTAGGAGAGGTATCCCTTTAAGGTCCAGTTCTCATCGACGCGAACAGGCGACGATGCGCTCGCTGTTTCGGGCGATGACGTGATCACCGTCCCGCGGTTGTCTTCCTCTCTCTCGCTCTCCCGGTCACCCACGTGTTGACCTCTCTCTCCCACTCGCAGTGGAGTCAGGATCTTCGCCAATCCGGTGCGCTCCAAAGGTGGAGGAACGCTTCTCCGGTACAACGCGAGGCGAAGCTCGTGACTCGTCCTCTCTCTCTCGCACCTGCATGTCTCTCTATGCTTCCATCTCCCTTCTTCCGATTCCGCGTCCGTGCCCTCTTCTCGCTCGTCCTCTCCCCCCGTATGGGGATTCTCTTTCTGAATTTCTATTATACCTCATCGGATTTTATTTTTCTGACCTTCATGCGAGTTCCTTTTCTGGTCAAAGGGAATTCCTGACTAGCTTTTTAGCACGTGAGGTTGGCGACGAAATTAGATACTGCATTTTTTCCAGAATTAGAAAATCGACGTATTTTATGATGCCGTAAAAAGGTACCATTCAATTCTCTCAGATGAAAAGACTTTTCGTTCTATGTTTACGTTCCAGGTAAACAATGTTACAATGCCGACAATGCCGCAGGAGGAGAAGAGTCACGACTTCAGAAATGTTCCTTGACGGTTCTTTTAGATTTCGGTAGGTCTAATACGCGACTATTATCGCAGTTATCACGTTGAATACGAAGACAAATGGTGTGTTAAACTATTGCGAGTTTAGCGCTAAAATGTTAATTGGGAAAAAATCCAATAAATGTTTTTCCAATTAATCATTCATCTCTCGGCATTCGTACCCCTTTCGTCCTTCTTAGTTTATTCCTGCCTCTCTTCTCATTCCCCCCCTCATACCTGTCTCTATCTACCCTCCTTCCGATACTTATACCCCCCGTGCTCCCCCTCTAATCCTCTCGTTTTTTCCCTTTTCTCCCTCGCGCTCAGTACCCGTCTCCTTCCAGTAGTGTCTTCTCTGTCATTCCTTAGGCGTGGCCGATCTGCTTTCCTTTTCCCTCTCGCTGGTAACGTTCGACCCTTTCTACCCGTCTCCTCCCTCCTGTTCCTTGCGTTTGTCTCAGCGCATCGCCTGCCCCCGCCATCTTGTCTGTCCTTTTTCATCCTTCTTTCCATCCCACCCCTCGGGCCGCTGTCTCTTATCCCCACTCCTCGCCAAGCTCCCTTCGCCGCGCGTCCTCCCTCTCTCTCTTACTCGCAGCCGGGGCCCTCTTCCCCTCTCTCTCGCGCGCTCCCTCGCGGATTCTCGCGCTCCTGAGAGCCGGCGAGGACCCGCCGAGTTCAGTCTCGAGTCTCGCGCCGAACCGCGTCGATCGCAACGGAAGCCCGCGTCGAATCGGCCGCTCGGACGATTCAACGACCCGGACAGGTGTAGTGTGTAGTGCCGGGCCGCAGCGACGGAATCGCAACGGAAATCGCGACCGGGATCCGCGATGCCGCGCTCCGGTCTAGACGCGGCACCCTCGGAGTCGCCGAACCTTGACGGACGTGCCCACGCCGCGGCCGACTAGGAATGTCGAGAAACCGAACTCCTCCGTACGATGCGACCGAAACGACAATTATTTCGAGAAATCGCGAACGCGACAGAGGGCCAGTGTTGACGGAAGATTGACCGGAGGCATTCTACAAGGAACCTGTGTAAAGTCGAATTTCAATAATTGGACGCGTAGAAAATTTCAATCGAGGTTAGAGAAGACGGAGGAATTCCAGGCAAGGGTGGATTTAAACGCCGAGGAGGGCTCAGGGTCGCGAGATGTCGTTGGGCAGGATTAGCGGTGGTATTTTAATCTAACTCGAGGGAATCTCATCGAAATTTCGAGACGCGGGGGAAGGGCCGCCATTTTGTAAAGAAAATTCGCGGGATGACGTCACGGACCCAGAGGACCGCGGGGTGCGTCGCGGCCAAGGAGATTTTCGCGGGCGGGTTTCGACGCGCGCGCCGCCATTTACCGCATGCCGGTAGATCGGCGAATTAACGGCCGCTTTCCGTTGGAGCGGCGGTTTACGAGTGCCGGTATTCGGACCCGCGATTACAATACGGTGGTTATCGTCGCTGAAGTACGGAGGGTGAGATTGCTCACGCGGGGAGAAGCCACTTGTTGCTTCCCTTGGTTCGAGGGGATTATTTCCTCCCTCTACCTGTTGCGTCCGCTAATCCGTGCAACCAATTCATCTGGCCAGCTTGAGGAGTGAACACCGACAAGTGAAGTGGGATTTCTTCACGTTGGATCAGCTCGGAGCCATCTTTTTACGGCCTTCGGGAAAGAGCGAGCTTCAGGTGAGTGTCAACTGGACCACCGGCGCCATCTTGAACAGAGTCGTTAAAAGGATGAAATTTTTGGAAATATCTCATTTCTGAAATTTAACGATACTGTCGAAATATTCTGTCAACCGTTTTGCCTGGAACCGCTGGAAGTGAAAGTTGAAAAGAAGACTTTTTCGATACTTCTCATAATTTATTTCCAAATCTTTCCCCCCTTTTAATCGCTTATACACGTAACCGACATTGAAAGTCGATTTCGAAATGGAGTCCTGATTTACCGGGTGTGTCCATACATCTTAGAAAATTGCCCGAATAATATACACATCAGGTTCTCTTCCCTAATTGTTAAAGCGAGTTAAGTCAATTTATGACCAATCGGTCTCACCTAAGGCGATTAAATTATTCCGGTCCCTAAGTCACGTGACTTTCCACGTCGATTTCAAAGATGAGCCGCGACGCATCCTCCGTGTTTACACAGCCGAAGGCTGCATCTCCTTAGCGTCGCGTGAATGGAAAAGCGGGGTCGATTCACGGCCTATGTCGAAATAGTCGAAGACTGACGGGGAAAGAAAAAGAGATAGGGCTGATTACATGTAGTTTAAAGGACCCACGTGGGACGTAACGGCTCGTTGACACACGGCTAGACGTTGGTGATGCGAGCGAAACCGATGGGCATGGGCTTAATAACGGCGTTATGCAACGAGAACGGGCCCAAGGTTCCATTTGCCGCGACGTGGGGGCGCGTGCGCGGTAGCGGCGCGCGTGGGCGGATCTTCGCCAAATATGTCCGGCGCCAAGGATGTCCGGGAGTGTCACCTCGCGGGTTTGCACGGCTCTGTCTGGGCTCTGGGTTTACGAAATCCCGATCGGAGGATATGGTGACGTAGCGGGGGAGGGAGGGAAGGCTTCGAGATCGCGCGGACTCGTTTAACTCGGCTTTTAAGGAGCGCTTTTACGGATCGGATATCTCGCTGGTAAGGGCGGCCGCTCCGGAGAGGATTGCCTCGGGAGGAAGGCCGCTTTCTCGAAGACCGATCTCGGATTTGCATCCAGTCGCGAGCGTGACCTTGGATCGGTTTGCGGCGCGTCAGGTACCGCGATTGCGTACGAAGTCGAGGCGAGATTGTCCAGGTGAAAAAGTTCCCGCATGAGCCTCTCTGGCTCGCCCTGGGGTTAATCAAACTCGGAATGGGATGTGCTAAGAGAGACGGGGATGGAGGGATTATCTCGTAATCGTGACGACGCTTTTAACGCCACCTTTATAACGGACGGTTTCGTTAATCGGTTATCTACGATAATGCCGGATTACTGACGCGAGATGCCCTGATGCGCCGGATCGGAAACGACGTGCTTGGCCAACTCGGAGTTTGACTTTCGAACGTTTGCGGTTTCGTTAATCAAGGGATCGTTCTTACGAGTTAATGAGGCTACGAAGTGCAGAGGACACGAAGGGGTACGAACGCGTTTCGCGACTCCACCTGGTGACTTTGGACGACCGTAGACTGGCCTCGGGATAATAAATCTCAAATCTGAATGCAGAGGGACTGAAGGGGCGAGGGAGAGATTCGTTAATGCGTGATTACACTCTTTTAAAGGCAACTTTATGGTTCACAACTCGATGAATCAGTTCCGTCGTAATGGCGGACGTCTGATGTAAGACGCCGTGATGCAATCGGCGGGAATGGGCCACCTTTTCGAAATGAAACGATGGATTTGCATACAATCATATTTGTTACTTGGAGATTTCGTAGCGCGCGTGACGTCACGAATTTCGGGGAGTAAATGATTTTCGGGATTTTAGTCCGATCTTATGAGAGGCCGGAATGCGTCATCTCGCGTCACGTCATATGTCTCGTAGATCGATCCTCGGAGATGCCGAGTAAGAGCGAGTTTTTTAATGACGGACACTTTCTCGACGTACGAAAGTAAAGACTCTCCTTATGAGGAGGTTACGCACGATTTACGGAGTGAGCACTCTTTCTCTCTCTTTTCTGTTCTCCTGGACTGCCAAGTACCTGAAATTGCGATTTATGGCGGATTTTTTTCCAACCCGCGCAACCGCTCCAAATTATTTCTCCACAGTTTTACGGGTAAATCCGAGTTCGGAGCGAAAAGGAAAAACACGTGGAGGTTATCTTGAAACCATCCTGGAAATATTAATAAATCTTAATTTTGTATGGAATTAAATTCCCTTTGATTAATTTCCCCCTCTGGGTAGGCGTTTAAAAATCGACGGAAAATGTCCCGACGATTTTGCGGATTTTATTTTCACTCGTTATTCGTAATATCATTGTTGGATAATTTATTGGATTGTCTTAAGCGCTTTCCGAGAAATCGATCTCGCCTTCTGCGCTCGGGAGAAGTGATTTCAATGCCGGACACTTTCCAGTACGAGCATTGGAGGTACCTCCTGTAACGAGGTTATGTACTTTCGCGTTACGTTACCCGCTGGAACGCTTTTCTTTTCACCAATCGCGGGTTGCGAGAAGAATTCCTTGGGAAATGAGTGCAGATGAGAAAAAAAAAAGGAAACACGAGACGACACGCGAACGAAGTCCTTCCTTCGGTTTCGGCGGCGCAAATGTTATAAGATAATGTTATATTTAATTATCGACACCTTCCGATCTTTCAAGCCGCTTCAATGTCTGTTTTACAAAATAAAAGCCTAGCTTATTCACTTCGAAGGGGGACCTTGAATTCATTTCACGCGTCGTGGAACTTATTTCGGACATATCGCGCCCTCATGTGAGACGTACCTGGTGGAACACCTGTTTCCGTTACCGAAAAAGACCCCTAGGGTCCCGTCATTGTTCCATAATTATGGGAACGCGTTTTGGGCAGAATATGATGACAAAGAGAGAAATCACGAATGCACGGCCGGCGATTAAACTTGCGAATTAGTCGGAAATTAATTCCACCGTCAGCTGGTGGTGATCGATTCGCATTGATAGTCGATCCATTATCAACCGATCAGGAATCGCACACCTTGGAGTTGTTGAACCTCGATACATTATTCAGAGACGCATTGTAATTATAATAGCATCTCTGCGAACACTTGCAATCATCCCGCTACGTGATTTTATTGTCAAAGGAGTTCAAGCTTGGAGATGTTTTGTTGGCCTATTCAGGACACGAGCGACTCCAAAAGAAAAAAAAAATAAAAGATGAAAATATTTTGCCCCTTCTCTCGGAATGTTGGTCCTTCTTGACACGTACAAAGCATTGTTGGAGCCGACGAAACCAGTTCCATTGCCAGAGAACCAGATTTTTAGGACTTTCTTAACATGGGACCCTCTTCCACTCATTTCGGGGCCTGAAAAAAAATCCTAATCTAGCTCGAGATTTACTTAACATCCAATTTACTAAGTTCATGGATTTTTTTTTACCGATTTACAATTAATTAGCGCGGCCCTTGTCGGATAAGTGTGGGCTAGAAAATGCATATTCCATGTTAATAAGAAAAGTGTAGGTTAATGGAAACTGGTCGAGGTTCTGTCCGCCTTTTTCTTCGGCCATGATCCGTCCAGGTGATGATCTCATTGGAAGATGGCCTTCCTGGAGATGTTTATTCCTTCGCTCGAATTTATGATGCTAAGCTTACTAATTCCTGGAGAACGAAAACCGTATCTCATCTCCAGGGGGGCAACACTTTGAAATAGATGAAGTAGAGAACTCTAAGATGGAATCGCTTACTACTGCCTCTTACGAGAAATTTTTTTATCGATATATTTCATGTAAGAAAAAATGAAATAAAAAGAATCGTTAGGGTGACAAGTCCGAGAATGATGATCTCACCGTGAAATCATCTTCCGAGACGTCCATTATTATTCTTAGAAGATGTGCGGCTGTAATGTCAAATAAATCATCCTCGTCACCGTGGACGTCTATTCCTGCACGCGGAAGTGTTTGCCGATTGTTTTATAAATTGTCGGTAAATACGAACCGAGAGATCCGTGCATCGTTTTAGGAGCGTCGCGCAATTTTTCCTGGAGCGGCACGAAATTTTTCTTGGAGCAACACGAAATTTTTCTTGGAGCAACACGAAATTTCTCCTGAAGCGACTCGAGATTTGTCGACCAACTCGGGCGCGAAATATTGAAAAGCGAAAGAGGCTGGGCCGCGCGTCGCGATCGGTCCACCACCGGTGGCGCCAAGGTCGGCCCGGTCTTCGAAAAAGTGAACGTGTTTCTTCGGCTCCGTCTCTTTCTCGGGAAAGAGGGAGAGGGAGAGACGCATTACTTTCTCGTCGCTTTACTATCCCACTTGAAAACATATCGGCGCGCCGGAAGCGGAGATTAAGCCCTCCTCCCCCCCATCACCGATCCGGAGAGATATACACCTCTCGCGGGAGAGGCTGCGAAATGTGCGTGCACGCGAAAGCCGTTTCTAAGCCCTTTTGAAATTGCCGCTTTATGTCTCTTTATGCTATTTCACGGGTGTACGGATTCTCCTTGTTTCCAAAGAAACACTCAAAAAGCGCCCCCGTTAGCCTCGGGGTACCTCGCGGCGTACTTCTAATTTCGTAACTTTGAATTTCCCGCCGATTGCGCGAAACTACGACGCGTGACTCGAGCTCTCACCCGGTGGCTCTCCGTGACGCGCGGAAAGATCCTCCGTCCCGATATGCGGATGAAAATCTCATTGTTTTACTTAGGAATGTCGTGGGAGCGCTCCTTTGAATTTCCCGCCCGGCGTGGGGCGGCGAATCGGACGGCGGGATTCTAGAATCTCGGGAATATCTCGTTACGCCGTCGATACGAATCTTATGAAAATGGACGACACTCTTTATCTCTACGGTGCGGATATTTAAATCCGACGGCGTAATCTCTTGCCGCGTTTTCGAGGCGGATTGTATGTCGAAGAGGTTCGACTCAGTTATTAATGAGACTTTCTCTTTTATTTTAGCCATGGACTGGCGGGCAGCTGCGCTCGTGATTCTTCTGGTGAGTAAACGAGAATCCTCTGTGTCAATTTTGTAATCTATGCCGGTCTCGCGGTGGCGCCGCCGAGCCACCCCCGACCTCGACGAGCGACCTCCGCCGCCGTTTACCGGCCTTGCGGTCGGAGAAATGGACGGGCGTTGTTTCTTCTGCTCGTAAAAAGGAGCCCCCCCTCGCCTTTAAACCCGGTAAACGGCCGTCATTCTCCCGCGACTCTCTGTTATTAAATTCCGCTTACAAGCCCGCCCGAAATTTTCGGCCATCTTGGGAGCCCCTTTCACGCGTCCTCGCGAAAGAGAACTCGCTCGGATCAAAAACGAGATATTCACGTTGAAAGTGAAACGCAATGAAACTTCTCCGTTTTTCACTCGTCGCACAATTTTACTGGAGAACGCTGAATCGTGACGGATGGGATTTTTTTTTTTTTTCCATTTATTCGGGATCGTTGATTAACGAGGACGCGCAAGAGGGATACCAAAATGGAGGACGCGTTGCCATGTGACGTCACGAGGGTAGTTATGGCAACGCTTCGGCGTTACCTTCGAGCTTACTCGGGGTTTTATATGGTCTCGTAAATCTTGATCTAAATGTATAGACCGTCCCTTCATGACAGAAATGGTCGAAATGAAGACTTCATTAAACGTTAGGCCGCATTGTTCGGGATTCGAGTCGCGTCGCGTGCCGTAAGTGAGGTTATGTCGCGTGCCGTAAGTGAGGTTACGCGGCGAATGTCGACTCGTCCATTCCGTTCTCGGTTGGCGGTCCGAGGTGGAGTTGCTCGGCGACTTTCGAAAAAAAAATAAAAAAAAGGAAGAAACATAGGAAAGCAAAGACAAAAAAAAATGAGTCACCCACCACGTGGCGAAAGAGAGGTTATGTCGTCCCGGGCCACCAGGAGAAGCCAGGATCGCGGTTAACAAGCGCCACTTACGATGCGACTTTTTTTTTTTTCTCCTCCCTATTAACCTCTTCGAGGTGATCACTATCATTTGCACTGATAGCGCAAGTTTTGAGGTACTTTTTTTCTCTCTCCGAACTATCTATTTTTACATCGTTTCATCGTCTACTTGCGTGACACTTGGCTATCGCAGCTGCGTGTCGATCAGCTGTTCTTCTTATCGCCGCTATATTGCCTCATTGGTCCCGCGGAGGATTTAAAAGCATTAGACGTGTCTTTCGTTCTAACGAGCCTCGAAACTACCTACAGCCGGTTTTTCCTTGACTCTCATTAACGCAGGGCCGAATAGTAATTACCATACATAAATATATCGTCAAGTCTTCCGGGGTATAATTCATTCTACCGATTTAAACGAAAGAAAATGAAAAAAATCCTCGTAACCGAGGATCGATCAGCTGATCGTTCTCGCCGCCATATTGCCTCGCCGACTCGCGCCGGTGGATTTAACAGCATTAGGTTTTCTGGCTTAATGATGAGGCATAAAACGACTTCTCCGAGCTGGTTTTTGTCCAATTTCCAGTTAACGAAGAGCCGGCGATTAATAACTACCTTGTCCATTAACGGATCGTCACGTTGCGTTGTCGATTTATCGGGTTCCCTTTGAAAAATCAACCTCGACCCTCGCAACCGATATCCTCCTTTACGTCGCCATTTTGTCTCGATGAATAATTCACTTTTCATCCATATTTTAACTATATACCCGCAATAACCCGTGGCTACGTATTGAGGCATACTTTTATCATTGTCCTGCCGGTTTATTTCTACATATAATTTACGGGGATTACTCGAGTTGCGTGCCGATCCGTTGATTACTCTTCTCGAGATCATCTGTTGCATCGTCGATTGGTGGCAATAAACATGCGTGTAAACACACCCTCAGGTATTCTCGCGGTAATTGAGACCTCTCTAGGTGCGTGCCTTCATTCTATGTCGTGTAATAATAAGAATCGCCGTTGCATTCAGTAGCCCTTTGTTTTTGCTGGCCCTTCTTCGGATAGGTTAACTTCTCTTCCTTGACGTCTTTCCGTTTCGTGTGCGGTCGGGATCTCGGGCTGCGTGTCGGCATTTCAGGCCTGCGTCTCTTTGCCGCCATCTTGGATCCTCCACGTAAAAATGTCTCGAGGGATTATCCGAGGAGACTGAGATCATTTCTCGGAGCAAGCTTTTGCGGAACCATGACTAATAATTGTTATTACTTGCACTCCGAGTTATAACGAAGTCTCCCTCGGGATGATTAATTCTTTTACGCGCTTTGGAAGGTCTCTTTTCAAATTGCCCGTCCACCACGGGGGAGAAATTCCCACGGACTTCATTTACCATTAATCGCTTTCGGTACGAAAGTCGGGGTTCTTGTTAAACGACTGGTTGCCGTTGTCCTCGAGGTGTCCCAGTTTGTGCAGAATAATTCCTCCGGGCGTCTCGAGGAGTCACTTTCGAATCCGTCGATTTCTGTCCTTGCCGCCATTTTGTTGCGCCGCCGGGGCTGCCGAATGTGGATACGTAAAAATCTGCAAAAATCGCAAATTAACCGAGAAAACGCGCGTTTACATCGCGGACGAGAGTTAACCTGATTAATCGCGAGGATTCGATATCGGGGCATTTTCTCATTGTCGCTCCTCGTCATTATTCCGAGGGGCTATTCACTCGGACATCAGTGGGAACAATTTCCTTCTTTGATGACCGATTGCCATTGATTTCGTATTATGGCGAAGAACAATGTGGTTCGGTAACAAGGGACGGTCGATCTGAAAATTGCGAGAACGCGTCGATGATTTCCAACGGTTTCCACTGATCTCCACTGATTTTCAGGCGTTAATGTCGACGATTTCCTGAGTTAATGACCCCTCGCCGTTCTCTTTTAACGCGGATTCCTTATCGCCATGTTTTCTCGGCTACTTGCACGTATTATTTTGCGAGGGCGTGTACGTACTCCCATGAGTGTTAATCACTTTAGGGGGACGTTTTTATCGGACCGGGGCTAATGATAGGGATTGCGGGCATTTAGAAGCCATTCTTGAGATCCCTTTTGCGAAGGTTTAATTCCTTTTGCGTGATAGTCATTGAAGTTGCGTGTCGGTCCAGCCTTCGCTCCTTCTCTCGCCGTCATATTGCTTCACCGACTCACGCGAACTATTACCGAGCCGCGGAAAATGTTTAATGAGATTTCCAAATCAATTGAAATTACACCTTCGATGGAATATATTTAAACGGCCGATTAATAATTATCGGCAGCACTCGAATCCTAGCGCGAAATGTCGACTTCTGCCCTTTTGCGACCAACTGGAAAAAATCCCGCAAGTATTCGATCGAACTGTCGAATTATTTCCTTTCAATTATTAATTGCAAAATACTCTGGAAACACCGTCAAAAGTCATACCAGGTGAAAGTCTAAAGATGGTCTTCGGAATGGCTGAGAAGTTCAGGGTCATTTTTTGTGATACACATTTATCGCACTTTGTGGGAAGAGAGCCATTCGCAGTCTAATTAGCATGCGGCGGGACTGCTTTCTAAAATCCATTTTTGCGGTGATTAATCGCGCCGTCGTTTTATCGATTCATACGATAATATGAGGTTTCTCTTAAAACGGGCCGTTGAATTGTGGATTTCTTCCCTCGCGATCATAATTCGATACTCGATACTAATATTAATTAACGGATGATAAATACGAGTTTTCTAGTAATTCACATCCGTGCTCGGGGAACGCGTTTTTAAAGATTTATTTTGTAACAATTATTGCCTTCGTCGATTCTTGACAATTGTTGCCATTCGGTTAGCGTAACGTCGAGGAGCTTTTCCCTTTTTTTTTTCTTCTGTTTGTAGAGATCGACTTTTTAGCGGGTATTTCCTATCGTTGCAAGAAGTTTCTCTTAAAACCGGCCCTCGGATCAGCTGATTCCTTCTCTCGCCGAAATATTGCTTAACCGCCTCGCGCCGATGAGTATGCAAACACGAAGATACTCGGGCAGGATTCCCAAATAGATAAACGCCTCCTCTTGGCGAATATTTTTATCGGGACTGACAATGATAATCCCTCGTCGTTCCCCACTTCGTTTTTCTTATCGGGAGAGTGGCTAAACAATTAGTATAATAATTTCTTTTAATTCGTAACTCGTAAGTCACTTCGCTTTCGAAGCGCGGCGCGCGCCACCTAGGGAGATGACAAAACCGTCGGCGAAGTCGTGGCCACGCCCACTTTTACTTTGTACTCTTTATATATATATATATATACATGTATATATCGGCGGGATCTGCAGCCACCTTCGGAGCGCTTGGCGGTGATCTCGCGCGCATGCGCCCGTCCGCGGTTCCAGCGGCTGCGCACCACTCGGCACGCGTTCACGCGCATTTGCCGCCCCGGTAGAACCGGAAACTAGTTATCGAACGAATCGACCGCTCGACGATCTGACTACCTCGACGCGGAATTTCCGGAGACAAGTTGCCGACACTTAGATCCCCCTAATAAATTCCCTAGGGAAATTCACCGGGAGAGCGCGAAACGGCGACTCGGTTTCACTTGGATTTTACATAATTCTCGAATATATGCATGTATACTATGAATATCTCCGGCAAAAATGAAAGGCAGAAATTTTACACCGAATATTCACAGCTGGTCAGAATTATATGTCGAACGTCACGCGATAAACTTCGATCCGAAACGATCGATCGAGCGATCGGTTTTACCTTTTAGGAATCTACCGGCGGCGTTATTACTCACGGGGAAAAATAACATTGCATAAGAGTAGTTGGGTCAGTTTAGTCGGGGGGAGGGGGAAGTGCACAGTGCGGTTGGGAGATTACGCATGCGGATGAAGTGCGGCAAAAGGCGGCCGTCCAAGGCTGCCAACCCACGCCGTTAGAGAGACAGATCCGCGATCGTGTAATACCAACCCAATCACGTCTCAATCGGCCCCTGATCGCGTCCATCCCGATAATTTCGCGATCACTCGCCGCGGACCAATTTGCAATTAAATGGCGAACGGTGACGTCGCATTGGCCGCGAATCTCGAATGACAAATGACGGAATCGACGCGGTCGTGGCGCTGATCGAAACCGACATTGCTCGTCCCGTCGATTATTAATTTAATTAATTGCCGGATAACGAACGATCTATTCCCTGCCCTCGGCCTGGCTGTCTCTTATTATTGTCGCTTCTCATAGACCTTATGATTATTTTATCTTCTTCCTCTAAGTGGAAGGATTTTATGTATTCACCGAGTGAGCTTTGTGGGATGTGAAAAAAATCACTTTAATTTTTTATTCGTTGCTGCATTTTTAATTGGGCTTTAATGGAGGAGGATGGATGTCTTAAACGGAGAGGCGAGTGAGGCACGAACGACGAGGTTCGATTAGATCGCCGTCACGTACGGGTTCGATCGACTTTAAGGGGGAGATATCTCGTGTTTCTGTAATTCCCGGGCAATCTTCTGTCGGGAAGCATTTATTTTTAATCGATAACCGTGTAAATGCGCTTATACGATTTAATCGCACGATTTAAGGTTTATTAGTTAATTCATCTCGTTAATTTCTGGGCTAAGTAGTTGTCTCCGCCGATTACCGGAATTTCATCCTAACAAGAAACGTAGGAAGAAAGTGCCCGACTTTTCTTATCCAGAAGTCGTTTTCCTCCGTTTGCCCAGCGATAAAGTCCTTGTCAAGTCTTAACGTGTAAAAACATTACATGCATTTAAGAGGGCTGAAAGTAGTAATTTCATGTCGCAAAAAGGGACAAACCTTGGTTTTATTTGGAGGGACTTAATTGATAGCAGTGGTACCTTGCAATTGGGTACCGAGAGGTTGTCATCTCGTTAGCCAGTTAACGAGGAAAAAGTGTCCTAGGGGAAAATTCATTACCTTCGTTTTTTATTTAAATACACCCCTTTCCTTTTTATTTGTACGAACGTAGCTGACAATGGTACCTAGCAATGAGCTCCCTGATTAGCTGTATCCTGGACGAGTCAGTTAGTATGTATAAAGTGTTCTAGGGGAGAATTCAGTTCCTTCGATACCCGCGTGTCGCTGCAATAGCGAACACGCCCACGTGGTCGTGACCGGCTCGCTCGAGCCGAGCGGAATAAGAAATGTGAACGCGCCTTGATCGAATCCGATGACGTCACAGTCCTTAAAGAAATCACTATTCCGAGACTTGCAAAAATAGGCTTCGCGTTTCCGCATTCGACTACGGTCTATGAATTGGTAAGAAAAAAAAAATTATGAAAGTGTAAAAGCGAGTTCGGCACTCTTGACTTCAGGATTCCACGTGATCGTTCGCCCACGTTTTAGTCACTCACATGTAGGTACTTTAAGAAAAATCACTGCAAAAATGATTTCACGGCGAACATTATGAACCCTGTAGAAACGCCCCATCTCCGGCTGCATTCTTACACGAATTTTCCTGCAATTGTTTCAGATCACAATGGCGAGGCACGGCACTGCACGAGGGGCGCAGATACCTTCTTTACCGACGTGTGAGTACCGACGCTTTCTAATTATTCGTGCCGGCCGATGGGCCGTAATTTCCCCGCTAATCATCCGCACGTATCAATTTCGCGGATAAATGTTTACCCGGGACGATGATCAAAAGGAACGATACTTCCGAGATAACGTTGAATCTATTAGCCTTTTAGTAGATATATATTCAGGACTTTTTGCACCTTAATTCTGGAGATTTCAACTTGTACATCTAACAGGATGTATTCGCTTATTAAGATGCTCCTTTTATGGGCATGGGTTAAAGGGTTAATGGCCAGGATTGACGAGGCTGCAGGATTCGCAGACGCGAGGTGACCTTCCTTGAAGGATATTGCCGAGGTAGAAGGTGAACGTGGCGTATCGGGGATGCCAGGGTCGCCATATTGAAAAGCAGTCGGGACTGTAAATTTTAATTTTTACCGTCCCAATGAGATCGACCTCGTTAAATCGCAACATATTAGGAACATTGTAATACGTCGATTTGAAATTGTACAGTCTCGGTATTAACACTATCCTCCCCTGATCGCGTCTAAATCGTATATAAATTGATCGGTCTTCTTCGATATCCTCTCGAGGGCGGAATAAAGGACTCGAGGACTTCCGATTGACGAGGATTCGCAGACGCGCAATGACCTTCCGCGAAAGACATTGCCGTGGCAGAAGGTGAACGCAGTCGTGCGGCCTAGATTCTCATGTAGGGAGAGAAAAGAAGGAGAAAGATCGGAAAGGCGCGCGAAGTCGCCGAAGGCGAGGGAGGAGGCGGCGCGAGGGAGACGGAGCGAGGCCGGCCGCCGTTGGGCCGAGAGAGACGCGAATACCTCTTGTCGCCGGGCCGCGGAGCACCATCGAATCGAAAGTGGTCGCCGCCATATTGCGCTTTCTGCTCGGCCCGGCGTGCGTTTATTGTCTCGCGAGAGGAATTTCACCGGATCCACGTTACGGCCCGTCTCGCGCGAGAGACGTCGAGAAGGATAGATCTTTTCCCGGTACTTTAACCAGAAAGAATGTTAATCGTTCACGTTCCGTCGCCGCCATTATGCCCTTGCCCTTTCCCCGGGATTTCGTCACTTCCGTTCGGCGATATCATCTTTCTTAAATTCACATTCCTCGCGGAGTATGAAATTTAAATGGGGCGCCCACTCTTCGCCTTCTTGGAAATCGGCGTGTCTAAAAAGTCGAGGTAGCCTTAGCAGTTTTATACGTGGGCGAAGCCTGACTCATTTTAGATTCCAACTAATGCGAATCAATGATTGGCAGCTTTTTATTACGCCAAAGTGGCCTCTCTCCCGGATCTCGTTAATGCAAAATTTCGAGTAGGTGATCTCACCGAATACATGTCGTCACCTTCGATTTCCAAGAGGACCGCGCGAGAGGAGGCCGATAAAAACCGCCTCTCCGATCTTTTTTTACCGTGAATTATCATTAATTCATATTTTTGGCACGACAGCTTTGTTCACGTAATATAATATAAATATTCATGCGTCACCGAGCCTTCTGCGTCACGAGTAACACTAATCGTTGTTGCAATTTTGCGCGGTTTGTCTCGTTATTTTACGCAAAGCGGGACGTGAGCTTGACTTTCTCAGGGATGGAAAAAATGAAGATGTCGCGTGCTGAGCGGGTAAGAAAAAAAAAAAAAACAAAAAACAAACACGTGGAAACTCGCTGTCACTGGCGACTTCTTGCGGTCTCTCTTTTTAGGTTAGTCACGTGACACCACCGCCGCAAGACGTCGGCCGTATAAACTGTCGCTCTCGGCGGGAGAAACGCTCCGTGGAAAGTGTTTTTCACGTGTGAACGCCCGCTCTCTCGATCGTGCGTGCACTGTGCCTAATTAATCGGCGAGCGGGTTATTAAGTTCATTAGGGGGAATGAAATTTGAAATTTTCCCGCGTGCCGACTCTCGGCGCCGTTCAAGGGAGACGCCGTGCGTGGCGTTCATTTTTACGCGCGTGGTGCACGCACGACGCAGCCTCGAAACCGCGATCATTGCTTGCGCGTCTTTATCGAGATTTTTATAAGAATTGTTAATCATAAATGAATTTAACATTCGGTACCTGGGGTACAACGCGGCGTAAAGATGGCGTATTTCTTAGGGCGGTGTTAACGCGAATCATTGAATCATCTTACGCGCGTCATTGATTGGTCATTCGCAATACTTGACAAAGCATTATTGGGCAATCGCGTTTCCGAAGGCCGAGGTATTGGAAATCTGCCCGATCAAATTCGGTGGTTTCTATTCAAACCAACGCGCGTTTTATTGGGCAATTCGTCACTTGCAATGACCGATCAACGATGCAATCCCCGTCCTAGATTTATCGATTAAATGATCTGGATCGATCGAAGAAGAACATTGCGGACGAATTACGGCATTATTAAATCTTCCCATATTTTTTTTTTTTATATATAGATATATCTTCGTTTCGATTATTCGGAGCGATTTCGCGGTATTATCGAGATAATAGACGTAATCAGGACTTTACGATCGGGTGTTCTCTAAATGTAGGGTACACTGGAGAAGTATTAATTATTCGATTGCCGTTACGCGGATTACGGACCTTTCTCTTAGTGTAATTGTTACTCGTAAAACGAGGGGGTTTTTACTTTCACCGTTTCGCGGAGAAGCCCGTAATGTCGGCCACTGTACAGTCCGGTTACGCGCACGTGGTTTCCTTTCTAGGTCTACGTGTGCGCCGGCGCGTTGGCACCACCCGATACAAATGTTATAAATAAAGGAAATTGCGGTGCATGTTAAATATTCGCCGAAGAGATTCAAATCGTGAACGCGATCCATCGGTCCCAAATGAATTTCCTAATTTCATCGATCACCGTTTTAGGTGATCGTTGGATCTACAATGAGTTTCGCGTAAACCGCGGAATGATGATAACGCGTTGCTTCACTCAGCCGTTCCATTTCTTGGGTGGAAAAGAGAGAGAGAGAAAAAAAAAGAACGTTACATGTGCATCTGGTTCGTGCTTGAAATGCGAATGCGGTTCTTGCGTAGAAACAACCAGTCCGCCATAAGCGGTAACATTTTTCCTTCCAACCTGATGCCGCCCATTTACACATCCTATTTATAGGCGTAATTAATTCCCCCAGAATCCGAGAATCCCTGAAAAAGTCGCAGTATGAATTGAATCACCCTCCAATGATTAATTAGTATTTTAACGTCACATTTCACACGTAAGGGTTAATTGTTATTTCTGTATTAAATGTTTTTTGTTTTTTTTTTTGCCATCGCCTTTGTTCGCGATACATTTCCCGTAGAACGTAATAACGCGAACGGTATATCCGCAATTCAAGCAGAACGGAAAAGTAACGCTGTCGCAACTTCTCCTCGCCATGTTTCAGTTCCGACTCGAAGTGTTCATGTGCGTCGGTAACTTTCGTACTCGTACAAGATCTAAAGACGGCCTTCGAGTTGTAAAAATCGATACGTTCTCCCCACTCCGTATATTCAGATCCATCGATGACGCTTAATCTCTCTCTTGAGATCTCGGGTGAAAGAAGTGCAAACCCACCATGACGTCAATCCGCCAATTACGCGGATGTCTCCAGCGGGTCTAATTGAAAAGGGACACGCAATGTCCTATCTATCTCAATCCGTCCCGTCGTATTGCTTTATTCCCTTTTATAATCGGCAATCCTTCGGGGTACTCCACGAGGGAAAAAAAAAGAATAAAAAAAAATCGATCAGACACGAAGGGCGTAAAGGTGTCTCTAACGGAAACGACCAATCACATCCTGCGATTTCCAAGATGGCGTCCTCACGTGCCTCCCCCCAATAACTCTAATTGAAAACACGATCGCTGGATCCTTCGGTCGTGCGAATTTGTTAAGATGTAAATCTTGCCGTTAATCGAGGCCGCCAATTAAACGCAGCGTAGATTCCCGCGGTAAGTCGAACCAATCGATCAGCAATCGAATCCTTTAATTACCCCCGGCTCCCGGTCCGCCCTAATCAATTTGGTCCACGCACGAGCAGCGGCGAAATCCATTAACGCCGACCGCGGCGCTTCCTGGCGGTGATTGGTCGAGATCGCCTTGGGCCGACCAATCCCAGCGAGCTCGGCCTCTCTTCTATTTCTCTATTTTCTATGCCAGAAGAACAAATTACCTGCCAAGCGTCGCGATAGATGGCGCGACGATAGCCGATCGCTACGTCATCTTGACGCGCCTTCTCGGTGGGCGGAAGAGGCGATTTATTCTTTTGGAGCCGGACTAAGGGCGCGCCGGTACAGCGGAAAGTACCGATCACCCTCGTGCACCTTAAAATGGAATTTTTTCCATTCTTAAAAAATATCTCACCGAAAGAAATGCACCCTGTTTGAGGAAAAGTTTTCTAAACATTTTGACGTTTTGATATAGATATGATCCTTTCGTAACACCTTGATATTCGTAGCTTCTTTTCCTCGCTCATCTGGTCTCTCGTTTCCGACACACCGCGTGGAGAAATATAAATCATGAAGATGTCTTCCCCTCGCCGATACCTTGAGATTTTCAATCGACTAGGTTCGTAAACAGGAAATGAGGAAGCACGGGGGAAGATAGCTCGCAGTTAACGATCTCGCTAGATGATCACCGGCTGACGTCACGGTCCACTCGGCCGTCCTCCATTCTTGTTCCCTCCCCCTCTTGAGGATAGAATCTTCCTTTTGTCGCGAGTCGGATAAACCGAGGTGTCATCCGAGAAGATCGAGTCGCCGTGTGTCGGCGATGCGGATCGCGATCGTTCCTTGAGCTCGATTTTCAATCGATATGTGCCCGCTTCGATTACCGGCGACGTCTCTCAAGCCGGCCGCTCCAACGGAAATATCAAGATGGCCGCCGCGAGCCTGGAATTCCTTCATTAGAGGGGTCGACAATTATAATGTATATTACGCTTCATTTGGGATTTTCGATGATCCGCGGGGGAGATGGGAGGTCCTGAGACCATCCAGGGGAGGAAACAACGGAGGGCGAACGATCGGGAGGGAAAGGGGGAAAAAGAAGAGAGGGACTCGGGTTGCATAAAAAGGACGGCGGTAAGCCGCTCGCACATCGGCATCGGAGATCCCGTTTGCTTCGGGCTGCCGAACCGATAACGGGATCCCTCTCGTGCTCGGAACTCGAAGCCCGGTGTTGTTGAACCCCGAAGAGAGGAAATACCCGAACGAGAACGCCGAGATGGCCGACGCCTCGGAGAACGCCGTATTCCCTTCTGCCCTGGACATTGCGCGAAGGTCCTTGCACCCCGACTTAGCGAAACGAAGGTAACCTTCGAAGGGAAGGGAAAAAATATGAAACATCGCCCTTTGGCTGCTTCCAATTGTGTGCAGACATTAAAGGATTTTACTCGATGGCCCTTAAGGCGAGACATTTTTTTTTGCCGAGCACATGGCATTCTCTTTTTTTTTTTTTCGGAGATTCCAACGCGGTGTAAAACAAAACTGGTTCGAAACCAATACTTTCGTGATACCGTACAGAAGCCCATCGCGTTATCCGTGCCAAAGAGCGGTGTTTCTTTCATGGTGATCAATAGGTGTGAAATCATTCACGGGAGCCTGTTGAACTTTGTCCGATGAAGCGAGGAAGGGTACACCCTTCTCTGAGACTGTTAACGAAAGTGGCCGTCGTGGCTTTAGATTCTTAACCCACGATTAACTTCGATGTTAAATTTAACCCACGATTAAGTTGGATGTTAAATTTAACCCGCGATTAATTTGGATGTTAAATTTAACCCACGATTAACTTGGATGTTAAATTTAACCTACGGTTAGGTAATCAATGATTTAACCGGGGTTGGTGGAACCGGGCATTAGAGCCGTACGAAAAAAGGGAAGGAACGCCTCGATTGCGTAATGGAGACTCGCGGCAGCTCGCATAATCACCATCCGCGAGTTTAACGTTGCGGTAACTCAGGCGCGACCTGGAAGTTCGCGGCGCATACCAACTTGCCGGAACACCGTGTAACCAGTGTCCATTAACCGGGTAATGGATCCCCGAAGACCGCGCGAAGTCGGCCCTCGAGGAGCTCGCAGTTGGCCTTGGCCAGTCAAGTACAATGACATTCGGTGGGGTCTTCTTCCCTTCCCTTTCCCCGTCGTGGTTCCGGGATGAGCTCCTCGAGACCGACGCGAAGGGTCCAAGGATGGTTCTTCGAGGATTCAAACTCGGGATTGACTAGCTCGTGAAAGGTACGAGATAGAATTACTATAAATAAATTTTTGTAAAAAAATAACTTAAAGGTGTAGTCGTTTAATAAGTACAGGACAGAAGCGTAATTGTATTACGAGTAAGCTCCGCTCGGGGACGAGCATCCAATTTTGTTGATAATTCTTAAAAATCACCTCCGCTTGTTTGTCGATTTTTAGTAACAATTCTTACCGATTTTGGCCGTTAAATTAATAACTGTCATATCTGGCGTATGGGCACGTGGTTTTTGCTTACATATAGCATTGTCGGCCAGGTGATCGTTCCGTCAGGGGGGAACCGGTCTGCAGCGCACGAGGGCCGCGCAGTGAATGTTGGGTTTCGCCGCTAGGCGTCGCAGCGCTCCCGCAAGCGACCCGTCACTCGCTAGACATTAAGAGCACGCAGGGAGCGGGGGTCGGTATCGCTTCTCGGCTCATTGAGCTAAGATCAAATGTGTAGTATCTGTTCTTATCAGCTTAATTTCTGATACACCCCTCATGTAGGGGTCGGAAAATTGAACTGATTTTTGAACCATGGCTGGAGGTTAGGGGCTTGCCCCGCTTCGGCCGCGGTCGACCTGGCATTGCACTATCGCCAGGTTCGGCTTTTTATTTATTCAAACATAGAAATAAACAGCGATAAGCGGTATTGACTGGGGAACCCCTCAATAAAAAATACAAATTTCATTTTTTTGTCATCTCGCAAGGGATATTAACGCGCATTGTACTTTGAGGAATTGAAATTTCCAACTTTCAAGTTAAACGATACGAAGCAAGGATATGTAATATTTAATGGTGAGGGTCCGGGATGATAGTTGCGTAGCAATTAAGACCAGGGTAATTAATTATTCATAACGTCTCCCGCTTGCGCGAAAAGGACGCTCCATGGATGAACGACCCGGGATAAAAGTAATGGCGGTCGAAAAAAAATTAATTACCGGTATTCAAGGTCTTGATGGGGTCGTAGTCGCACAAAGCGTTCGAAGGAATCGGACGGATCTTCCAAGATGGCGGAAGATAGCGTCTCAAAGGTTATCATTTCTCAGGGGATTCTCGGACGTGACGACCTTGCCGTAATTAAGGCCAGTGAGATAATTAGGCCTCGGGAGTCGGATACGAGGGAAAAAAAAGTAACCAAAAGCCGGCATCCGGCATGAAAAATATGGCGACGCTCCCGGCGGACACGTGAACTACGGACAAGGTTCGCGGAGATAACGCGCGAGCGGAACAAAGAACGCCGAGTGGAAGTGAGCGCAGCGAAGCGTGATTGGCCAAGGCTGTTGGAACCACCCAGCCTGGAAAGCGGAACTCGCTTAACCAAACTTTGCACCTTCTATTTTTTTGACAACTCCGTAAACTCAGTTTCTACGGATGCCTCGAGGAGAAACTGCAGGAATTACCGCGTCCGCCATCTTGGAAGAAAAAAATGAAGCGCAGGGATAATCTCCGACGTGGGTCACATTGAAATAGAGCGAGCGCACCTTATCAATCGTCATAGTAATCCGGAGGAATACAACCGACGTGCTTACGGGTTTACGTTTAGACAAATTAACGACTCGAGGCTCTCATTACGTTAATTCGAGGCAAGGTTGGTTTATTACTCGGGTAAGCTTGCATGCATCGAGAGTACCGATGAAAACGACATCATAGGTCATGTTCTCCGCGAAAGTTATCTACCCGCGCGTCTTATGAATTTCATCGAGCGTTGTTTACGACTGGCGTACTCTCTTTCCTCGAAATAAGTGGGAGGAGTAACGTCCTAGGAGCGTTCATTGAAATTCCTGATATAATTATGGCGCAGATAACGGTTCCTGAGGCGCCTTACGGTAATCCCTCGCGTTACGTCGTTGCGTTCCAGCAACGGGCGTTGCGCCCATCCCTGGAACGGCAGGTGGCCCGTCGATCGTAAATCGTAGATCGCGGATCATAGATCACCCCAGGCCTATCCCTCGGGATCGCCGGCTCCTAACATCCGGGCTACAACCGCCCATTTGCCTAGGAACCGTAAGCCCCTGGGCGGCTTCCCACTGGACTTCGCTATAAATCCTTCATCTCAAGGATCGCCCGCAATTACGGATCTACGGGGACTTCGAGAATCTCTTCTTTTAACATCACGCTCCTTCCGCAGCATCTTTCCCTAGAAAATTCACCGTGGAACTAGGAATTTCGATTTAACGGATTTAACTGGATTCACGGGTGGGAAATCGTTACGATTTGTTAATACTTCGGTCCGCGCCGTTACGAACAATTCCTACGTTTCCCTTGCACAATTCCCTATCGTAGCTCGAAATATTTCAGACAATCGTAAAGACGGGGTGGTACTTATAACTGCGAGCTTTACGGTCGCGATGCCCCGCGTAACAGTTTCCCGACCGCTTCGGATAACCCGACTTACCGTTTCAACGTAACGTGCTATGAAAAAATACTTCGGACAAAAGTTGTGCAGAACATCGCGCGGGACAACTTTCGTAGAAGACGATTTTCCGTATCGTGCACCGTTAAGGCATAACTCTCGGGCAAAGAATGCGCCGTGAGCCTCCGTACGGGTTATTATCGATCGTAACTATAGATCCCGGTACGACCGTGGATCTCGACCATAACTCGCGATTGTGGGATCCTTCAAACTGCTCGATCATTTCTGCAAAACTTCGATGTAATCGTAAACTGTAGATCCTTTTTACTACGCGGTTTACTGCGATCTTATGTCAAAACGTAAACGTTGGATAACTGTACTCGGATACTGGCGAGATTCTGATACGACATATCCGATGTGAGATCTCGGTCGAGTTCGCCTCTCAAAACGTATTTGGCGCGAAACTCTACCGTTACTTAAGATACTATTTTTACCACCGTGGAAGATATTTTCCTTTCGCACGACCGTTCACCGTTTTCGTAGTAAATATTTTATAACGTTATTAAATAATACCGTTTAGTCTATCAGGGAAATTCAATCGATATCAGTTGATTGACGCGTGAAAAATTGTGATATACAAATGTACGATGATATTTTTTTTTTATTACATTTTTTTAAATTTAATCAATGAACGGTATTGCTGTTACCATCGAGAAGCAAAATTGTCGAAGAAGTTCGGTGTAGATCCTCGGATCCTAGATCTTAAAGGCAGCTTCTGAATCGTAGATCTTTGACCCCGTGCGACAAGTTAGGTTAGGTTGCTCGGCTCGTCGCGCACGTCCCGTTCATGCAAATAAGACCGTAAACACGTTGCTGTCGGTGCAAACGAGATTCCTACATCGTGGATTCTAGATCAACGATCCATTGTTCCTCCTTCGGCTAAATTTCTTTCAGAAATCCCGAAACTTGTATCAAAACCTTCACTTTTCAATGGTCCGAATTTATTTCTCAAGCTCGCGATAGCGTGTCCTAAAAGACACGTACACTTTCCCCCGACCGAACGCTGGCAAATGAGACATTCGAAGGGGTAATTACGAGGCACGTGAAAGTATCTTAAAACGCACTAAAAAGCGTACTCTCTAGGAGGTACCGTAGTATAATTAATCTAAAGAAGTATATGCCAGGGGGTACTCTGTTATAATTGGTATATAAAATTATCCACTCGAGCATGCATCGGGGTGTTCGCTTGAAATTCCATAAAGTACTTTCAAAATGGCCGCCGGTAATCTCGAATCCTCGTTAAGGGAAGGTTACCCCTTTTTTTCTTTTCGGCCATCCCAGAGCTTACGGCCACTTGGCCTTAGATATACGCGAACTGTTATTATCCTGGCAAACTATATACCTCGCCGTGGAAAATGACGAGAACTTCCTTAAGGAATACACGTTAAGCCCTAACGGAAACTAACTACCATTGGACCGGAAGTCCGGCCACTTGCCTCTCGTCGAGCGTGTCTACCTGCGCGCCGGACCTGCGCAGTCCTTCGCTCTGCCGGTCACGTGGGACCCGCGAAATTAGAATATTAAAGAAATTCAGATTTAAATTTAAAAACGTTTTGTCATCACGATAAGTAGTTGCCAATCATCGAGGCATCGAGTTATCGTAACGGTTGTATAGATACGATGGAAATAATCTTCGCCGCGGGATCTAACTTAACCCCTTTACGGTCGGAGAGGTGCTTCCAAAGTGCTTAGTAAGGCATAAAAAGTTGCCTCGTTTTTCTGCAAGTCCACTCTCTGAGAACCTATTATGCCTCTTCGTCGCCTCATCGCGAATGGGGGGAAAAAAGAAAAAAAATTTCACCCATGGTCGAGTCATCCATGATCGTCGAAGATCCACCCCGAAGAACGCGACGACGATCGTCCGTTATTCGTCGTAACCTTCCAACCCGCGATTAATGTGACCGGCGCTTCGACATCGTCCCATTCGTCATTTCATTCGATTCCCGTTATCTTCGCACATTTCCATCATGGCGGCGCCATAAACGTCCTTGTTATAACTGTCCTTTGTTGACCCTCTTGCGCGCCCGCGTTATCCCGGAGATTTTACGGGAATCTGAAGCCGAGCAGAGCTACCGGTCATCAACGCCGTCACCGGAGTAAAAAGTGAGGTTAGGAGTTACACCCGACTGTTACTCCGAGCGTAATTCGGAGCCGGATTTATCGACCGAGACGTTTCTTTCTAATGCACCGGCGGGCGCGTCCGAGATTCTATTTTCCCGGAAACTTCATTTTTCTTACTCTCAAGGTTAAATGCAATTCAACATTGAACGAGAGGTAAACGCCGTGCGTATGTATACGCATGATTTATTAGTTTCTCGTTGGGATCCTCCTGCAGCAGCATTTTGCGATCTTTCATTTTTCATTCTATATTACATTCTATAGTAGCCACGGAATGGTCATTAATGTGCGTTATGGCGAGCGCCGTTGAATCGTCATCTTTTTGTACCCTTGTTTCCACTCAACTTGTTAATCAATTTTCTTGTACATTGGGCGTTTAAAATTTCCTCTATGTGACGTCTTGAAATAAGTACCCCGGGGGCTATACGCGTCGGCGAGTCGAAGTGGATGAATCGCCGAGGAGGCAGGCAAGGCAGGAAGCGTCGTCCTTTGAAGACGACCAGTTACGTTCTCCTTTTATTATTCTAGCGGTGTTCCGCGAAGATGCCACGCCATGCCGTGTGCGTGGCGGGCGCATTAAAATCTCACGCACGGCGGCCACCGGCATCTTGCATAACTGCGCGTCTCCACTCTCGCCAAGGCAACCCATCCTGGACGTCCTATCTGATCGCCTGCGACTCGCCATTTTTTACCCAGTTTCCCGTTCCACTTCCTAGATGTCGCGTCTGCTCCCCCAGCTTCCCCGTTTCCGCCTGAGAGCCTTCGGGATACTCGAGTTACTCCCGATGGGTTTCGGAAGAAGCCGAGCCTCTGCCTCCACTCCGGAGGGCGTATTTCTCCTCGACTGGCGACAAAAACCCGGATTGCAGACCTCTCCTCTGGTATTCTCATTGATTCGGGGCTAAAGATGTATCCCCGATGTCGAAAGATATATATTTCAAGACTCAACCCTCGCCATGTAGAATGGCGGACGCGAATGCCTCCCCTGTAGAGGCGACATCGCCTGTGCAGGATGGGAGGGCATTGAAGTCTCCCAGTGTACGTCGAATCAGCTGGTAAAGGCGGTGTCGAAGTAGCGTCCGAGGGGTCGATCGTTTATCAAGTTTTTTTTCACAACTGGGGGTATCGAATCGTTTCAAACTTGACATCGCAATCTATCCTAGTAAATTTATTTAAGATAGTCGAGTTAATCTCTCGGGACGGAAACCCGAGGTTCTTGACACGAGGTCTCTAGCCACGTCTGCCGAGTTCTCGTGATTTTAATGACTCACTGAGCTCGACATGATTGTCACGTGGAACCCACCGACACTCGGAACTATAAAAATGGTAATCAGGTGTACAGTTAGCGGATGTAAAGGATATAAAACGAGACTCGCGGGGTTAAGGCATTGTTCAAGTGAACATGCCGCGGGCATGGTACGATATAAGGAGCTTTATCGGTGATTAAGTGATAAGCAAAATTTCGTTGGAATCGGTTTATTTATTACGCATTCGTGTATACGGGAGATTAACGTAAATCGAGATGGCAGGGATAAGATCCACCGGATGTAAGAAATTTCTAGGGAATACGGGATATATGTGTGTCGATTCTGACCACGACTCGGAGGGCGAACAAAGGAACGACGTCATCCGTGTAATTTGCAAACGACACGCAGGGTCCGCGGACTTCCGGTTGCTCGAAGTACTTGATTTCCGTTGGAGCCGTCCTCGCGCGTCTTTCAGTCAGTCAAACGACAATGAATGAATTACGCGTCTTAAGATTACTGTAATGGGTTTTCGTAACGCAAGTTAGGTTAGGGGTTGAAATCTTTTCGATGTTTGTGGGTATTTTGGCTAGGTGGGAATCTTGCTGGAAACGGGTAGGAGAGTGGCGGTGCTTGTAGCTACTTCTGGGTAGATTAAATTCCTCCGGCGGAAAGGTACGAAATATGTTAGGTTAGGTTCCCTCGACACGGCACGAACGGCGGTTTCGAGAAGAGGAATACTTGGCGTGACTGGCGCGTCCACGAGTCAAGTTCACGACTCTCTCATCATTGTCCCTCCTTTCCGTGCTTCAATGACAATTCTTATGACGGGTGTCGAGAGGTCGACGATACCTCATGCGTGGCTGCTCGGTTTATCAACCGAGACATGCTTGCGAAAATGATAAACCTCGTAAAAGCTGGAACGCAACGACCTTAAAATTGTACATTATGACACGCGTGGACGGTTTATTGCATACTTCGGGAATTTTTTTCACGATACAAGCAATGGCCCGAATTAAATTCTTCCTGACGTCCTAAGTCGGGAATTCATAAAATTCCCCTCGCACGATTTAAAATGAAAATTCGTATTAAAAGAAAAAAGGGTTTAAATGAACATTGAACTCTTCCGTTTACATCCCATTAGAGATTCGACTTCTACTTCCACTTTCGCTTTCGCCAGGAGAGGATGTCTTTGTTCCCGGCGGTGAAGGAATCCTCCGACCTCGTTCTAATCGACCGTGAACGAACGCGATTTCAATATCTCCACGGCGTCCTCGTAACGTGGGACCTCCACCGATTGCAATTGTTCGAGTCTCAAACGGAAGAGAAAAAAATTTCTAAAGCCGTCAGCGTGCATTACAAAGTGTGCAGAACATTTCCACGTTGATCGTTAGAAAAAAAAAAAAGAAAAAAAAAACAATATTATACCAATACCTCGCAAATATCCCGTTGGTTCTTGAGACCGCCAAAACGAATGGAGAACATTTCCTTTCGACAGGGGCGACGCCCATGGCCACCTCGAATAAAAAACACGAGTTGGCAGTACACTCACGTATGCGCGCGCAACAAGTGCAGTGCGCCCAATGTGGAGGAGGCATTTCATAATTCGTTGCGTAACGGGCTGACCATTAAAAAGCTCGGACCGTTACATCGGGACCCCTGCTATTATCCGCGTACTCTATGGCTCATTAAATCGGGCACCGAGGAAGCCTAACTCCTCACTTTTTCCTTGACTTTGCCCAAGGCGAAATCGGTACGGTCAGATTATTATCGTTATTTTTAGGCGATTTATAATCACTATACTGATCTAATAAATGAAGTTTAAAATGACTTTATTTATATTAACTCGTAAGGTGATTATGTTATTAATTTATGTTGGGTTAAGAAAGTTTGGGAATTAATTCAATGGTTTTAATGATATTGTTTCCGTTTGTTTTAGCGACGGTCGCGATAGCGAGCACGGTCCAGATCGAGTGTGCGAGCGAATCGATAATCGTGTACATATCGACCGAGGGCAACACGGATTTCCACGGATTGGTGTACCCACGCGGGTTATCGAAAAATAGTTCCTGCCTGCAGGAGTACAGGAGTCAGCCAGCTCCCATAACCTATACTCTGCCTCTCAGGTCGTGCAACACCATGCCCACGGAACTGGTGAGTTTCCGCCATTTTTCACCCCTCGACCACGACGAGGTTGAGGTCACGTCCGCCATCTTGCATGAACGCGTACTTTACTTTACCACGGGGCGATTTTGCATGCGTTCGAGACCATCATTTGCGACGAGCATTAAGATTAAATGATATCTGGGTTTTTAGAAGTATGAAATATCAGAGAACGCGAAATATTAAGAAACGATACCTAACATATCGGCGAGGTCGAAGAAATATCGGCATTCGTTAAATCTAACGGCCGATTTAAACGGGATTAGGAGCAATTTCTTGCGCTAAAGAAGGGGGAATAACGTGATACTCTCTCTCCCCCGGTTCATTGAGCGCGTCGGCGCCATTTTATGTGCATCCGTGTTATCGATACGCCATTGTTGGGTCGAGCGGGTAGATTAGCGCCACCATCTTTGTTCCTTCTTGTGGACAGTACTTTGAATCCGCGGCCAGGCCATCTAATTCACCGTGGTAATTAATGATTTATCCCCAGGCCGAGAACAGGACTGGCAAACATGCCGAGCGAATGCGCGTCCGCCATTAGCTAGCTTCGTTCGCGTTAATTATCGCTCTTTCTAACCTCAAACTCGCGGCCTCGACGCACTCGTTTCCTGGGAGTTCCTGCGACTCGGTTGATTAATGGTATTTAAATTGCCTAGCTGTCATTACTGGATTACCGGCTGTACAGTGCTAATTTTACATTAGGGAACGCGAATCGACGTAACCGCGCTTTCCGCCATCTTTAAACGGGATTTTACGCCGTAACGTCGCATCGCACCGAGAACGATTCCCACGAGAATTATTCGGAGAAATTCCTACATAGGTAAAGTGCCGAAATTATTTCCCTGCGATTCTTATCAGTGGCATTGACGTTAGTAGGATATTACCATTAACGCCAGTATGAAATTTATGACGTGTGTCCTTAAAATGTATAATCAAATTCTTATCAGATTGGTATATCGCGCCTGAATAAGAGTGAGGAAAAATGCCGAAATATTTTTTCAAAGGTGTACGTGTAAATTAGTCGGTGATTGATGGAACCAGTGATTGTGCATAATTGTCAGTTTCATGGTACGCCAACCTTGTCGAGGGCATTCACTACGAGCTTATCGGGTAAACGTAGAGGGAATTGACAAACATTTGGAATTGTTAGCAGGTGTACTCGATATGGTTGCCCCAAGAGACCACCACGTCCCTGTATAAAAGGATCGTGGCCTTGGGGCAGCCTTGAAAGTATATCCCCAGTGCGGTCGTATTACGTGCTGCCGATCTATACTCTCTCAGGGATCGAGCAATCGTTGGGAACCGCGGATCTATCGATCCGAGGATCGGGAATAAATTCGCCCCGAGAGAGCGGATCCTTGATTCATGGTCCAAGGATATCGCCTCGACGTTTATCGTATATTAATTATCGTAAGGGAATATATTAAGCGTTTCGTCAAAGGTAACGCAAAGCGACCGTGGAATGAAGAGTCACGGAGAGTGGAAACGGACGAGCAATTCGTTTCGTTTTCGTCCCGACGGCGCACTTTCATTGTGAGTCGAGCTCGCAATGCTCCTCGCCATTTTCTCCCGGTCTCATTTAATTTTCCCGCGTCTCGCCTGGCACTCGGGAGCTTAAGCCTCGTTCTCATCTCTTTGCATTCCGGGAGCGATCTTCCGTCTCGGCCGCGATTGGCAATGCGTCTTGAAAGGAGCCAGAAGGAAAGGTTCCTCATCCTTCGTCGGAATTAAACGCGCATACATTAGATATCGCTCAAAAATCGGTAGGGCTAATAACCATTACTCATCCGCTAATCTGGGGAATTTCTGACGCCTAAACGACCAGGCGTTCCCGCAATTGGATCGCGCAAATTACCAGCCGATAGCAAAACCAAAGAAACTAGAAGAAAATGAACGTCCGCCCTGGTTAGTCCCTAGTTAGGCGCTAGTTACCGGCCACGGGTTACCAGAGAATTACTAGCACCGCTTGTCCTTTTGCCAGACCCTAGGGAATCTGATCGCGTCTTAACACGATTATAATATTAGGGTATCCGAGGAAGCACCTCGTTTTTTACCATTTTTTCTTGTCAGTGAGTAATAGCTACCAGGACTCTTGCTTGACTCATTGCCCCGTAAGACTCCCTGCGCTTTTCTTTTTCACCGTTTGGAGGTTAGGTCACGTAATAGTTGCGTTCGGGGATTTTTCTAATCTACAACCAAAGCGCCATTTCCTCCGCGGCCCGGAAAGTTATCCCGAGGTCTCGTCCTGGTCCTTTTACATTCCGTCCTAGTCTCTTCCGTCTTACTCCGGTTTGGTGGGGCATCCTGGAAGGAGTCACTCCGAATGGCGATCGGCGGTCCGCACGAGGAAGTCGCTCGTTAGTGCTCAGCCAACCGGCAGAAGACACGGAAAATACAATCACGTGACCCCGACAAGCCTGCCATCTCGGTTAGTTCCTCTAACCTCCGCCCGAGCAGAGCTAAATGTCCCTGAACTAATTATTTCTCGACTCCGGTACTTATCCGCAGATGTATTGTTGCCTCGCTAATTGTGTAGGTGAAGTGCTCGTTTCCATTACGGGTGAAGGTTGGGAGTTAAGACCCCTCTGTTCCCTCCCGTTAAAACCATAAATCCACCCGAGAAGTCCTGCCGAAACTAACTTTCAAATCTGGCGCCATTGTTAGGCGCCCCCCCGGTATCTCGGTGACGTCACGAAATTGAAGCGGGAGCCCGCGTCTCGGTGCGGCATGTTCATGGCCGTGGCAGGTGTTCCCTCCCGGTCATTCCGACATTAACAGGCAGATGGCTAACCTTCGGTAGGGCGGATAATATCTTCCTAGTAATAAGTAACTAGTAGTTACAAGGAGCCCGAAGGGCCAAGGGGGTCCAATTACATCGTAAAATCAGAACCCGCGGCCGGGAAATTACCCGCGATATTTCTGGCCACGTCGCGACAAAGCTCCGAGCGCTTGCGCGTGCGCCCTAAGGTTGGCCCGACAGCATTGCCGATTCCGTATCCTCCGTTGCTTAGCTGGGTACCCCGGTCCCGCGGTGGCGCTGCTGGCAACGCCGCAATGTTCATTTCCCGAGGCTTCATTCCCGATCACGTAACTCGAGAGAAGCGAAGATGCTGATGTGGATAGTTTATCAGCCAATCGGTCTTCCCTCCCGTTGGTACTCGATAAGAAGATAAGAATTCCACTGTCTTCGGGGAATTTCTGCCCTTAGGGCGCAACTCCACCGGTGGAGAGGGTGTGACCTTTCTTGTATAATCCGAGGATGCTAACCTGCGATTAGCGTATAGGGACTTTCCGTTGGAGCCGATCATTTTCATAACGTCATCGAAGGGGATGGAACGATCGGGTCCCTCGATTCGACTGCACAAACAAAGATGGCCGACGGTTCGCAGAAGTGAGGGACCGTTCGGAAACCTTGGGCATTGGTTTAGACAGGAGTGCCAACCTACGAGACGGTCCTCCCGGATGAAGGAGCCTATTGGCAAGGATCCGCCATTACTCGCGGCAAGACCGGTCCTCGTCTCTTCTTTGCCGAGGAGAGCTCTCTCCTTCTGGCGCAGCTGCTCGGTTTCGTGTCTTCTCTACTGGTTCGTCCGCGACGTCGCGGATACGCGAGGGACAATGGTGGCGCCGCCGGCTCCAACGGAATGGAGGACGCTGGTAGGCCGCGGCACCGCAGCTTCGGACTTTACATGAGAATGGAACCATCTTTTCTCTTCGACTTTCTTCCTCCGAAGGTCGCGCCATCCTTCCATCTGCGGATTTTTTCAACACTACCGCGAATGGGATATCTCAAGCGCAGAACGTATAGTCTTCTCCATGACATTGTTACATAAATACCATTATGATTCGACTAATTTTTTTTTTTTTTTTTTTTTTTTTTTTTTTTTTTTTTTTTTTTTTTTTTTTACGGTAACGTGAATTGCTGGGCAAAGTTCCGCGACTTCGCGCCTCGGAATTATTCCATCATTTTTATTCCCACCGTGTAGTATATTATACTCCGTATCTATACATAGATATTAAATATCGGTACGCGGTATTAACTAATGATACTAATTATTATGAGAGAATTCAAGATTTATCCCCACGTATCGGTATACATCATTCGTGGCCGGTTGAAAATATCACTTGTTACCCTTCTGCGCCGATCGGATTCGCCATGTCGAATAACCGGTCATGTAGATGAGAGGATATTTCCGTTAAAGTGACCAATAACATACAACGCGGTCCTCGATGCGACCAATCACCAGCATGACCGGTTTTTCTGCATGAAATGTCTGGTACCCCTGATTAAAATTTCAGCATTTCCAAAGAGCGGCTTGAAACGCCCTGATATGTAATCAACGTGAGATGTGTCTCCCTGGATCATTAAAAAAAAAAAACCGCACGAGCTTTCGCATCGACCTGATATATCCTACGACCATTGTTGCGCCGCCGAGAAAACCCAAGCCCAGGTCTTCGGGTACATATAAATCGTTTCTTGGATATTTCTATGGCAGGTCGTGAAAAAAAATAAATAAAAAAATATTCGACCACTAATGGCACCGCAGCACAGCATTCGCAAACGTTCTCTTGGCATGAGGGCAGACCCGCCATTTCCTTTCTCACCGTTTGGGTTCGAAGCCCCGCAATCTTTTCTGCGCCATTTTAGGATCTCTCGTTCCTTTTTGCAGTCGCGACCATTACGGGGATTTCCATTAAGCGATCAGCACCGCTTCGAGGGAGATAATAAGCCAATGTGTCTTTTCTTCTATATCCGTGACGCCATTCGACAGTTTCTCCTGGAGCGGACTCATTCGTCATTACATGGACACTTGCCTTGTTCCTTTTTAGAGGTACTTATCCTACCTCGGTGATATTTCCATTCCCGGATAAGTATAGCCTATCATTCACGGGTGAATTCCAATAAATTCAATTAACGACGATGACTCCGATGTGTAAATCCCACGGTGTAAACGATGTTACGGGGCTGCGGGAGGGAGAGAAAAAATCCC